TGTCGGTGATGTGGTTTATTTGTTGCCGAGCGCATTTAACCACACTGTTAGACCTTACCAGGTTTTTTTTTTTTAATGTAAAATAGTGTTAATTGTACAGTTCTTTACCGTAATCTAGAGTATGTTACTGTAAAAATGCACTAAATTAAAACTCAAGTTAACTAATTTCACTTGCACAAACCCACTGCCTTAAATTGACCAATTATCATTTAAAAATGTTATATACTAATATTGAGAAAATAAAAAATAAATAAACTTATTTCATTTGACAGCACTAAAAAAATATTATACATAAAAAGACAGCCTCTTTACAGTCATAGCTTGCTAAATACAGCAACAGACAGCGTATCATCAATGTTTCCAGATCTTCTCTTGGACTGAAGCACAGGCTCTATACTCTTCAGCACAACGGTGACCCACATTTTTTTATTTTACAGTAAACTACTGGCAACAGTTTTATAAAACAGGCTTACAGTTTATTACTGTTAAAATACATTTCGTGGGTGTGTCTTTTTATCTTCCACTGTTAACCCTTTCAACCCCACAGGAAAATCTACACCACAAAGAGTAAAAAGTGACATTGACGGTGTTGCAGTGAGATAATTAAGGGAATATGTAAGTGATTGTTGAGCATTAGTGATGAACACCTGCTGTTAACAAGCAGAATCACTGAAGGAAAGAGGAACAACAAGAACAGAAAATAGAAAAACACAAGATCTACAACTGACTTCCACTTATTATTATCCAGTATTACTTTATATCTGTCATTCATCTATAGAAGATGTTGTTGAGATGTTTAATTGAAAATGTTTGGCTAGTAAGTTACCATTAAAGAGATCAGTGTTTGCTCTAGTTGAGATACTGACCCATATCTTTTTTACACGAGTGTTTCTCTTGTTGCTTAATCTCTGTTTCTTCAGGTCACATTTGTGCACAGGCATGGCTTGTGAATGATTGTGCTTATATTGATTATAGTAAGCAATATTGCTTGTTCATTCACAAATCCCATTCAGTAGAGAATTGAACTCAATTCAGTTCACAAGTTCTCCGTCTCTGATTGTGCTGCTGTAGACTAGAAATGCGCGGCCGCGCGCGCCTGACTGGTGGTAGTCCTAGCGCGAGACAGAGCTACACTGTCTTGTAAAAACACAGAGATACCAAACATTTGCACATAAATCGCAACAATGGTGGCACTATTTTTTGGTATTTATTTAGTCATTCATGCAGAAGTGCATGCTGGGATTTTTATACTATTCTAGAACCCAGAATGCATTGCGACATGAAACCTTTGATTGTCACCATTGTTGAGATTCATATGCTGGTTGTTGATGTCTGTGTCAAGCAGTTAAAAATGTTTTAATGCACTATATTCTTCGAAAGCCTGATTACAGAAATTTTGTTGGATTTCAGATATATGAAATACCCATGCATGTTAACTCATACACAGGATGAGATCAGAGAATCATACATGTCCAGGGTGGCTATGGTATCATCACATCTGCTAAAACCACCTGATCAACTTCCTCTTGACTTTTTCTTGCCATAACAAATGTGTTTTATAAACTCAGTTACAACAGCCAGAGCCAAACTCATATTGTAAAGTAAAGGGTCAAGAGACCAACTAAAGCAAACACTTATCTCCATCATGGTGACAACAAACTTTATTGTCAACTAAATCTAAATGCATTAATTTATGATAATTATAAAAAACTTCCTACTGAGTATTTAAAACTCATTCTGTTTATTAGTATAAATACAGAGATCTTACAGTTCATTTATGTATGACTGACAAATACGCATCACATTAAGTTTATTACTTTTTGAGTGTGACTGTGGATAACAGATAATCCAAATTAAAGAATATGATTCCCATCTTTTTACATACCTGTGTGTTTCTGCAGTCAACGGAGAGCTGTGGAAATTCTGATGCTCTTTACATGAAGGCACTGGATAGTGATGAGACTGTGAAAATAAGCACAGATATGGTCGATATAAGGGGTGGAGCTGAATTACAGGTATGAAGGCTGATGCTAATGCATTTTCAGAAGTTTCTCATTATATGATGCAAACTAGTTCTGCTTATACCTGTTTTTGCTCAGTCTCAGACTGTCAAAATTCATATTCTCGTAAATGCTTGTTTGTTGAAATGCACATTTTGTGTTGAATTCAGAAGTAAGAGTGTTTGTGAATAATGTATTGTGTAATGCGAAAACAACATTTTTGTTGTCTTTGTGGGTTTGGGGTTTTATTCTGCTATCATAAAGGACCAGAATCTGAATAGTTTTGTCTAACGGCTGCAATGATGTTTCTATATTGAGTATAATAAATCTTTTTGTAAGTGAAGCACAATAATTGAGCAACCACTGAGATGTTCCTCCAGGCACCGAGGGCAGGTAATGTTGCTGGTTAGAAGCTACCGTAGTGTGCCATCTAATGTTTAAGCAAGGAAGCACATTAAAACAAAATCTTTGTTTTGGGGTTTAAGCAGTGCTCTGAAAATCTTAAAGTAAATTACTCTTAAATTTGAAAACGAAGCCTTGCTAATGACAAGCCACAGGTGGCCCAGAGTAGCATGCCGTTGATGTACAGTATCTGGTCTCTGTGATATTGTGCTGCTCAGTGACGACATTTCATCTGTCCCGGGACATTGGGTAGACTCAGTGGCAGCATCACCACCTCCGTCACTGCACAGTTAATTTAAATAAATAAAAAATTAAGAACTCATAGGCACATAAACTGTAACTGCCCACATAGCAACATTTCTTCGGCCCAGATCTGGCCCACATCTGGCACTTGTGGGATGCGGATCTGGCCCACATGCAGCAATGAATGACAGCCCTTGGGTGACAAGCCACAATAATTGTTGTTAAATTAACACTGCTCAGTGTTTCTACGAGTCCATACTCAGAGACTGTTAAATGAACACTGAAGCAGTGCAAGTTAATGAGATAATTAAGTGAATAATTGAGCATTATCGAAGACTGATGTAACAAGCAGAATCACTAAAGGAGGAAAATCGTAATTGGTATGTTACCACTATGGAGATCAGCGTTTGCTTTAGTCATTAACTTCATATCTTTGTTTGGCTGCTGTACAAAGATCTGAAGTTAATGTGGGGAGTAGCATTGTTATTTTATTGTAGGGGCAACAGAGCAAAAGATAATTACCCAAATGCTAAAAATATATTTACCTCCTTTTTTTGCACCAATTTTCATCTCCTTCTGATGTGTTCCACTTCTTCATTTCCAGGGAAGCACAAGATCATGAGTCTCCAGTGATTTCTGAAAAACATTAATAGACAACACAAGTAAAATAAGCTTTGATAATTGCATATGTGCCATTCACAGTATACTATCACAAATCACAATCACTTCCATTATTATAAATGTTTAAATGGACATCTAATTTGTAATATGAAAAGTTCATTAGACTGATTATTGCATAATAAACCCCAATATGTGTTGTTACTGAGAATCAACAGACTGTTAGAAGCTGTGATTGGCCAGTCATATTTGAGCTTTACACAGAGCTGTGTAATAAGTCATAACAACCAGTAAATAACATTCTCGACTATCAAATGATAGTCCTTTCGAAAAATGTCCTCATGTTTTGTCCAGTTGATGACACCAGAAAATCCCCTAAAATTGCATAGATGACATGATAAATCACGTGGTTGCAATAATTCTTCAATAATAGGATTCAATATATAACTATGACGCTATATGGCTTCTTCAAAAGCCAAGCAAGGCTAGACACTGTAGCATAGACATCTACAAATATATAAAGAGAAACTGGCTGTGAAACTCAAATTCATTTAATGATCCCTTAGCTATCTTAACATATCGGTAACTCCTACCTGGTTTTTAATTTACTGAAAATTTAAAATCTTGTTGAGAATTAACAGAGATTTAAGTGAAGATGTTTTATTGATAATAATAAATATTGTGGTCACCATTATGATGATCAGTATTTGCTTTAGTTGGGCTGTTGACTCTTTAACATTATTTTTTCTCTGGTTGCTGTAACTGTGGGAATGTACTCATCTGTTTCACTGATCTCTTGCTGTGTCTAAACTTTCATTTTTATGGGTATTTTAATTTTATATTAATTGATTATAGTATCTATGTGAATCTACAGCATGAGACCCAGCAATGTTTCAATCAGTTATTGAATTTATATAGTGCATAAACATTTTAATGACCACACACATATATTTACAATCAGCATATGAATCTCAACAATGGTAACAATATAAAGTTTCATGTTGCAATACATGCTGGGTGCCAACAGAGTAAAAAAACAATCTCTTGCTCTAGTTTCACAGTGGTGGTGATGTCAAATTTAAGTATGTTAATAATTTAACAATTTTGGGGTCAAACATGGTTTTAATATTTAGACCATTTCTATTGTCGATTACTATCAGGATGAGAAGAGAGTTTCAACCAGTATGCCTAACAAAAAGTGTTTAAAAAACAAATTGAGGTTGTGTAGGTACTAGGGAGTTTTCATCTGTTGCTTTTTCATTTATTAGCCACTAGAGAGCGTCCTAGTACCTGCTATTTTGTTTTTGAGTCAACATGTATCCCCACAACATCATCTACAAGGCTGTATCCAACTTAATGAATGACAATTTATGAATAGTGGGCCACCTAAATCTTTCTTTACATTCTTTGGTCCACCCAGTTAAGAATAAAATATAGATCTATAAATCTATTTAGATTCAATCAACCTCAGTGAGCTGGACTATGGTGGAAAGAGACCCATATGGAGGTGTTTAATGGGGCTAAATGAAGCTGACAGATCTGTAGAAGGCTCACATCTTATGGAAAGAAAATATATTTCTATGTATTTATGATCATAATATAAAATGTTTGATATATTGCATTAATATATTACAATATATTGAACAATACAAAAATAATTGCCTCTTTTTATATACAGAAAAATATGTGACAATATATATAATATTACTGTAAAATGTAATTAGCTGAGTGTACTGAAAGAAAAATAAAATAAAACTGAGGGAAATGATCACCTTATTCTTGATAATTTCTCAAGCTTGGTTTACTCAAAGTTGATAGTTGTTAATACAACATAGAGGTTAGGTGTTAATGATATATTGAAAATAATGAAGTTTCTTCAATGGTCGCCGTTATGGTGATCCGTGTTTGCTTTAGTTAGTTCGGCTTTTGACCCTTAACTTTTTAACTGCTTAATCATTACGCCAATAAAAAAAATATAATTTATGACTTGGTTTATTACTGATCAAAAGGTAATTAAACACAATCAAATATTGTATTACAAACACTGATACTATAGCAAGAGCACTTTATCCTGAACTGTTGTGGTGATCAGTTTTTTTAACACATTTTGCACAAAACATTTTGAACTGCTACTATATTTAGACACACAGACATCAAGAATCAGCATATGAATCTCAACAATGGTGACATAATCTAATCCATGGTTTCCAGCATGCATTACAAAAATGATGTTTTATCAACAAAGTTCAGGAGAAGCACGTTCAGATAATTAACATGGATGGAGAGAACTCAGCAATCATGATTAAAACGTGTATATATAGACTCTGCCGTCTCAACTAATTTCTTTGACAGTTTAGCAGCGTCCCTCCACCACCCCTTCTCCACTCCACGGGCAGCACGCCAAATACGCATTATACTTTATTCCCTTTAATTGTATGTAAGTGAAAATTAATTATAAATAGATAATATTTCCCCCACACATTGGTTTTGTACTCTCTCTATAATTCAAAGGAAACTCTCAGGTCAAGTCAAGCTTGTGTCATGATTATTGTGTGGAAAATGTAGTGATGAAGAAAACAGTAAGAGGACAAAGCCCTGAGGCTCCAACTAAACACTGTTGAATCACAGCGCTCTTCTCCACTCATGCATAAACACATTGTGAGAAATAATGTTAATGTTATGAGATTTATCAATGGTCACTTTTTCAAAACTCTTCACACTGTAAGCACAACAGCAGTCCATGTTGGCAAACTGTGGATTGGCATTATATATTTATATTATTGAAGTAAAAACACAGGTTGTGCAAAAATGGCAACAAGTAGTAAGATGTTTTGCTTGATAACATTACAAGATCCTGCAGAGTTCATTATGAATTTTACAATAAGAAAAGAGTTTAACCATATATTTATATCTATGCATAAAGAAGGAAAGAGAACCCCACATCATGGTAGAATTAGAAAGTCCAATAATGTCCATAAGATGCTGTCTGTAAAGTATTTCTTTTTGTCGTTCAGATTTTCTCCGCTTCTGACCAGCTACATGCGTTTGTGCACATGGATGAGGTTTTTGCAGCTTGGACAGCGATGCTCTACGTCCTTGCAGGAATTCACACAGAAAGGAATCAAACAACACGGCCAGATCCTGGACAGAAAAAAAAAAGCGTCTTAAAAAAGAAACTTTAGATCTCCCGAAATACCTTTGTTAGTGGGTCATCATTAATTCAATCAGTAACTAGAGATTTCTTTCTCTCCATTGACAGTCTTCGCAACTACTACATTGATGTTTCAAGAAGTTCATGAAGAGATTGTAAAACTAATCCATATGGATTGAGCGATTTAGTCCAAAATGTTCTGAAGAGACACGATTACTTTATAGGATGAGCATATTGAATTTAGGCACAGATTTCATTAAAAATATCTTAATTTGTGTTCTGAAAATGAATGAAAGTCTTACGGGTTTGGAACGTCATAAGAGTGAGTAATTAATGACACAATTTTAATTTTTTTGTGAACTAACCCTTTAAACGGGTAATTCACTGCTGGCAAAATGGGATTTCAATTAAATTTGGCTGCCTATACAGTAGAAAGATGAAAACGTTTTTGCTACCTTGAATAGTTGAAACTCTTTTGCCAAATTGGAAGGACTTCAACACCCGTAATGCAGTGGGCATATACCAGTCCAAGGCCACTCTCACCAGTCTGCTATGGATACGCCTGACCAATCGAATCCCACCTTGCTTTAGTAGGAAATGCCTCTTAGCAAACTTTTAGTTATAATGGTGTAAAATTGTATTGAATTCAAAGGGTAACCGCTTTGCGAGAGTGAGTTATTTTCAGTCTCCAGTAAAGGATCCAGTGGGTTGTAAGCAGTGGCCAAAGGCTGCAAAGAATCATTAATATGGAGAGATCCGTCAGATTCGTCAGCACAGCGTGGACGTGTTTCCTAGCGACACTCAATGGTCAGCGCGGCGCGACCAATCCTCACCAGCGCTGCACTGACCAATTTAAACAGTGCAGCACAAACCATACATACGCAAATAAATGTACAATAAAGAAACCCCTCCTTCCTTACAAAGAATGGTTCTCTACTGAAGTTTAGGAGTTTTAATTATGGAGAATTCCATTTTAAAACATAAAATATTTTATATATCCCACTCACACTTTTTTAGCTAATTTAATTCCCGTCCCTGTTTATTCCTATTAACACGGATCCGCAAACAACTAAAAATGCTGTATTATGTTTGCCAGACAAGTAATTGGCAATGTCACTTTGTAAAGAAAGACTAAGAGGCCATGTACTTTGCATTCAAAGGCGCATACCTATAGCTAAACATGTAACATGCATGTGCATGCCATCACCCTTTTCACAGATTCACGTTTTGAAGTTTGCAAGCACATGAAAACGGTATCTTTCAAAACCCGTTTTCAAAAACATGCTGTTACGAACTGCTCCGAGACTTGGAGATGAAGATCCAAATGCAGCTTTATTTAAGATTAGTCGTACAGGCAGGGTCGAGAATTAGCAGACAGGACAATGGAGAATACACAGTGGGAATCCGGGAAACAGGCAGAGGTCAGGGCAGGCAGCAGTAATCAAAATCCAAGAACAATCCAACGTCAAAAACCAGAAAACAAACACGGAAAACGCTCAGAAATGCAGTGTAACACTTAAACAAGACTTCGCCGTGAGTGACTGAATGAACAAGGTATATATAGCCAGACTAACAGGATGATGAGACAGGTGAATGCAATCAGTGAATGAGGTACAGGTGGATGTGATCAGTGATGATGAGTCCGGGCAGTGAGTTCTGGGAAACGTAGTTTGTGTGAAACATAGTCTTATCTGGAGTGCCCTCTGGTGGCTCAAGAGGGCACTCCAGCTGGTAACCGTTACATAGCCCCCCCTTTAAGGAGCGGATTCCAGACGCTCCTCAAAATGTCCAGGAGGGAGGCGGATCTGGGGGCGGGATGGAGGGCCAGGCCCGTGGAGCGGAAGAGGACCTGGAGACTGCGGCGGAGCTGGCTGTGGAGGCGACCAGGTCGGAGCAGGCTGTGCAGGCGGCCAGGGCGGAGCAGGTTGTAAGGGAGGCCAAGGCGGCGGAGACCCCTCGGGCGGCCACGCCGGCGAAGACCCCTCGGGAGGCCACGGCGGCGAAGACCCCTCGGGAGGCCACGGTGGCAAGGACCCCTCGGGCGGCCACGGCGGCGAAGACCCCTCGGGCGGCCACGGCGGCGAAGACCCCTCGGGCGGCCACGGCGGTGATGCCCTCTCAGGACCAGGCACTGGCTCAGGAACAGACACTACAACAGAAATGGTCACAAGGACAGACACAGACACAGAAACAAACACTGGATCGGGAGCAGACACTGGATCGGCCATCTTGTCCGGAGACACTGGATCGGCCATCTTGTCCGGAGACACTGGATCGGCCATCTTGTCCGGAGACACTGGATCGGCCATCTTGTCCGGAAACACTGGATCGGCCATCTTGTCCGGAGACACTGGATCGGCCATCTTGTCCGGAGACACTGGATCGGCCATCTTGTCCGAAGACACTGGATCGGCCATCTTGTCCGGAGACACTAGCTTGGAGGCGGCCATCTTGTCCGGAGACACTAGCTCGGAAGCGGCCATCTTGTCCGGAGACACTGGCTCGGAGGAGGCCATCTTGTCCGGAGACACTGGCTCGGAGGCAGCCATCTTGTCCGGAGACACTGGCTCGGAGGCGGCCATCTTGTCCGGAGACACTGGCTCGGAGGCGGCCATCTTGTCCGGAGACACTGGCTCGGAGGCGGCCATCTTGTCCGGAGACACTGGCTCGGAGGCGGCCATCTTGTCCGGAAACACTGGCTCGGAGGCGGCCATCTTGTCCGGAGACACTGGCTCGGAGGCGGCCATCTTGTCCGGAGACACTGGCTCGGAGGCGGCCATCTTGTCCGGAGACACTGGCTCGGAGGCGGCCATCTTGTCCGGAGACACTGGCTCGGAGGCGGCCATCTTGTCCGGAGACACTGGCTCGGAGGCGGCCATCTTGTCCGGAGACACTGGCTCGGAGGCGGCCATCTTGTCCGGAGACACTGGCTCGAAGGCTGTGACGTGAACAGAATCTGGATCAGCTGAAGTGATTTGAACAGTCTCTGAATCAGCCATCTTGTCTTTAGACACTGGCTTGGAAGAAATGACGTGAAGCATCTCTGGCTCGGCAGAAGTGACGTGGAGCGTCTCTGGCTCGGCAGAAGTGACGTGGAGCGTCTCTGGCTCGGCAGAAGTGACGTGGAGCGTCTCTGGCTCGGCAGAAGTGACGTGGAGTGTCTCTGGCTCGGCAGAAGTGACGTGAAGCGTCTCTGTCTCGGCAGGGCTGACATGGAACTCTGGCTGGGCTGTCTCGGCGGGACGAGACTCTGGCTGGGCTGTCTCGGCGGGACGAGACTCTGGCTGGGCTGTCTCGGCGGGACGAGACTCTGGCTGGGCTGTCTCGGCGGGACGAGACTCTGGCTGGGCTGTCTCGGCGGGACGAGACTCTGGCTGGGCTGTCTCGGCGGGACGAGACTCTGGCTGGGCTGTCTCGGCGGGACGAGACTCTGGCTGGGCTGTCTCGGCGGGACGAGACTCTGGCTGGAAGGTGAGCGCAGGCTCGGCAGGGCTGACGGTGAGCGCGGGCTCGGCAGGGCTGACGGTGAGCGCGGGCTCGGCAGGGCTGACGGTGAGCGCGGGCTCGGCAGAGCTGACGGTGAGCGCGGGCTCGGCATGAAGCTCTGGCATAACGTGAAGCTCTGGTTGAGTAGATACCACGGGTTCATGGAGCTCCTTCTCTACAACGCCCACAGTAAACAAGGAACCGCTTAGCAAAAGGGCCTGGTTAATATAGTCCTCTAATGTCCCGTGACGATTGTGTAAGGGCATGAGTGAACTGAGTGGTTCAGAGAGTCCTCCTCGGAAAAAGATCATTAAACACTCTGTGCTCATTGAGGCGAAATGGGCCAGTTCAATGAACTCAGAAACATAGTCCTCGACGGACCGATTCTCCTGACGGAGACGCAAGATCTGGACGTCTGGGCTTCTTGTTGGCATGGCTGCTGGATCTCGGTGTGGCGAAGTCTTCTGTTACGAACTGCTCCGAGACTTGGAGATGAAGATCCAAATGCAGCTTTATTTAAGATTAGTCGTACAGGCAGGGTCGAGAATTAGCAGACAGGACAATGGAGAATACACAGTGGGAATCCGGGAAACAGGCAGAGGTCAGGGCAGGCAGCAGTAATCAAAATCCAAGAACAATCCAACGTCAAAAACCAGAAAACAAACACGGAAAACGCTCAGAAATGCAGTGTAACACTTAAACAAGACTTCGCCGTGAGTGACTGAATGAACAAGGTATATATAGCCAGACTAACAGGATGATGAGACAGGTGAATGCAATCAGTGAATGAGGTACAGGTGGATGTGATCAGTGATGATGAGTCCGGGCAGTGAGTTCTGGGAAACGTAGTTTGTGTGAAACATAGTCTTATCTGGAGTGCCCTCTGGTGGCTCAAGAGGGCACTCCAGCTGGTAACCGTTACACATGCACTTTGAAACCTATTTCAAAGTTTGAGTTATCAGGCCATCAAAACGCCGTTGTCGTGTAAATAAACGGCCAGAATGTTTGTTTAATCAATCAATCAGTCAATCAATCAATCAATCAATCAGTCAGTCAATCAGTCAATCAATCAGTCAGTCAATCAATCAATCATGCTGTTAAGAAGTACACATATTTTGATGTATTGACTAACATACATAACATTTAAAGGACTTGATTTGTAACTGTAGTGTGTTATTTTATTTGATATTATATTTAAAGTTAGTATATTTTAAATGTACGAATTTGCAAATTCATCATTATACAAATATATTAAAATACATAATATACAAGTTTCAATATACTGTATGTCTGAATCGGATTTGTCTGTACATGTTCCTTACCCACAAATGCCAAGAACACCACAGATGACCCACACCTTCTTCCCATTGATGAATGTCGTCTCTGTGACGATCTGCTGCTGGCAGAAAGGACATTGCATCGGCGCAGGAACTTCAGTCAGACGTGTTCCCATAATTACCTTTTTGGCTACATATGCAGAATAAAAGGTAATACTGATTAAAATCAACATTATTATGATCATAAACATCCAGAATAGTATTCTGTACAGGTGCATCATGTGCATGCTGAAAGCGTCTAGTGCTTGAATACACAAGTCTTGTTAATCTAGAGCTTTTCTGCTCACCCGGGGCAGGCGCAGGCTGGACAACGTTGGGAATTATAATTGGAGCTGCAAAAGAAAACAAACAGAACCAGATATATTGAGATAAGGGAAATATTATTGTGTATAAGCATCCTGGATGGGAGTTAAACAGAGACTCTCATAACCCCAGACATCGACATTCACCAACGGTGGGCGTACTTGAAGATTGGACTGTTTGAGTTACGGTGGATGGAGACATGGGCTGTTGTGCAGTGAAAAAAAAAAACATGAGTTTTATTAGTCAGAACTGACAGGCTCAAGTTTCCCCAAGATCCAAACTGCATTTGGAGAATCTTTATTGTTTTTTGGGGTCATATCCATGGAAGTTGATTTCCACCACATCAGGAAAAAAAAAACCCCATACTTTTGTAAATCATAATGGTCTTAAGCCATTGTTGGTGAAAATTGGACAAACCTTCTGGGATGAGTTCGAAAAGGTAATTTTTTTATTTTTGAACATTCGAAATTTCCAAGAATTTTAATTACGGAAAATTATGTCATAGGGTGCAAATTTGCAAAGGTGGTGGCGCTAGAGGGATTGAGGATTGCTGTGGTGAATGTTCAGACTGCCCACTATCTTTGTGCCAAATTTCAAAACTTTTTACCATACGGTTCTATAGGCTGAAGACATCAAGAGTAGAAGAACAAGAACTCTATTGGGTTCAATAGGGGCTCGCCTCGGTCCCTCTTTATCCGTGCATATTAATATCTTAAGTCAAACAAAGCAGTTGTACAGAACAATATGTCATGTTTTTACGACTTTTCCCTTAATGTTTAGAAGGTGTCGGAAGTGTTTTGGAATGCTGTTGGACTTCTGCATTTTTTAATGCTCAACGTTCCAGTTTCCTTCTAAACTACTGTACAAAGTAAACATCAGCTGTCACCCATGCCAGAGGACTGGACCATTTGGGATGCCATGACTGATGTCTTTTGGGGCGGTGGATTGTATACATTGGCCATTGGAACTGCAGAAATAGATCATTATTGAAGCACTGTAGTTAGCTACCAATGACTAGTAGTCTCTGAATTGAATATACGAGTGAGGGTTCGCTGACCTGGTTGGGCTTGATAGACAACCTGCTGCTGGTTAGGAATTTTGAGCTGTAAATCCATAGTCAACAATCTGTGAATGAGAAATACATGCTTTAATGGTGTGTTGTAAAGGTTTTATATACAACATTGGCAAAGTAAAAATAAAAATAACGAATAGACTGACTGCTGCCTTGACATAACAAATCAGGAAGTAATGAAGTGTTTGGATTGTACAGATTCAGTAGTCAGTTGTTCTCAGTGATGAGTCACATAGCATTCATAAGTGAATTAATTAAAAATACTTTCGATGTCAAACAGGTTGGTATACTTCTTGTGTTTATGTAGTCGTGCTATTGAGATGAACAGGAATGTCAAGCGTTTGCCATGTACCTGTGGTTAATGTTACAATCAAAGCAGTGATTGGTTGGGCATTCAGATATGCATGCTGCTGCATTTTTGAACAGCAGCACTTACATTTGTTATTTAATTTTAGTATTTTAATGGACATTAAGTATCAACTTGATCCGCTAAGGCTTCACAATACTTTCTGTCTTCATGTTGAACAACATATCTATTAACACATTATCATATAGAATAACGTTATTAATTTAAAACCTGAAAAAAACAATTTTAATGAAATGTTTTACTGCAAAAAGGGTGCGAGTCTTCTTTCAAATGCAAGTTGATTTGATATTTTGCACCTAATGTCATGATATTGCTATTCTCTTTTAAGTGTGTCTTACAGTAATTGTCCAGTGTTCATCAATGTCTAACTGTGCTATCATGGAAACTGATTTTCTTGAAAGAGGAGTCTCCTGATCAGCCAGTTTGACAACATTTTATCTGTCATATCTGTTATCTTCTATCTGCTATCTCATTTTATCTGTTATTATCAAGTTCATTTTCAGAGTGACAGATGAGTCATTGTAAAGACAAAGTAAATACTTTAGAGTGTGTAGTAGAAGAGTAGGTTAGTAGGATACCACTTTATCAAAATTGCATCTGTAGCCGTCTTGCTAGCAGGACGATTGACTCTTTTTTTATTGCGCTATTTTTTTCCTATCACATATGTAAGGAATCATCATGAATTCATTTGTAAGCTTAAAAACTCAAAATTCATTAAAATTGCATTGCGTTACCATGGTAACTGTTGTTGAGATGTTTAATTGAAAATGTTTGGCTAGTAAGTTACCATTAAAGAGATCAGTGTTTGCTCTAGTTGAGATACTGACCCATATCTTTTTTACATGAGTGTCTCTCTTGCTGCTTAATCTCTGTTTCTTCAGGTCACACTTGTGCACAGGCAAGGCTTGTGAATGATTGTGTTTATATTGATAATGGTGAGCAATATTGATTGTTCATTCACAAATCTCATTCAATGTTTAATTCTTTGTCAGAAGTATTACGCCACCATCAATGTGAAACTATAGTGAGATGTAATGACTTTTTTTGCACATTTGCACAACCGAAAAAAACAACAACAGAGCTACACTGTCTTGTAAAAACACAGAGATACCAAACATTTGCACATGAATCGCAACAATGGTGGCACTATTTTTTGTATTTATTTATTCATTCATGCAGCAGTGCATGCTGGGAATTTTATACTATCCTAGAGCCCAGAATGCATGGTGACATAAAATTTGATTGTCACCATTGTTGAGATAAATATGCTGATTGTTGATGACTGTGTCAAGAAGTTCAAAACGTTTTAATGCACTATATTTACATTCTTCAGAAGGCCTGATTACAGAAATTTTGTTGGATTTCCTTTTGAAGATTCACAGATATATGAAATACCCATGCATGTAAACTTATACACAGGATGAAATTAGAGAATCATACATGTCCAGGATGGCTACACTGTAAAAAATGATCGTGATTTTAACAGTAAAAGAATGTAAAAATGCTACAGTGAAAAACTGTTAATTGGTTAACAGAAAGTTTCCTTACTATATATGGTAAATAACTGTGATATATAATGGTACATTTAATGTAAGTTTACTGGAAAATACTGTTAAATTTACAGTTTTTGGAAGTGAAAAAGAAGAAGTCATTGTATAATTTACAGTGAAAAATGTAAATTGACTTTCCCACAATTCCCTGCGTGACACTTCACATTTAATGTATTTTAACTGTTTATTCATAATTTTCTTAGTTTTTTTTCTTATCAGTTATGTTCATCAGGGTTTTATGTTACATTTAACATTGTTAAATTAATTCTTATTTCATTTTTTAAATTTCGACATGTTACCATGATGGTGTTTAATGTTTGTGTGAATGACACTGTGCAGCTTCTAAATAGTAGTATAAACTTTCTTGTGGAAGAGATGATAATGATGAGCTTTGATTGATCATTTGACTCTCATTACTGCTGTGATTGATGGTTGTCAGTGTATTGCAATTGAACAAAACAGACATTAATACTTCAAAATGTCAGTAAATTAACATGATATCAAATACTGAATTACGGTGTATTGCTGTAAAATTAAATACGGTCAAAGTCTGTAAAACCTGAAATGTTGCTACCGTACTTTTAACAGGAAAACTCTGGTAACCACAGCTGCCAGGGGTTTTTTTCACAGATGCCGGGCATAATTACATCAGCTAAAACCTCCTGATCAACTTCCTCTTAACTTTTTCTTGCCATAACAAATGTGTTTTTATATTTATGTTATAACAGAGCCAAACTCATATTGTTAAGTTAAGGGTCAAGAGACCTATTTAAGCAAACACTGATCTCCATCATGGTGACAACAAACTTTATTATTAACTAAATCTAAATACTCAACAAAAACTTTTGTACATGTATGAAAGAAATAGGTTTGTAAACTGTTTTCACACTCAGTGTTGCTGGAAGTCAGTTGAAGATCTCATCCCTGTGCACTTAAAAAAGAGCTAAATTGTATAACTGTATACAATTGTATAAAAAAGCTAAACAAATTGCATTAATTTATGATAATAATAAAAACCTTCTTACTGAGTATTTAAAACTCATTCTGTTTATTAGTATAAATACAGAGATCTTACATTTCATTTATGAATGACTGACAAATACGCATCACATTAAGTTTATTAGTTTTTGAGTGTGACTGTGGATAACAGATAATCCAAATTAAAGAATATGATTCCCATCTTTTTACATACCTTTGTGTTTCTGCAGTCGACGGAGAGCTGTGGAAATTCTGATGCTCTTTATATGAAGGCACTGGATAGTGATGAGACTGTGAAAATAAGCACAGATATTGTCGATATAAGGGGTGGAGCTGAATTACAGGTATGAAGGCTGATGCTAATGCATTTTCAGAAGTTTCTCATTATATTATGCAAACTAGTTCTGCTTGTACCTGTTTTTGCTCAGTCTCAGACTGTCAAAATTCATATCCTCTTAAATGCTTGTTTGTTGAAATGCACATTTTGTGTTGAATTCAGAAGTAAGAGTGTTTGTGAATAATGTATTGTGTAATGCGAAAACAACATTTTTGTTGTCTTTGTGGGTTTGGGGTTTTATTCTGCTATCATAAAGGACCAGAATCTGAATAGTTTTGTCTAACGGCTGCAATGATGTTTCTATATTGAGTACAATAAATCTTTTTGTAAGTAAAAGAAGCCTTGCAAATGACAAGCCACAGGTGGCCCAGTACAGTATCTGGTCTCTGTGATATTGTGCTGCTCAGTGACGACATTTCATCTGTCCCGGGACATTGGATAAACTCAGTGGCAGCATCACCCCCTCCGTCACTGCACAGTTAATTTAAATAAATAAAAAATTAAGAACTCATAGGCACATAAACTGTAACTGCCCACATAGCAACATTTCTTCGGCCCAGATCTGGCCCACATCTGGCACTTGTGGGATGCGGATCTGGCCCACATGCAGCAATGAATGACGGCCCTTGGGTGACAAGCCACAATAATTGTTGTTAAATTAACACTGCTCAGTGTTTCTACGAGTCCATACTCAGAGACTGTTAAATGAACACTGAAGCAGTGCTAAAGTTAATGAGATAAGTAAGTGAATAATTGAGCATTATCGAAGACATCTGATGTAACAAGCAGAATCACTAAAGGAGGAAAATCGTAATTGGTATGTTACCACTATGGAGATCAGTGTTTGCTTTAGTCATTAACTTCATATATTCGTCTGAAGATCTGAAGTTAATGTGGGAAGTAGCAGTGTTATTTTATTGTAGGGGCAACAGAGCAAAAAATAATTACCCAAATGCTAAATATATATTTACCTCCTTTTTTGCATCAATTTTCGTCCCCTTCTGATGTGTTCCACTTCTTCATTTCCAGGGAAGCACACGATCATGAGTCTCCAGTGATTTCTGAAAAAACATTAATAGACAATACAAGTAAAATAAGCTTTGATAATTGCATATGTGCCATTCACAGTGCTACTATCACAGATCACAATCACTTCCATTATTATAAATGTTTAAATGGACATCTAATTTGTAACATGAAAAGTTCATTAGACTGATTATTGCATAATAAACCCCAATATGTGTTGTTACTGAGAATCAACAGACTGTTAGAAGGTGTGATTGGCCAGTCATATTTGAGCTTTACACAGAGCTGTGTAATAATTCATAGCAACCAGTAAATAACATTCTCGACTATCAAATGATAGTCCTTTCGAAAAATGTCCTCATGTTTTGTCCAGTTGTTGACCAGAAAATCCACTAAAATTGCATAGATGACATGATTAATCATGTGGTTGCAATAATTCTTCAATAATAGGATTCAATATACGTATAACTATGACGCTATATGGCTTCTTCAAAAGCCAAGCAAGGCTAGACACTGTAGCATAGACATCTACAAATATATAAAGAGAAACTGGCTGTGAAACTCCAATTCATTTAATGATCCCTTAGCTATCTTAACATATCGGTAACTCCTACCTGGTTTTTAATTTAGTGAAAATTTAAAATCTTGTTGAGAATTAACAGAGATTTAGGTACAGGTGTTTTATTGATAATAATAAATATTGTGGTCACCATTATGATGATCAGTATTTGCTTTAGTTGGGCTGTTGACTCTTTAACATTATTTTTTCTCTGGTTGCTGTAACTGTGGGAATGTACTCATCTGTTTCACTGATCTCTTGCTGTGTCTAAACTTTCATTTTTATGGGTATTTTAATTTTATATTAATTGATTATATATATATCTCTGTGAATCTACAGCATGAGATCCAGCAATGTTTCAATCAGTTATTTTGAAGCATATTGAATTTATATAGTGCATAAACATTTTAATGACCACACACATATATTTACAATCAGCATATGAATCTCAACAATGGTAACAATGTAAAGTTTCATGTTGCAATGCATGCTGGGTGCCAAATTTAAGTATTTAAGTGAACTCATGAAATTAATTATGAATAGATAATATTTCCCCCACACATTGGTTTTGTAATCTCTCAGTAATTCAAAGGAAACTCTCATGTTAGGTCAAGCTTGTGTCTTGATTCTCCTGTGGAAAATGAAGTGATGTAGAAAGCAGTAAGAGGACGAAGCCCTGAGGCTCCGACTGAACACTGTTGAATTACAGCGCTCTTCTGCACTCATGCACAAACACATATCAGTTATTTGTGATAAATAATGGCAATGTTATGAGATTTCTCAATGGTCACTTTTTCAAAACTCTTCACACAGTGAGCACAACAGCAGTCCATGTTGGCAAACTATATTTATATTATTTAAGTAAAAACACGGGTTGTGCAAAAATGGCAACAAGTAGTAAGATGTTTTGCTTGATAACATTACAAGATCCTGCGGAGTTCATTATGAATTTTACAATAAGAAAAGAGTTTAACCATATTCAGTACCAATATATATATTTATATCTATGCATAAAGAAGGAAAGAGAACCCCACATCATGGTAGAATTATAAAGTCCAATTATGTCCAAAAGGTGCTCTTTGTAAAGTTTTTCATTTGGTCGTTCAGATTTTCTCCGCTTCAGAACAGCTACATGCGTCTGTACACATGGATGAGGTTTTTACAGCCTGGACAGCGATGCCTTACGTCCTTGCAGCGTTTCACAAAGAAAGGAATCAAACAACACGGCCAGATCCTGGACAGAAAAAAAAAGTGTCTTAAAAAATAAACTTTAGATCTCCCAAAATACCTTTGTTAGTGGGTCATCATTAGTTTAATCAGTAACTAGAGATTTCTTTCTCTCCATTGACAGTCTTCGCAACTAAAACTTTGATGTTTCAAGAAGTTCATGAAGAGATCGTAAAACTAATCCATATGGATTTAGCGATTTAGTCCAAAAGGTTCGGAAGAGACACGATTACTTTATTTGATGAGCATATTGAATTTAGGCTCATATTTCATAAAAAATATCTTAATTTGTGTTCCGAAAATGAATGAAAGTCTTACGGGTTTGGAACGTCATAAGAGTGAGTAATTAATGACACAATTTTAATTTTTTTGTGAACTAACCCTTTAAATGGGTAATCATCGTTGGCAAAATGGGATTTCAATTAAATTTGGCTGCCTATACAGTAGAGAGATGAAAACGTTTTTGCTAACTTGAGAACCTCTAGTCGAAACTCTTTTGCCAAATTGGAGGGAAAACTTCAACACCCATAATGCACTGGTTGGAAATACAACAGTCCAAGGCCACTCCCACCAGTCTGCTATGGATACGCCTGACTAGTCAAATCCCACGTATGTCTTTAGTTATAATGGTGTAGAAATTGTATGGTGGTGAATTGTATTATATTCAAAGGGTAAACACTTTGCGAGAGGGAGTTATTTTCAGGATATTCTCAGGCGTTGTAAGCAGTGACCAAAGGTTGCAAAGAATCATTAATATGGAGAGAACAGTGCAATGAAAAGGTAGATGTTTTTGACGTTTTGTCATTTCCACCCAACCACTGGACTGAAATACGCCCTCGCGTACAGGTGAGGTAAGAAAGCTGTTGCTATACTTTTACATTTTTACCGTAATGCTGTTTAAAGAGTAGACATAGCACAATCAATTTTTTCATGATAACACTGTAAAATCCAACAGTTGTTCTAACTCATTTTTAGTTAATTTAATTCCCGTCCCTGTTTATTCCTATTGACACGGATCTGAAAACAACTTAAAATGCTGTATTATGTTTGCCAGACAAGTAATTGGCAAAGTCACGTCGTAAAGAAAGACTAAGTGACCACGCACTTTGCATTCAAAGGCACATACCTAAAGACTAAACACGTAACATGTATGTGCATGCCATCACCCTTTTCACAGATTCACGTTTTGAAGTTTACATGGACATGAAAACGGTATCGCTTTCGAAACCCGTTTTCAAAAACGTACACTTTGAAACCTACTTCAAAGTTTGAGTTCTCAGGCCATCAAAACGCCATTGTCGTGTAAATGAACGGCCAGAATGTTTGTTCAATCAATCAATCATGCTGTTAAGAAGTACACATATTTTGATGTAGCCTATTAACTAACATATATAACATTTAAAAGGACTTGATTATAATTGTAACTGTAGTGTGTTTATTTTATTTGATATTATATTTAAAATTATTAGTATATTTTAAATATACTAAGTTGCAAATTCATCATTATACAAATATATTAAAATACATAATACACAAGTTTCAATACGTCTGAATCAGATCTTCTTTTTCCGGAAGTCTGTACACGTTCCTTACCCTAAAATGCCAAGAGATCCACAGATGACCCACACCAAAGTCCCATTGACGAATGTCGTCTGTGTGACGATGTCCTCCTTGCAGAAAGGACATTGCATCGGCGCAGGAACTTCAGTCAGACGTGGTGGCAGAATTACCTTTTTGGCTACATATGCAGAATAAAAGGTAATACTGATGAAAATCAATAATAATATGATCATAAACCTCCAGATTAGTATTCTGTGCAGGTGCATCATGTGCATGCTGAAAGCGTCTAGTGCTTGAACACATAAGTCTGTGAATCTAGAGCTTTTCTGCTCACCCGGGGCAGGCGCAGGTGCAGGCGCAGGTGCAGGCGCAGGCTGGACAATGTTGGGATTGGCTTGTTGGTTGTAAACTATCATTGCAGCTGCAAAAGAAAACAAACAGAATCAGATATTGAGATAAGGGAAATATTATCCTGTACAAGCATCCTGAATGGGACTTAAAAAGAGACTCTCATAACCCCAGACATCGACATTCATTTCTGCTCACCTGGGGCAGGCGCAGGCTGGACAACGTTGTGAATGGCTTGTTGGTTGGCAATTATCATTGGAGCTGCAAAAGAAAACAAACATAACCAGAAATTCCTTTAAACCTGAGATAAGGGAAATATTATCGTGTGTAAGCATCCTGGATGGGAGTTAAACAGAGACTCTCATAACTCCAGACATCGACATTCACCAACGGCATGCAGGCTTACTTGAAGAATGGACTGTTTGAGGACTGTGGTGCAGTGAAGCAAAACATGAGTTTTATTAGTCAGAACTGACAGGTTCAAGTTTCCCCAAGATCCAAACTGCATTTGGAGATTCTTCATTGTTTTTTAGGGTCATATCTATGGAAGCTGATTTCCACCACATACGAAAAAAAAAACAAAAAAACAAAACCCATACTTTTGTTTATCATAATGGTCTTAAGCCAATGTTGGTGAATATTGGACAAACCTTCTGGGATGAGTTCGAAAAGGTAATTTTTTTATTTTTGAACATTCGAAATTTCCAAGAATTTTAATTACGGAAAATTATGTCATAGGGTGCAAATTTGCACAGGTGGTGGCGCTAGAGGGATTGAGGATTGCTGTGGTGAATGTTCAGACTGCCCACTATCTTTGTGCCAAATTTCAAATCTTTTTACCATACGGTTCTATAGGCTGAAGACATCAAGAGTAGAAGAACAAGAACTCTATTGGGTTCATAAGGTGCTCGGACCCTATTTATGCGTACATATTAATATCTTAAGTCAAACAACACAGTTGTACAGAACAATATGCCATGTTTTTACAACCTTTCCCTTAATGTTTAGAAGGTGTCAGAAGTGGAATGCTGTTGGACTACTGCATTTTTTTTTTTTTTTGATGCTCATTGTGATATGAAGAAACGTTCCAGTTTCCTTTTAAACTACACAGTAAACATCAGCTGTCACCCATATTAGAGGACTGGACCATTTGGGATGCCATGACTGACGTCTTTTGGGGCGGTGGATTGTATACAGTGGGAACTGCAAAAAAGATCATTATTGAAGCACTGTAGTTAGCCACCAATGACCAGTAGACTCTGAATTGAATCAGAGTGAGGGTTCACTGACCTGGTTGGGCTTGATAGTTAACCTGCTGTGTCTGGTTAGCAAAGTTGATGTGGACCGGTCCAGGATATGGAGGGGGGTACTGTCCATAATTCATAATCAACAATCTGTGAATGAGAAATACATGCTTTAATGAAGTGTTGTAAAGGTTTTACATACAACACTGGCAAAGCAACAATAAAACTAACAAATAGACCGAATGTTGCCTTTCGACGTAACAAATCAGGAAGTACTGAAGTGTTTGGATTGTACAGATTCTTGTGGTTGCATCAATCATTTGTTATCAGTGATGAACATTCATAAGTGAATGAATCAAAAATACTTTAAACATCAAACAGGTCGGCATACTTCTTGGGTTTATGTACTCATGCTATTGAGGTGAACAGGAATGTCAAGTGTGAACAGCAGCACTCAGTATTTTAATGGACATTAACTATAAACTTGATCTGCTAAGGCTTCACTATACTTTCTGTCTTAATTGTGAACAATATATCTGGTCAATCATTATTATATAGAATAACTTTATTCATTTAAAACCTGAAAAAAAAACACAATTTTTAATTAAATATTTTACTGCAAAAAGTGTGTGAGTCTTTCAAATGCAACTTGTTTTGATATTTTGCATCTAATGTCATGACTTTGTTATTCTCTTTTAAGTGTGTCTTACAGTAAGTGTCCAGTGTTCATCAATGTCTAACTGTGCTATCATGGAAACTGATTTCATGAAAGGAGAGTCCCTGATCAGCCAGTTTGACAACATTTTATCTGTTATCATTTTATCACAAATTCATTTTCAGAGTGATAGACGAGTCAGCGTTAAGACAAAGTACATACTTTAGAGTGTGTAGTAGAAGAGTAGGTAAGCAGGATATACTACTTTGTTATAATTGCATCTGTAACCGTCTTGCTAGCAGGACGTTTGACTCTCTTTTTTATTGCGCTATTTTTTTCCTATCACACATTTGAGGAATCATCATGAATTCATTTGTAAGCTTAAAAACTCAAAATTCATGATATTGGACATTGCGTTACCATGGTAACTATGATTTTATTTTATTTTAGCCAGCTCCGCCTCCTAGTGGGTGGAGTCATTTTTTATACAACAAATTTTAATTTACATATTTACAATCAAAATGTTTTCTAATCTTGACTAAACTCATATCGTCGGAAAGGCCCCAGACTCAAGGTTACTTGTTTGGCGACTGTTTTGTAATAGAAGTGATATTGTGACAGAAGTGTATTAATTTGTTACAGTAGAACGCTTCAAATTTTATTTTATGGAATCTAGGTGTCAATTTCAATAGAAGGTATGTGTCTTATCCTGTGGCTATCACGCCTAAACGAAATCTCATAGGAACTAATGTTTTTGTGATATCAACTTCAAATTTGGAACACAACTTGGTTAGACATATGGCTTTGACTTAGCAGCAATTTTAGTGAAAAATATTTTGTATTATATCAAGTGTTACGAACTGCTCCGAGACTGGGAGATGTAGATCCAAATGCAGCTTTATTAAGAATAGTCGTACAGGCAGGGTCGAGAATCAGCAGACAGGACAATGGAGAATACACAATGGGAATCCAAGAAGCAGGCAGAGGTCAGGGCAGGCAGCAATAGTCAAAATCCAAGAACAATCCAAAAGTCAAAAAACCAGAAAACAAACACAGAAAATGCTCAGAAATGCAGACAAACAGTACAACAAGACTTCGCAGGGATTGAACAAATGAACCAGGTATATATAGACAGACAAACAGGATGATACACAGGTGAATGCTATCAGAGAACAAGGTACAGGTGAGTGTGATCAGTGAAGATGAGTCCGAGCAATGAGTTATGGGAAATGTAGTCTGAGAGTGATACAAGACTAATCTGGAGTGCCTACTGGTGGGTATCAAGGGCACTCCAGCTGGTGACCGTTACATAGCCCCCCCTTTAAGGAGCGGATTCCAGACGCTCCTCAAAATGTCCAGGAGGGAGGTGAAGCAGAGGCGGACCTGGGGGCGGGATGGAGGGCCAGGCCCGTGGAGCGGAAGAGGACCTGGAGACTGCGGCGGAGCTGGCTGTGGAGGCGACCAGGTCGGAGCAGGCTGTGGAGGTTGGAGACCCCTCGGGCGGCCACGGCGGCGAAGACCCCTCGGGCGGCCACGGCGGCGAAGACCTCTCAGGACCAGACACCGGCTCAGGAACAGACACTACAACAGAAATGGTCACAAGGACAGATACAGATACAGACACAGAAACAAACACTGGATCGGGAGCAGACACTGGATCGGCCATCTTGTCCGGAGACACTGGATCGGCCATCTTGTCCGGAGACACTGGATCGGCCATCTTGTCCGGAGACACTGGATCGGCCATCTTTTCCGGAGACACTGGATCGGCCATCTTGTCCCTAAACAGTGGCTTGGAGGCGGTGACGTGAACTGTCTCTAAATTGGCAGAAGTAACATGAACAGTCTCTGAATATGCCATCTTCTCTATAGACACTGGCTTGGAGGCGGCCATCTTATCCGTAGACACTGGCTCGGAGGCGGCCATCTTGTGCGTAGACACTGGCTCGGAGGCGGCCATCTTGTGCGTAGACACTGGCTCGGAGGCGGCCATCTTGTGCGTAGACACTGGCTCGGAGGCGGCCATCTTGTCCGTAGACACTGGCTCGGAGGCGGCCATCTTGTCCGTAGACACTGGCTCGGAGACGCGAAGCGTCTCTGGCTCGGCAGAAGTGACGTGAACAGGCTCAGACTCGGCAGGGCTGACATGGAACTCAGGCTGGGCTGTCTCGGCGGGACGTGACTCTGGCTGGGCTGTCTCGGCGGGACGAGACTCTGGCTGGGCTGTCTCGGCGGGACGAGACTCTGGCTGGGCTGTCTCGGCGGGACGAGACTCTGGCTGGGCTGTCTCGGCGGGACGAGACTCTGGCTGGGCTGTCTCGGCGGGACAAGACTCTGGCTGGGCTGTCTCGGCGGGACGAGACTCTGGCTGGGCTGTCTCGGCGGGACGAGACTCTGGCTGGGCTGTCTCGGCGGGACGAGACTCTGGCTGGGCGGAAGTGACGTGAAGCGTCTCTGGCTCGGCAGAAGTGACTTGAAGCGTCTCTGGCTCGGCAGAAGTGACTTGAAGCGTCTCTGGCTCGGCAGAGGTGACTTGAAGCGTCTCTGGCTCCGCAGAGGTGACGTGAAGCGTCTTTGGCTGGACGGTCTGGACGGTCTCTGGCTGGACGGTCTCTCGCTGGACGGTCTGGACGGTCTCGGGCTGGACGGTCTCTCGCTGGACGGTCTTCTTGGCCCTCCGGACTGACATCAGCGGCGGCTGTGTCACGGTGGACATCAGTCCTGGACACCCATAAACGGATGACATGGCTGGCTTGACGGCTGAAGTAACGAGAAGATTCTCAGGCAGTGCGGTTGTGATAACCTCCTCCTCCACCTTCCCTACGGTGAAGGTGGATCCACAAAACTCCAGGACAAAGTCAATATACTGTGCCAGGGTCCAGCTGGGGTCTTCCTCTGGTAAATTTATCCTAATGTCCTGGTCTAGTCCACTCCAGAAACAATCTTTCATCATTGAATCATCACCGGGAACAAGATGACTATAAAAAAGAAACTCCTCCACATACTCCTCAATGATGCGATTGAACTGATAAATACTACACAATTCTCTCAGCGGATCCTGAATGGTACCTGTTAGACTCATGTTGGTCAACGGTGCTGCTGGATCTCAGTGTGGCGAAGTCTTCTGTTACGAACTGCTCCGAGACTGGGAGATGTAGATCCAAATGCAGCTTTATTAAGAATAGTCGTACAGGCAGGGTCGAGAATCAGCAGACAGGACAATGGAGAATACACAATGGGAATCCAAGAAGCAGGCAGAGGTCAGGGCAGGCAGCAATAGTCAAAATCCAAGAACAATCCAAAAGTCAAAAAACCAGAAAACAAACACAGAAAATGCTCAGAAATGCAGACAAACAGTACAACAAGACTTCGCAGGGATTGAACAAATGAACCAGGTATATATAGACAGACAAACAGGATGATACACAGGTGAATGCTATCAGAGAACAAGGTACAGGTGAGTGTGATCAGTGAAGATGAGTCCGAGCAATGAGTTATGGGAAATGTAGTCCGAGAGTGATACAAGACTAATCTGGAGTGCCTACTGGTGGGTATCAAGGGCACTCCAGCTGGTGACCGTTACATCAAGGTATTGTCAAAGTTTGGAGATGGTTTGTGAATGTCAGTGAAGCGACGCAATGGCAGTGAAGTCACATGACAATGACAACATGTGGATGTAGTATGTAGTAGAACATACTTTTTAACAGTCTCAGATTAAGTTTGAAACCAAACATTGAACCTACTATTCAGTATGCCATTTCAGATGCAGTATTTTTATTTGCTCTTATACTAATTCAAATCAGATCCTCGTCCAACACGCAACGGGTTGTGGGCAATATTATCTGTTATCTGAGTGTGCACACACTGTAAAAATGAATACGACTGAATATGTTAAATCTAATCAATAAAATTGAGGCAACAGATGACAATCAATATTATTAATTAAATTCAACAAATTAGAATTGAGTAATAATTAACCAAACGAATTACTTAAAAGTTAACGATTTAAAATTAGTAAAATTTACACATATTTCTAAACAGAAATATCGGAATAACAGACTGACGTCAAAAGATGAATTAAGAACTCTTTTTTATTACCATCATTGAAGACACCCTGATGTTAACAAGCAGAATCACTAAAGAATAAAAGCTTGATTTTTAAGTCACCATTATAGAGATCAGTGTGTGTTTTAGTTGGGCTCTTGACCATTAAATTGTTAACTTTAGATGGCTTTTTTTTCACTGTGGCTTTTGTCAGTGAATCATGATAGCCAGATGAACAAATAAAAAAGCTGATTTAATGGTGTTGCTTGTCTTTTTAACGTAATCATTATTTCACAATCATTTGACCTAATTCACTGAACTCACATAGAGTCCAGTTTCGGTTTACTTATTTAATTATAGCAGCATGTCCTTGTACAGTACAATATTTTTATGATGTTTACAAGGCAATCCATAGAACTTTTTTTAATGTGTCTCTAAACATGATTTAGTTTTCACACAGAAGTCTAGAATCAGCCTGTGATTCTCAACAATGGTGACAATAATAGGGCATGTTGTAGTGCATTCTGGGAGCCACCATTCAAAACTCATTCATGGCTCCCATCATGCATTGGTGCATGAATAAATAGTGAGCTTATGATCAGAGGTCATCTGTTTATCACCATTGCTGAGATTCATACGCTAATTCTTGATGTCTGTGTGTGCCTCCATAAAATAATTTCTGAAGTTATCTTTTTATTGTTTTGATCCTTTGGTTTCATTGAAAATACTAAAATATGATACTGTTCAAGGCCAATGATGCTGTAATTAATAAAATAAACCTTAGTCAGAAACTGGGCTCTATATGAGTTAAGTGATTCAGGTCAAATTATTGTGAAATACTGATTATGTTAAAACACAACCAACACCATCAGATCACCTTTTCTATTTGTTCATCTGGCTTTTATAATTCACGTTTAACAGCCAAACAACATCTAAAGTTAACAATTTAATGGTCAAGAGCCCAACTAAAACACACAGTGATCTCTATAATGGTGACTTAAAAATCACGCTTTTCTTCTTCAGTGATTCTGCTTGTTAACATCAGGTGTCTTCAATTATGGTAATAAAAAGAGTTCTTAATTCATCTTTTGACGTCAGTCTGTTATTCTGATATTTTTGTTTAGAAAAATATGTAATTTTTACTCATTTTAAATGGTTATCTTTTAATTAATTTGTTTGGTTAATTATTACTCTATTCTAATTTGTTAAATTTCATTAATAATATTGATTGTAATCTGTTACCTCAATTTTATTGATTAGATTTAACATATTCAGACATATTTATTTTACAGTGCAGATCTACACTTTGAATTTCCACCAAAACTAGTAAACCGTCCGGGTACCTTTGGATTCTCATTTCACCATACTACGATTTGAGTCTCCAATACTATTTAAGACAAATAATATGCAAATTGGAAAAAACACAAGAACATGAACAGCTGAACAAATGCTGTGTTAAAAACATGTCGTATTTATGGTAATTTCAACATGGTTTAAACTCAGCATCTGTGTCAAACATTTCAAATTTGAACACGATAAAAGTGAGAATGTTTTAACAATCGCAAAGGAAACAAGTACTAACAGGCATTAAACACCACAACAAACTAATTGACAGATGGCAATGAATACACAGCAAAATTCCCAGTGTAAAATTAACTCTCCTTATTAAAGGACAATTCAGCTGCATAATTTATTCATACTGCAATGCATTGTGGGAGCCATGGATGGATTTTGATTGGTGGCTCCCATCATGCACTGCAACATGAATCTATTGTGCGATTATCACCATTGTTGAGATTCATATGTAGATTCTTGATATCTGTGTGGGATTTTAAAACCTTCAGAATAGTAAAGCACTGCTGGAATTAGCTACTGTAATGAAAATGAGTAGAACCTTTGTATACTCAGTTTATAATGCTGGTTGAGTGAATCAAGACACTACAATATTTAATTTCATCATTTAAACATAACCATCATGACCTGGGCTGAGTTTCCCAAAAACTTTTTAAGCCTAAGCTGATCGTAGAACAATTGCAACCAAAGGTCTGTACGATCAAATTTGGCTCCCGATGCTTTCAGGAAACACAGTCCATGTCATGTTTTCTCTTGCAGTAACACATGTGCTTTATAAACACAGAGTTGGAGAAGCCAGAGAAAAACTAATGATAAAAATCAAAGGGTCAAGAGCCCAACTAAAGCAAACACAAATACTATTGGATAATGCGACATGAAACGAAACATTCCATAAAACATTACCATCTAAACTTTTGTTCAATACAAATAAGAATATGTGTAGATGTATGAAAGAACTACACTGGTAATAATAAGTACAATAATGTGTAATGGATCGAAGTGAGTAGTTCTTATGTTTCTCTTTTTTCTTTTCTTCTTGTTTCTCTTTCCTTCAATGATTCTTCTTATTAACATTAGGTGTAACCCCTAATGGCCAATCATCACTTAATTAATCACTTAATTATCTCATTAACTTCAACACTCCTTCAGTGTTAATTTTTAACATCCTGTAGTTGGAGCTATATGTACACCGAGAGTGTACATATGTACACTGGGGATTTTGCTGTGTAGAAAGTATATACTAAACTAAGGTGACCACGCTGCACTTTAGGCCACTTTTGACATTTACCTGATCTGTTCAGCCTTCTTAATATTAAACTTAAAACACAGGTCAGAATTTGAATATCAAGTTTTATTAATTTCTAAAATATCTAAAACACCCAAACTTATAATATGACACATACCTGCAGTCGGTGGAGAGCTGTGGAGATTCTGATGCCCTTCCCTATAAAGACACTTGGACAGATAGAGAGACTCTCAATGCACTGATATAAGAAAGGACAGAAATAAGGGGTGGGGATGAAAGCTGATGATAATGGCCAATCAGAAGTTCTGTATGATGTCTGAACTGCTTCCGGACTGAAAGATTAGTGGGAAAATGTTCAAAAAACACTTCATGTACACCCATCTCATCCCAACCATGACCATAACCAACTTATCCAGTTTTGCTCAATCTCAGACGGTTGACCTTTTACATACTCTTAAATGCTTGAGATAAAAATTCTAAAAAGAGAACTGCGTGCCATGCGTTATACAGATAAACCCCATATTTTTGTTGGAAGAGGTTCAGTTACAGCCTGTAATGTGCACAATGTTAGTTTTTTATGTATCCTGGTAACAAATGGACATTCTTGTAATTGGACAGTAAGACTGGACAATGACAACAATGTATTTGCCTTTGTGGGTTTGATGTTTTATTTTGCTGTTCTACAGGACCATTTAATAAAAGCCTCCCATTCTATAAAGCACTCTTTAATGGGCTCTTTGCACAATGGTATTTCCGGTGAATACCAAGGATGCTGGATTACTTCCGCTGATCGTAGAGTCCAATGCTATACAGAGAATTTACATTGGTTTTTATTAGAGGTGGAAGGGTACACAGAAGTCACGGTTCGGTTCATACCTCGGTTCAGAACGATTTCGGTACAATGGAGGGAAAAGCAAAACAAAAATACAGAAGGCATTGTATTTTTTAAAGGGACTCTGTGTAGATTTTTAGGTATTTTATTATCTGAAATCAATATTTTTATTCATAAATATGTCCTCAATGGTGTACAAATACCTCTGCAAATTATCTGACTTATCCTCGTAAATGAAGAATTTATTATCTTTATGTACATGGGACGGGTAGGTTCACGGAGGCTTCCATGTCCGTTCCGCCATCTTGAAAACTATAATAGCAGAGAGGGTCAAAAAGTACCACAAGCCAAACGCGTTTCCACAACGCGTTTTCGTTCAGACTCAGAGCCATCGTCACGTCACATTGAGAGGCACATTCCCTGCAAGTTTAAACGGCTGCATTGCACTCCTATGATTGCTGATTGCTCTTTTGCTCTATTATTTGTTGCGGACCATATGCCGAGTCACAGGAGAATGCATCCTCCTCGCAAAAAAAGGCCAGACTTGAACGAAAAAGGAAACGTGACCGGAGATTGCAAAAAACAAGACCATTCATTTTTCCGTCATAAAATTAATCGGATATGGTTCGATTTTCTGCGTTTTTCGCAGCCAGCATTTTGAGAGGTCTTTTGACAATTCAGGGCCGGGGGAGCTCGTCCTCAAATCATTGAACATTATGCGCCGTGCTTTCAGTTTCGGTTTTCAATTCGATCAAGTGTTTATGTTCTCTTCTCTATATTGGATTATGAAATTAATAAACCTCGATCCTCTTTCAATCAGATTGAAATTTAGGATCGAATAAAGTGTGATTGAGCAGCCTATTCGATAACTAATGTATTATTTGGGCACAATATACACAATACATACACAATAACAGCCTAGCTGTTCTGTCTGTCCAGCGCTTCCACAGGGCCGCGCGCGGGTGTGTGTGTGTTTGTGTGTGTCCATACCTGGTCCATACCAGACACACTGCCAGTCTCCGTTCAGAATCGATTGGTTCACGGAAATTGGTGGTCTTGTTTTTAATATGTGGCTCCAGAATCGCTAGCAAAGCATCAAACTGTCCCGCTGACATTCTGAGGTAAATTTTGAATCGCTCAGGATAAATTCGCAACTTCTTGATAATGAACTCCTTCCTCTCGGCGCAATTTCAGGATTGGATGGATATTTTCTATTTCTTCTCTTTTCAATATGAGAGAGGGCAAAAATCATCCTCACTGCTTGACGAATCCATTTGGTATTTTTGCGTTTTTTCCCGCAAAGGTTTAATAAATACGCAACGGACTCGGTGTGCAAGGTTTCTATGCGTGACGAATTTTTAGGCTGACGTACAGGAAAATACGCATACGAATATTTCGTGCTCAGTGTGCAATGGCCTTAAATATCGGGATAGCGTTTTCAACCGTGGAAATAGCTAATGCAGCAGAAAGATTTCAGAAGAGACGCTGAAGTTGCCTGCTTTCTCCTCGACAGGTTAGTCAATGTTACAGTCTGACTTAAATTTTTTTTGTCATTGCTTGGTTGTGTAGCCTACTTTATTATATAGACAGTATAACATTTATAGGTAAAAAAGTTAAACAAGGTCTTTGATGAATAGCAGCTATTGACTTCTTTACTCGCAGCTATTGTGAAGGAAGGTGCTAAAAACAAGGTTTGTAAGTTAATTCTTTATAACCTATAAATTCAGTAAGAATATAGAGATAATGATTGTAAGAAAATATTGCTCTCTGTAAGATTTTCTATAGCTTTCTTTTTATATATAAATGATCAATTAGCTAAAATTGTGATTTTGCTATGTGGATAAGATTGTACAGAGAATTAAAATTAAATTATACAGCTAGACACATAAATTGTACACATAAGTTAACACATAAGTTGCTGTTTTTTTTTTAAGTTACAAACCTGTTCACCCGGAGAAAAACTCGATGAAGTGTTACTACAAGACATCCTGTCATAGCATTTTTGGTACATAACGGCAACCGTAGATGCAATACGCACTTGAAAAAGCGAGGCGCTGGAGAGCAAAATTCGTTTGAATGCAAAATACTATTTAACCACTAGATGGGGGTATTTCCTACACAGAGTCCCTTTAAATAAGTCATAGAACCAGTTTATTTGTAGTGCACTGACAATAGTTTTATATAATTAGTTTATTAATTAAATGACTAAAAATACCTTGAGATATGTCTGGTAATTGTGCCTGAATTAATTTTGAAATTATTTTGCTATATTTCAGATAAATATATTTGTTTTCCTTAATTTTAATTAACATTATTAATTAACAATGTAACATTATTCTCATCTGAATTTTAAATAATTTTTTTCTGTATAAAATTATACTACCATTAAAAACACATTCGATTTTCTTTTTTAATCAATGTAGAATGTGTAAGATTAGTGCTCCGAAGACAAGAAATGAAAACCAACTCAATATGAATGTCCAAAAGATGGGACCCACAGACTGTTTTGAAATGGAGATGGATAAATATGTTTTGCTTTTAAAACAGTGTGTGTGTGTGTGTGTGTGTGTGTGTGTGATTTTGGTTTTGTGACAGTTGAAGGTTACAGTTTGTCAAGAGTTTACAGTGTGACAAAAGCACAATGTTGTGTTTTATTGCGAGTGTGCACAAATATAAGGAAACAGGTTTGCAGGTTTAATGAACAAAATGACTGAGTAACAGTAATGTTATTTACGTTTCCACTGTTTTATCGCGCACGCGCCTCTCTCTCTCTTTCTTTTTCTCTTTCTCTCTCTCTCTCTCTCTCTCTCTCTCTCTCTCTCTCTCACACACACACACACACACACACACACACTCCAGCATTGCAATCTTGACATGCAGCCTGTTCATTAAGCGGTCACACCAAACGCGAATAGAGTGTCAAATTCGCGTCTATCGCGTCTAGTTCGATGTTAGTCCAAAGCTAATAGGACGCACTTATAGCATGTGAATCTCAACAATGGTAACAATATAAAGTTTCATGTTGCAATGCATGCTGGGTGCCAACAGAGTAAAAAGCTCACTTTAGCATGAATAAATTATGCAGCTGAATGTTTTTAATGGCACCATTGTTATATGTGTGCGTCTATTTTATGTGCAAAATCTGTAATAAAATAATTTTAAAAAAACAGAACATTTGATTTTATCTGATTGCTGTTGGATCTTCTCTTGCTCTAGTTTCACAGTGGTGGTGATATCAAATTTAAGTTTGTTAATAATGTAACAATTTTGGGGTCAAACACTCTTTTAATATTTGAAGAGTTCAGATGCAAAAGCCTCTAAGTGCCATTTGAAAATTTCTTCTAGAATGATAATTTTTATCAAGCTTGTATATTTAAGTTCAGTGATTTCACTTAAATGGCAATGATAATTACCTATTAATTGTTATTTAAGTGAAATTACTAAACTTAAATATACAAGTTTGATAAAAATCATCATTAAAGAAGAAAATTTCAAATGGCATTTAGAGGCTTTTGCATCTGAACTCTTCATTTATACCCCTTTGATTATCAATTGCTATCAGGATGAGAGGAGAGTTTCAACCAGTAGGTTGAGTTTCAATAGAGTTTCAACTATAACAAAAAGTGTTTATAAAACAAATTGAGGTTGTGTAGGTACTAGGGAGTTTTTATTTGTTGCTGTTTCATGTATTAGCCACTAGAGAGCGTCCTAGTATCTGTTTTTTTTTTTTGAGTCAACATCTATGCCCCACACATTCATCTTTGCAAGTGCAAACAACACGGCCAGATCCTGGACAGAAAAAACAGAGGAGAATTAGAGTGTTCTTATCATTCTGTAAGGCCGTCTATTAGTCCAAGGAGGGTTTCCAATAATGCGGGGAAGGTATCTGCGTATTTCTTGCCTTTCCTTTCACGCAACACAACAATATTAAATGCAATATATTTTCTTATATGCATTGACTCGGAATTTCATCTGACTCCATAAAATGAAAACGTTTTAATGATGCATCATTAAAACATTTTCATTTTTGACAGTATAGTGTCCCTGTCAGTATACTGAGGCATTAGGACCCACACAGACCACAGGGTGAGCACCCCATGCTCGCCTCACTAACACCTTTTCCAGCAGCAACCCATCCAGGTTCTAAACAGGCTCAGCCCTGCTTAGCTTCAGTGGGCAACCAGTCTTAAATGTTAATGATTTATTGAAAATAATGAAGTTTCTTCTATGGTCGCCATTATGGTGATCAGTGTTTGCTTTAGTTAGTTGGGCTTTTGACCCTCAACTTTTTAACTGCTTTGACGCACTGTTTATAAAATGCAATCATTACACCAATAAAAAAACAAAACCCCATCATTTATCACTTAGTTTATCACTGATCAAAAGGTTATTAAACAAAATCAAATATTGTATTATAAAAACACTGATACTATAGCAAGAGCACTTTAACCTGCACTGTTGTGGTAGTCAGTTAGTTTTTTTAAACACATTGTGCACAAAACATTTTGAACTGCTTTTATATTTAGACACAAACACATCAAGAATCAGTGTATGAATCTCAACAATGGTGACATAATGCATGCTGGGAGGAATGGGGATTTGATTATTCTAGGTATCCCGTGGTCTCAAATATTTGTTCATTACACAGCAAAATCCCCAAACTACAACTAATTGTATTATTAGTTAGGGTTAGGTTAAGGTTACACAGTAAATTCAAATAATAATTAAAAAAATTTGAGTTGGAAAAAACTATCCATGGAGTCAGAATTTAAATTAGAAACCAAAAAGTGATTTTTACAGAAGCACCCAAAGACATACATGCAGAATACCTTCAAGCTTTTTAAGATTTTTTAGAAAAAAATTGGTGTGGCAGACCTTTAGATTAACATTTCTTTTTTAAAAAACAAAACAAAACACTGAATTAAAAACACGGGTTGTTCAAAAATGGCAACAAGTAAGATGTTTTGCTTGATAACATTACAAGATCCTGCATTATGAATTTTACAATAAGAAAAGAGTTTAACCTTCAGCATCCATCCATCTATATCTATATCCATCTATGTCTATATCTTTATTTATATATATTTGCATAAAAAAGAGAAAGAGAACCCCACATCATGGTATTATTTTCTTTGAATTATTAAGTCCAGTAATGTCCATAAGATGCTGTCTGTAAAGTTTTTCTTTTGTTCGTTCAGATTTTCTCCGCTTCAGAACAGCTACATGCGTCTGAACACATGGACGAGGCTTTTACAGCTTGGACAGTGATGCTCTACGTCCTTGCAGGCATTCACAAAGAAAGGAATCAAACAACATGGCCAGATCCTGGAAAGAAAAAAATAAGTGTCTTAAAAAATAAACTTTAGTTTCTCCTGAAACACCTTTGTGGAGTGGGTCATCATTAGTTCAATCAGCAACTAAATAGAGATTTCTTTCTCTCTATTGACTTCGTAACTACTACATTGATGTTTCAAAAAGAGATCGTAAAACTAATCCATATGGATTGAGCGATTTAGTCCAAAATGTTCTGAAGAGACACAATCACTTTATATTATGTGCATATTGATGAGCTTTTTTCAGAAGTCTGTACATGTTCCTTACCCTAAAATGCCAAGAGTTCCACAGATGACCCACACAAAAGTCCCATTGATGTATGTCGTCTCTGTGACGATCTGCTGCTGGCAGTGAGGACATTGCATCTGCCCAGGAACTTCAGTCAGACGTGGTGGAATAATTACCACTGTGGCTACATATGCAGAAAAAAAGGTAATACTGATGAAAATCAATAATAATATGATCCTAAACCTCCAGAATAGTATTCTGTGCAGGTGCATCATGTGCATGCTGAAAGCGTCTAGTGCTTGAACGCATAAGTCTGTGAATCTAGAGTTTTTCTGCTCACCCGGGGCAGGCCCAGGCTGGACCATCTGAGGGACGGTGGACATGACGGGCTGTTGGTTGTAAACTACCATTGGAGCTGAAAAAGAAAACAGAACCAGAAATCTTTCCTTCAAACTTGAGATAAGGAAAATATTATCCTGTAAACTTTTGCTTTCCATTTTATAGTTTCATACTAAAAAAAAAAAAATCATCATAGGGTACAAATTTGCACAGGTGGTGGCGCTAGAGGGATTGAGGTAGAGACTCTGAATTTGCTTTGGTGAATGTTCAGACTGCCCACTATCTTTGTGGAATGCTGCTGGACTTCTGCATTTTTTTGCTGCTCATTGTGACATAAAAAAACTTTCAGCTCTCACCCATGCCAGAGGACCGTTTGGGATGTCATGATGACTGACGTCTGTTACACTGCAAAATCCCCAGTGTTAAATCAACACTGAGAGTGTTAAATTAACACTGAGAAGTGTGAATTATATAAACTCTGAGCAGAGTGTTAAATGAACACTGAAGCAATTTAAGTCACCATTATGGTGATTAGTGTTTGGTTCAGCAACTAGAAAAGGTGATCTGATGGTGTTGGTTGTGTTTTAACATAATCATTAATTGACCTGCATCACTGAACTCATTAAGAGCATACATTCTGAGTTAAATTTACCTTATGGATTTTAGCAGCACGGTCATTTTAGAACATTCCATTTTTAGCCTTTTCAATGAAATCCAAACGATCAAATGAAAATAAATAACTAAAAAAAAATATATATTTTATGTAGGCATGCACAGACATCAAGAATATAAATCTCAGCAATGGTGACAAACAGATCACCTCTGAACATTAGCTCATTATTTATTCATGCAGCTATCCACGATGGGAGCCATGAATGAGATTTGATTGGTGGCACCCAGAATGCAATGCAATGTGCTTTATTATTGTCACCATTGTTGAGATTCACAGGCTAATTATTTTTGTCTGTGTGTCTTTTTGAAGAAAAATATAAGAAGTAAAAAAATTGTATAAGAGAAACTTTTAAGAAATTATGTTGAATTTGCTGTACAAGGTCACTGCTGCTATAATTAATAAAGTAAACCTAAGTAAGATATTATGCTCTATATGAATTCCGCGATTCAGGTCAAATGCTTGTGAAATACTGATTATGTTGAAACACAAACATCACCATCAGATTGTTATAACTCATGTACTGCAGCCAAACAAAATCTAAAGTTAGAGAATTAAGGGTGAAGATCCCAACTAAAGCAAACACTGATCTCCATAATGGTGACTTAAATAACGGTTTTCTCCTTCAGAGATTCTGCTTGTTAACATCAGGTGTCTTCAATAATGCTCAATCATCACTCAATTATTCACTTAATTATCTCATTAACTTTAGCACTGCTTCTGTGTTACTTTACCACTGTTTCAGTTTATATGAGTCCACACTTAGAGTGTTAATTCTCTGTGTGAATGACATTGTGCAGCATCTTTACATAAGTGTTCACTTGTGATGAGCTGTGATTGCTCATGTAACTCATCGCTGCTGTGATGATTGTTGGTTGTCAGTGTATTACAATGGTCAAAAACAGAATACATCAATAAGTTGGTGAATCCACATTTTATCAGAAAATAAAACACGGTTTATTACTGTAAATTTTAAGTTAAGTCTGTAAAACTATTAACATTCCTACCGTATTTTTAACGGTAAAGTTCTGGCAACCACAGCTGCCGTTTTTTTACCGTCAAATTTACGGTTTATTTTTTACAGTGTGCGTGTGGTGGCTTCATGTAAATGTGCATGTGATGGACCTGGCTTACCGAGTTGTTTATAATTAGTATTGTTATTTTGTGATGAAGTTAGTGTTTAAATGCTGAGTCTAAACATGCAGTAAGTGTAATTTTAAAAAGGTCTATTAAGAAATTCATATAGCCAATGTGTTCAGATTAATTCTAAAATCTAAATCTAAAATTCACGTCTTTCACGTAATTCATTTGTTAAAATATTTATTATGGTAAACATAGTTCAGTTCTGTGTGTACAATGGGAATTTTTGGTGGTTACATTTACGTGCATGGCTGTTTATTTGAGATTTGTTTTAAATATTTACACTGATTTGTTGTGTGGTTTTAAAAGTTTTTCACCTACATAAATTTTGCAATAAATTGAGAGAAAATTCTTGTGAGTGAAATCCAGTGTTCAATTCAGAAGTAGGAAGCCCCTGTCAAGTGAGGGACCAGTGCAGCTAAAAAGACTTGACCGTGATGGTTCGCTGACCTGGTTGGGTTTGATAGGAAACCTGCTGTGGCTGGTTAGGAAGGTTGACTTGGTTCATTGGCGCTCCAGGATATGGAGGGGGGTACTGTCCTTTATCCATGATCAACAATCTGTGAATGAGAAATAAGTGATTTAATGGTGTGTTTTACATAACTGCAGCGGAAAATCAAACCGAGCTAAAGCAAAACGAGCCGTGCCGTGTCGTACTGAGCCGTATCAAGCCGTACCAGCAGTGGAAAAGCGGCAATAGGATTCATAAGTGAATGAATCAAAAATACTTTCAACGTCAAACAAGTTGGTATACTTCTTGGGTTTATGTAGTCGTGCTATTGAGATGAATAGAAATGTCAAGTGTTTCCCATGTACCTGTGGTTAATGTACCATGTTACAATGAAAGCAATGGGTATAAAAAGAGCCTCTCAGAGTGGCAGTGTCTCTCAGAAGTCAAGATGGGCAGAGGATCACCAGATCCCCCAATGCTGAGGCAAAAAATAGTGGAGCATTATCAGAAAGGTGTTTCTCAGAGAAAAATTGCAAAGAGTTTGAAGTTATCATCATCTACAGTGCATAATATCATCCAAAGATTCAGAGAATCTGGAACAATCTCTGTGCATAAGGGTCAAGGCCGGAAAACCATACTGAATGCCCGTGATCTTCGGGCTTAGACGGCACTGCATCACACACAGGAATGCTACTGTAATGGAAATCACAACATGGGCTCAAGAATACTTCCAGAAAACATTGTCAGTGAACACAATCCACCGTGCCATTCACCGTTGCCGGCTAAAGCTCTATAGGTCAAAAAAGAAGCCATATCTAAACGGGAACCAGAAGCGCAGGCGTTTTCTCTGGGCCAAGGCTCATTTAAAGTGGAAAACTGTTCTGTGGTCAGACGAATCAAAATTTGAAGTTCTTTTTGGAAAACTGGGACGCCATGTCATCCGGACCAAAGAGGACAAGGACAACCCAAGTTGTTATCAGCGCTCAGTTCAGAAGCCTGCATCTCTGATGGTATGGGGTTGCATGAGTGCGTGTGGCATGGGCAGCTTACACATATGGAAAGGCACCATCAATGCTGAAAGGTATATCCAAGTTCTAGAACAACATATGCTCCCATCCAGACATCGTCTCTTTCAGGGAAGACCTTGTATTTTCCAACAAGACAATGCCAAACCACATACTGCATCAATTACAACATCATGGCTGCGTAGAAGAAGGATCCGGGTACTGAAATGGCCAGCCTGCAGTCCAGATCTTTCACCCATAGAAAACATTTGGCGCATCATAAAGAGGAAGATGCAACAAAGAAGACCTAAGACAGTTGAGCAGCTAGAAGCCTTTATTAGACAAGAATGGGACAACATTCCTATTCCTAAACTTGAGCAACTTGTCTCCTCAGTCCCCAGACGTTTGCAGACTGTTATTAAAAGAAGAGGGGATGTCACACAGTGGTAAAAATGGCCTTGTCCCAACTTTTTTGAGATGTGTTGATGCCATGAAATTTAAAATCAACTTATTTTCCCTTAAAATTATGCATTTTCTCAGTTTAAACATTTGATATGTCATCTATGTTGTATTCTAAATATAATATTGAAATTTGAAACTTCCACATCATTGCATTCTGTTTTTATTCACAATTTGTACAGTGTCCCAACTTTTATGGAATTGGGTTTGTATAATTAAATTTTCACTGCTAAAAGTGTGTGAGTCTTTCAAATGCAACTTGTCACACTTAAAAGAGAATAACAAAGTCATGACACTAGATGCAAAATATCAAAATATTTTGCATCTAATGTCATGACTTTGTTATTCTCTTTTAAGTGTGACTACAGTAATTGTCCAGTTTTCATCATTGTCTAACTGTGCTATCATGGAAACTGATTTCCTGAAAGAAGAGCCCCTGATTAGCCAGTTTGACAACATTTTATCTGTCATGAGTTCATTTTCAGTGTGCCAGATGAGATAGCGAAATATTGACGCATGATGAAGATTTCGACTGGTAAAACCATCCTCACAGAACTTGTACACTTTCTGAGGGATCTCTTTTTCTATTGTACTATTTTTTTTTCTATGACATATTTGAGTAATCAATTTCAATAGAAGGTGTCTTATCCAGTGGCTTTTTTTTTGGGTAACTTGCCTAAACAAAATCTGTTTTATTTTTTGAAGTTTGTGATATCAACTTTAAATTTGGATCACAACTTGGTTAGACATATGGCTTTAATTTAGTAGCAATTTAGTGAAAAATGTTTTGAATAATATCAAGCTAATGTCAAAGTTTGGAAAGGGTTTGTGAATGTCACATGACAATGAAAACATGTGGATGTAGTAGAACATACTTTTTAACAGTCGCAAAGTAAGTTCCAAACCAATCCTGGTACCTACTATTCAGTATACCATTTAAGACATAATATTTTATTTTTATTTGTGCTTATACTAATTCAAATCAGATCCTTATCCAACGCGCAATGGGTTGTGGGCAATATTATCTGTTATCTGAGTGTGCACAGATCTCCACTTTGAATTCCCACCAAAACTAAACCGTCCGGGTGCCTTTGGATACTCATTACACCATACTATGATTTGGGACTCCAATACTATTTAAGACAAATAATGTGCGAATTGGAACAAACACAAAAACATGAACATCTCAACAAATGCTGTGTTTAAACCATGTCGTAATTAAGTAATTAGGTGACCACTTTAAACCACTTTTGACATTGACATTTACCCGATCTGTTAAGAAGTTCAGCCTTCTTACTATTAAACTTAAAACACATAGGTCAGAATTTGAACATCAGGTTTTATAATTTTCTAAAATATCTAAAACACCCAAACTTATAATATGACACATACCTGCAGTCGCTGGAGAGCTGTGGAGATTCTGATGCCCTTCCCTATAAAGACACTTGGAGAGATAGAGAGACTCTCAGAATAGGCACTGATATAAGAAATGACAGAAATAAGGGGTGGGGATGAAAGCTGATAATAATGACCAATCAGAAGTTCTGCATGATGTCTGAACTGCTTCCGGACTGAAAGATCAGTGGGAAAATGTTCAAAAAAACACTTCATGTACATCCATCTCATCCCAACCATGACCATAACCAACTTATCCAGTTTTGCTCGATCTCAGACTGTTGACTTTTACATACTCTTAAATGCTTGAGATAAACACACTGCGTGCCATACGTTATACACATAAACCCCATATTTTTGTTGGAAGAGGTTCAGTTACAACCTGTAATGTGCACAATGTTTGTTTTTATGTATCCTGGTAACTAATGGACATTCTTGTAATTGGACAGTAAGACTGGACAATGAAACTGGTTATACCACTGATGGATGCGAAGACAACAATGTATTTGCCTGAATTTGAAAGCGATTTCTGTGTGAGCTGTGCTTCATACATTACTACAATGTTGACGATGGAAAATGCCCTTGAAATTTCACCTAAAGTTTTTCTAATTTGATAGCATCTCAATGCTTTCAGAATTACAAAATGAACAAACTATACAAATGGCTTAAAGTTAACAAAAAATAAGTTTAGCACCACAGATAAAACCAACAAGAATCAAGAAACTCCACTGCATTATCTAATAATGAATCAAGTATAATGCAAAGACAACATTTTTGTTGTCTTATGTGGGCTCAGTGTTTTATTCTGCTATTATAAAGGACCATTATCTGAATATTTTCGTCAAACGGCAGCAATGATGTTTCTATAGAGTAAAATAAATCTTTTGAAGGACTATAATTGTATCCCTAAGTGCAAGGCTGTATTCAACTTAATGAATGACAATTTATGAATAGTGGGCAACCTAAATCTTTCTTTACATTTATCTTTGGTCCACCCATTTAGATAAAATATAGATTTATAAATCGACTTCATTTGATTGAGGTTTTATAGTGAGGTTTAATTTGCTGCTGTTTTACTCGTAGTGCCTTATTTTTGTTTTTGAGTTTCCATGTATCGACTGTTGTATCGCACTCTTTTAGGTTGTGTTTGTCTTGACTAATTTTGGAAAAATACTTTTTATTACAAATCTTTACATTAACTGACTTTTTATGATTGAATGACACACATCTGTGGTCTCCCAGTGCCTTACATTTTGGCAGTTTAGTGTTAAGTGATTTATTTACACCAAAACAAAAGATAACATGTATGCCTTCTCCTCGTTTCTTACACTTCAAGTTACAACAGACTATTTTTCCGTCAGTTCTGTTTCATGAATTGGAATGTGTGCAAAGAATTGTGGGGGATTTCAGGACACAAACTGAAGAGAAAAGACGACATTACATTTCTGAAGATCTCAGCAGAGGAGAAATAAACCACTCAGCATTACCAGCTTCACTTATTACTAACCATTTGATAAAAACTGACTTTATTTCTGTCAGACATCTACAGAAGTTCTTATTGAGGATTAACAGAGATTTAGATGTTTATGATTTGTTGTTTCATTTGAAGTTACCATGATGGTGATCAGTGACTGCTTTTGGTTGTCCCTGTGTTTTATATAAGACATGTTGGTTATGGCAAGAAAGAGAAAAAGAGGCAGATGCTGTTGGTTATGTTTTAATGATGACTTAATCATCATGTAGTATCCTGATTCACTGAACCCATATAGAGTCTTATGTTTGATTATTTAGGTCATTAATTTTACATTATTGATGGTTGTAGCCCAGTAATTGTTGAGATAATCTGTGCACATTGTGCACAATAAAAGCTTGAACTACTGTATCTTTCAGACACACACAGACATCAGGAATCATCATATGAATCTCAACAATGGTGATGATAAAAGTGCAGTGCATGATGGGAGCTATCAATCAAAACTCATCAATATCTCCCAACATGCATTGCAGCATGATTAAATTATGTTGAATTGCCTTAGTATTTTCTTTTATTATTATTAGAACTTATTCTAAACTGTTTTAATTATTCTGATTTCTGTTGATTATTTTAATTTCTTCCATGTAAAGCACTTTGAATTGCCATTGTGTATGAAATGTGCTATATAAATAAACTTGCCTTGCCTTGCCTTATCATCTACTTTTATTTTTGTTGTTGTTTTTGCTGCAACTTTGTAGTAGCTTGTGAGTTTTATCTGATTGTTGTCACCATTGTTGGGATTCATACACTGATTCTTGATGTCTGTGTTGTCTAAATTGCACAGTAGTCAAAAACTTTTTTGTACATCATGTGCTTTTAAAGTTCTTCAGATTATCTGTTCACTGCTGGCCTGCATGCGGTGGGGTCATAGAGCTTTTATACTTAAAATGTGAAATATATTAGTATTAAACATTCCTAATACAATGAAAGATAAGACTCTTTATGTGATTAGTGAATCAGGCCACTACATGATGATTCTGTCACCATCATTAAATAGCCACAACACCTTATTCATGCCATAACAAATGTGTTTTATAAACACTTTAATAAACTTTTTTTTGCTACATGCGTTTGTACACATGGATGAGGCTTTTACAGCCTGGACAGTGATGCTCCACGTCCTTGCAGGCATTCACAAAGAAAGGAATCAAACAACACGGCCAGAACCTGGACAGAAAAAAAGAGAAGTATTAGAGTGTTCTTATCATTCTTAAATTGTTAGTCTTAGCTGTAAGAGACAGTTAGATGTGCTAAAGTTCCTTACCCAAAAATGCCAAGAACACCACAGATGACCCACACCATCTTTCCATTGATGAATGTCGTCTCTGTGACGATCTGCTGCTGGCAGGAAGGACATCGCATCGGCCCAGGAACTTCAGTCAGTGGTTGTGACACTATCACTAAACATAAAGAGATCATATTAATTAAATACATTTAATATGATCACGAACCTCTAAAATAATGTGTATAACTGAAGCAGAGCCTCATTAAACTAGCTTTTCTGCTCACCCGGGGCAGGCTGGACCATCTGAGTGACGGTGGACATGGCGGGTTGTTGGTTGTTAGTTACCTTTGGAGCTGAAAAAGAAAACAAACAGAACCAGAAATACCTTCAAACTTGAGATAAGGGAAATATTATCCTGTAAACTTTAGCTTTTCATTTTATAGTCTCATACTAAATCATCCTGGAGAGACTCTCATAACTCCAGACAGCGACACTCACCAGCGGCAGGCTTACTTGAAGAATGGACTGTTTGATTTACGGTGGATGAAGACATGGGCTGTGGTGCTGTGAAACAAAACATGAGTTTAATTAGTCAGAACTGACAGGCTCAAGTTTCCCCAAGATCCAAACTGCATTGGGAGATTCTTCATTGTTTTTGGGGGTCATATCTATGGAAGCTGATTTCCACCACATAAGACAAAAAATATATACTCTTGTAAATCACAATGGTCTTAAGCCAATGTTGGTGAAATTTGGACATTCAAAGAATTTTAATGATGGAAAATTACGTCATAGGGTACAAATTTGTACAGGTGGAGGCACTAAAGGGATTGATTTATGTGTCAGAAATAACCTAATTCCGACTGGTAAAAACATCCTCACAGAACTGAGAGCTTCCGAACCATGTGACCTCTTCCACCTGATTGCTACATGCCTCGTCACAAGTCGTACACTATCTGTCCTAAATAGTATTTGAAAATAGAATTAGTACGTCCCAAATCGTAGTATGTTGAAATGAGTGTTCCAAAGAGACACACTCTAACACGGCTAATATTGCCTACAACCCGACAAGGATTCTGTTAGAACTGCAATCACCAGTGAAAAGTGTTTAAAAAAACTACAGGCATGGAGGACGCGCAAGTCCGACGGTTGTGTAGAGATGTTTAAAAAAAGCACACTCAAAAGTATGGACTTTTTCTTCACAAAAAGAGTACATACTGGGACGCAACCACAGATTCATTTCGGCGTTGACTGTTGCCATAGAAATGCATAATTCCATGCCCAACCCTAGTTTCCAGTTCACCTACTTACACCATGCCATTTTTAAAGACAAATTACATAGTTTAGAAAGTGTGTAGCAGAAGCATAGACAAGCAGGATATACTACTTTGTCATAATTGCATTGTGTTTACCATGGTTATTTTTAAAAAAAGTTAATAAGTAAAAAAATACAAATTTAAATAAATTTTGTTATATAAAAAGTGACTTAGTGGATGTAGTACAGAACATAATTTTTAACAGTCGCCAAACGTACCATTTCAGACGCAATATTTTTATTTGTGCTTATACTAATTCAAATCAGATCCTCGTCCAACGCGCAATGGTTTGTGGGCAATATTATCTGTTATCTGAGTGTCCACAGATCTCCGCTTCATATTTCCACCAAAACTAGTAAACTGTCCGGATGCCTTTGGATACTCATTTCACCACACTACGATTTGGGACACACCAATTTTCAATACTATTAAGGATGAATAATATTCAAAATGAAACAAAGCACAAGAACATGAATAATTACACATGATAAACACATGACATGGTTTAAAACACCTAAACTTCTAATATGACACATACCTGCAGTCGGTGGAGAGCTGTGGAGATTCTGATGCCCTTCCCTATAAAGACACTTGGCCAGATAGAGAGACTCTCAAGGCACTGATATAAGAAATGGCAGAAATAAGGGGTGGGGATGAAAGCTGATGCTAATGGCCAATCAGAAGTTGCTTCCGGATGGAATGATCAGCGAGAAAATGTTCAAAAAGCACTTCAATATCCAGGACTAACGCGTCCTCCAGTGTCCCATCTCATCCCAACCATGACTATTACCAATTATCCCGTTTTGCTCGATCTCAGACTCTTGACCTTTACATTCTTTGCTTGAGATAAACACACTATAAAGAGGACTGCGTGCCATACGTTATACACATAAACCCCATATTTTTTTTGGAAGAGGTTCAGTTACAACCTGTAATGTGCACAATGTTTGTTTTTATGTATCCTGGTAACAAATGGACATTCTTGTAATTGGACAGTAAGAGACTGGACAATGAAACTGGTTATACCACTGATGGATGCGAAGACAACAATGTATTTGCCTTTGTGGGTTTGATGTTTCATTTTGCTGTTCTACAGGACCATTTAATAAAAGCCTCCCAATCTATAAAGCACTCTTTAATTGCATTTCTATAAAATAGAGTTTAATATTTATTTTTTTAAGGGGAGTACGATGAGATATTCCTGCACTCTAAAAATGCTGGGTTGTTTTAACCCAACTTTGGGTCAAAATGGACTAACCGAGACATTGGGTTAAATATTAATTATTATATTTTTAACCCAACGTTTGGGTTTGTCCATATTTGGGTTAAAACAATGCACATTAAAAGAAAATCTTTGTTTTTGAGGTTTAAGCAGTGTTTAAGTTTAGTAAACGATGCCTTGCAAATGACAAGCCTGTGAGGATAATTTATCTGTCCCGGGACATTTTTCCCATTTTTTAAGCTTTTCAGATCTAACAGACGGTTTTTAAAATAAATTTTGTAAAAATTATTAAAAAATGAGCATGAGGCATCAAATAAAACATTACATCTCTGTTGATCCTCAGTGAAGCATAAATGACATCTCTCTAAAGAGTTTGTGCCTGATCGATAAGCCAAAGGTACTACGGGCCTTTCATTTTTTTCCCTCTATTATTTTTGAATATATAGTATGACTTATATAAAGTCTGGCTTTTCTTTATGTCATGCATCTATAATAAAGCTCTCATTGAGAATTAAGTGAGGTTTAGCTGTAGATAATGTTGATGTTTTATTGAAAATATTTCACTTGAAGTCACCATTATGGTGATTAGTGTTTGTTTTAGTTGGCCTATTGACCCTTGACTTTTTAAATTATTTTTTAGCATTTGCAACAGTGTTTCGCAAGATGCCTTGTGCTATTTTTTATCTCTCTTTTTAGCAAAACATACAAGCTGAGGTTGCCTGCTTGTATGACATTTAAATTAATGTCACAAAGTTATTTTTTTAAGTTTTTTTAGGTTTATTGATTTATTGAGGTATTACTGAACTGCAACATTTGTGCTATCAAACATAAGCGGCTTTTTTGATTGACCACTGTAATACATTAACACTAAAATTAAACAAAATCCATCGCTGAGACACTTAGACATAAACATGCATTATGCAAACCTCAACAATGGTGACAATCATCAAAATATTCAGAAACAGATCAAGTTTCATCATCATCTTCAGTTGATTTCATCTAAGGTTGTAGTTCTTGTTTCTGCTTGTCTCATCTATTTTTTTCTGTTCTTGTTCCACTTTCCTTCAGTGATTCTGCTGGTTAACAACAGGTGTTCATCACTAACGCTTAATCTTCACTCAATTAATCATCTGATCATTGACAGCAACTTTGCTTCAGTGTATCTTCAACACTTTGTAGAGTGGTACAATATGTACTGGGCAGTGTTGATCTAACTCTGGGATATGTAAATATGCAAATAGAGCTAAAATAGAACTTATTTTATTCATGCACATATATATATATACACATATTATAAAAAATATTAATTTTTCAAAAACAGGCCCAATGGGAAGATTGCTACTTCCCTCCTGAGACAGTGTAATTCAATCATTAGATATTTCTGTCATAATGTTTCATTTACACATCTGTAATATTGTAATTAATAATGTATCTCTTCTACAGGATTTCGCAATGTTAAACTCCCATATGAAGCATCCAAATGACACAGCTTCGATTACTCATTGAATTCGTTTGTAAATGCGAATGATGTTTTTGCAGTTTGGACAGGTGTGTTTCACATCCTTGCACGACTCCATGCAGAAGGGAATGCAACAACAGATCCAGCACCTGAAAAACACAACAGACAATCTCTAAATCCGCAGTCTGTAAGTTCAACTCTAAAGTTGTACAGTTAGCATACTCACAGAAAGAACCCAAGAACTCCGCAGATTAACCAGGTGAGCAACCCATTTAAATATTCGATTTCCGTGAGGACCTCCGTCATGCAGTGAGGGCAGATAATATGGCCCGGGACATCAGTGAGACTCACAACCGCTGACTGCGTAACTGCACATGTACAAATGCATCAATGACATTGCATATACAGTATATACTGTATATATATATATATATATATATATGTATATATATATATGAGAATGTATATATTATATGTCTGCAGGAGTAATTAATTAAGTCTGGGTGACATGCAAAATATTTATTTGAAGATGTTTTTTATTAATTAAACATGTCCCCACATTAGGAAACACCCTATATTTCAAGGTAGGGTTTTAGACAATATCAACATTAAATCTTTTTTCAGTAAATCCATTAAAGTAACTTGGAATTATTATCAATGATTTTCGTTTTGGTTACATTAGTATATACACACATCACAATCACATATGTCATTTCTGCGGTGATGTCTGAATAGTGGAATTTATGATTAGCAATCAAAGACAGTACAAGTACTCAGTTTAGTGCTCAGTTAAGTGAAGTACAAATTCTTCAAAGTAATAATAAAGTACTTAAATGACAAAACATGCAAAGCTCAGGGAATATAGTAGAATTAATTAAATGGCGACTTTCTGATTCAGAGGAAATCTTATGTGAAAATGTTTGCAGGTGTAGTTTATCCTTGTCATGCTACTACATTCTAGTGTTTACCACTCGTGAAATGAATAAAACTTGAGAAATGAAGGGTCTTGGGTTCTGAACACTCACCGACAGGGACCATCACAGGCTGGAAGTTGGTGGGTGGAGCCCCGAACCCGTATGGAGGTGGTTGGTAAGGTGCAGTGTGTGGACCTGTAAAAGAGCCAAAACACCCATTAGAAACACTGAAACCCACTGGGATGTGAGATCATTTGCTTTATTTAAAACACAGACCGTGTCGGCACAGATCCGGCCCACATCTGATCCTTGTGGATTCCATGTGTACCAGATGTGGGCCGGATCTGGGCCAACACCATCTCAAATGATCCAATTAAACAAGTGACCACTTCAAAGAAAACACAAGCCACGATAACGTGAACCCATATAATCTGTTCGTAATTGGATTGATGGCTCAATCAGAATGAAAAGCCTTCATGTAAACACCTCAATCGACTCATCTGAGCTCGATCTGAGTGAAATTGTGATTAAAAGGGGGTAGACCTGAAATAATCAGATTAAGAGGAAAAAATAAACATGTAAACATGAGTATCTTCTTTATCAGATTTTAAACATACCTTGTGCTGTGATATTTAAATATTCAGTGTTGGTTCTGGGAAGGTGAAAAATGTCTAGTTTTCTTGACGTTAGAGGAACGTGTTTTAAAAGGTATAATGTTCCTCAAACGTTCTTTAAATGTAATTTTCGATTAAAAATTCATCATGATAGTAATGTTGATTTCTAACATTTCAAGAATGTAAAAATGTCCAGTTTTCACAGCAAAAACTGAAGAGTATTAAAGACTCAAGTTTAAGTGGTAAAATTAAGTGCTATTTAAGTTATTGATTGAGTGATGATTGAGCATTATTGAAGACACCTGATGATAACAAGCAGAATCACTGAAAAAAAAACTCTAATTTTAGTCACCATTATGGAGATCAGTGTTTGTTTTAGTTGGGCAGTTGACCTTTACTTGTTCAACTTTACATTTTTTTTGGCAGCTGTACATGAGTTATGACAGCCAGATGAACAAAGAGGAATTGTGATCTGATGGCGTTGGTTATGTTATAACATAATTACTTTTTCACAATCAGATGACCTGAATCACTTTACTCAAATAGTCCTTATCTCTGAATAGAATGTATATTGGTCATTACAGAATCAAAGTGACTCAATCGTATAAATTCCAGGTTGTTCAATATATTCCAAATAATTTTTTAAAAGTTGTTCTGTTAAAAAAAAAATCTTTCTTTCAGGCAAACACAGACATATAGATTCAGTGTATGAATCTCAACAATGGTGACAAAATAATATTCGATTCGACATAATTTATTCATACCAAAGAAAAATGGAAGCTATGAATGAGTTTCGATTAGTGGCACCCAGAATGCACTGCAACATGCTTTATTATTGTCACCATTGTTGAGAATCACAGGCTGATAATTGATGTCTGTGTGTCCAATTTCAATGACTTTTGATCAGAATAACTTTTAAGAAATCTTTTGGATTGTATGGAAAATGATGTTACTAATTTTATGACGTTAAATCACTTTGATACAATAATGACCGATATACATCTATGTCAGAGATAAGGACTAAATGAGTACAGTGATTCAGTTCATATGATTGTGAAATAGTGATTATGTTAAAACATAACCAACACTATCAGATCACCTTTTCTCTTTGTTCATCTGGCTGTCATAACTCATGTACATCAGCCAAACAAAATCTAAATTTAATCATGTAAAGGTTCGAGTTTTCTTCTTCAGTGATTCTGTTTGTTATCATCAGGTGTCTTCAATAATGCTCAATCAACACTCAATCAATAACTTAAATAGCACATTAACTTTAACACTCTTCAGTGTTAATTTAACACTCAAATTTAACACTCTTGAGTCTTTAACACACTTGAGTTTTTGCTGTGTAGTAACATTCAGGAAACTGGACATTTTATGTTCTTGGAATCTTAGAAATCAACATTTCTATCATGTTGAATTTTTAATCAAAAATTAAGTTTAAAGAACGTTTGAGGAACATTATACCTTTTAAAACACGTTCCTCTAACGTCAAGAAAACTGGACATCACGTTCCCAGAACCAACACTGAATATTTAGAGAACGTTCTTATAACAAAATTCTGTTAGCTGGAGTTTTAGTTGTCACATATGTCATCTGAAAGGAATTTGTGCCCTTATTTTTAAAATAAGGCTCTTCGAAAACCATTTAAAGAGTGGTTGAAGGTTAGTCCCATTTAAAACATTACTAGGGTTTCAATTGTTGAGTAGTTGATTTATTTGTTTCCAGGATCAATAACATGCTATATTATCCAGTCTTGGACACACATTACTGGAAAAAAAGGACCTGTGAGATGGACAGGTCCTGAAACTCAGTGTTTCTGTTTTTGGAGAACATAGCAATTATCTTCCTTCTAATCATTTAATTATTTATTTATTTATTTTACAGACTTACACAGATGTTCCCACCCACTACAACAGGACCCATCCATTAGTAATATATCTACCAGGCCATTACTTAGATGTGAACATCTTGTAAAAGTTTCATACATGTTTCTTGAGGTCTTGCACAAACTATATCACCACCGCTTAAACACACATCTGACGTCACTGAGTGACCTTTGCACAGTGCAAGACTTCCTGGTTCCATGAAACACATCTCAATGACACATTCACTTCAACAAAAATGCTGAATAGAATGTGGTGTAGGAATTAGTTTGATATAAATAAATAAAATCACTGAAGTAGAGAGACTGAGATAGTATTTTCTAGTAAACTACACTTTTTTTGACACATGTTTTTGGATCTTTTTCTATCTATTATTAATAACTGAGTGAACACTGACTTGCATTTGGGTTGAATCACAGATTCTAAAGGTTTCAGAAACTTTCTCCCACTGTAAGTTGTTCCATTTGTTAATATTAACTGTGTTAAAAATGTATTGTGCTTTGTTTGTTAGTTGCATTAACCAAAATAGCTTAAGTGCTATAGCTCTTCTGGTCAGTAATCCACTTGTTAGTGAAGGTGGTCTGACCTGTTTGAGGAGGGTAGTGCGCCTGCGGTCCGGGGTAGTTTACGTGTGCCTGCGGTCCGGGGTAGTTCACGCCCGTCTGGGTCGGCTGAGCATTGAAGTAAGGAGGGGGGTTGTGTTCCTTCTCCATTATTAAAGAACTGGGAATGAGAATACATGAAGATATGAGGAATTGCAAACATCTCTTTATCTTTATAACATTCTAATCTTGTTCTCCTAATTAATTTGGTAAAAAAAACACACTATGGAAAGCTGAATAGCTGAATAACATCCCTTTATGCACTATAGACATTTAACACAAGCATAATGATGTAAAAACGTGCGCTCATACCTGTATGCGGTGTGAAACGGTCCGGTTGTGTCGCTTCCTCTTTTGGAGAACGTACAGCAGAATATGGATGACTATGAGTGGGAGAGCGAGAGGGTGCGGTCCATGACAGCAGATTACTGTCATAAATCTCCTCTGTGTAGGCAGGGCTATCTTTGGTGCACTTAATGATGGTCAACCATTATCCATGACAATTAAGGAAGAGAAAGCAACATAATCAGTTTAGCCAAATTATTTTTCTACTAGTTTGCGCATGCTGTTAATGTTAAAGGCAAATGTTGGCAGGTCAGCGGGCATACTTGTGATATAAATGATACAATGAATATATTAAACTGTGTGTCACAGTTTAAGCAATGTTACATTTTATGTTGTAGGGGAAAATAACTGGAATAAATTAATATTACGTTTGGTTGTTGACATGTCTAAACTTTATACTTTCTATTTTATTAACTATTACAATTTCTAGTTCCTTGCTTTCAATTCTTTTTAGTGATGTAAATGCACCATTTTCACTCTGTAAGCTAGTCATTGCTCATTAAACTTTAATGTGATTGGCCATTGTGGGAAGATGTTTCCATTCATTTCCAGAAACAGATGTGTGCTGTTGTAATCTGTTTATATTCATATCAACTCAAGTGTGTGTGTGTGAGAGAGAGAGAGAGAGAGAGAGAGAGAGAGAGAGAGAGAGAGAGAGAGTGTGTGTGTGTGTGTGTGTGTGTGTGTGTGTGTGTGTGTGTGTGTGTGTGTGTGTGTGTGTGTGTGTGTGTGTGTGTGTGTGTGTGGTGTGTGTGTGTGAAAAGCGTCCATAGAAACCGGCGGTATCCAGGCTACGGAATACAAACATTCGGTGACTTCGACCGCGACCGGATCTCTTTTAATAAGTACTTTTTAATTTACACCAATAATGATGTCATCCCGAGTTTTAGTGTCGCGACCCCATTTTGACACGCGGGTAGTGGCACGGAATGGCTCACAGCCGCCGGTCACAAACCCGGAGACCACCGTTAAGGAAAACGTTTACGCGGGTACATCCGGTGGTCTGGCCACCGCGGGTTACCGGAGCGCCAAATACACCCCCGAAGAGTGGATCACCAATAACTCTGCTCTCTTAAACCGGGCCGTCGTGGACCGGAACCGCGCGGAGAATATTTGCCACGAGTCCAAAGCGCTGAGAGCGGAGACCGACGCCGGGACTTTACGCACGCAGACCGACGGCACCAAACGCCTGGGCGAGCGGCTGCAGGACATCCACCGCTGGAGATCCGAGTTGGCGCAGTTTATCGAGCGGCTGAACGCAGAAACACACCTGCTGGTTGGCTCCAGGAGGCGGCTGGAAAAAGCGCTGGACGCCACGGAGATCCCCTTCGCCATCGCCACTGATAACCTGACCTGCCGAGAGAGACGCTTCGGTCCGGATCTGGTGGAGGACCAAGTGCAAGAGGAACTTCTAAAAGTATGAAAAACATAAAAATAACAGATTTTTTGTCAACTCGAATGGAAATTTGTCTTTGGCTCCCCACAAAGTGAAAATTATGTAATATAATCTATTTTTTTGTATTTTCTTTGTTCAAGAAAATAATAATTCGTACCATTAGTAGTTCCCATGGCAGCGAACAATTTTTGGTTCCCAGGCAGAACATACTTTTGGGTGAAAGGAACGTTTCCAAAACATGTTATTTGTGTAACGTTTGTTTTTGGTTAGCTAGTAAAGTTTTCATTACGGAAATAGAACAATTTTTTTTTTTTTTTTTTTTGCAGAAGGTTCCCTTGACATGGAACATAGCATTGAAGTCGGACGATGTCTTGTTTTATAATATTGTTTAATCAATGGAAATAATCTGAGCAAACCGTTAAACAAGAATTCAAATATTGATTCCATTATATGTAATATTTCGTCATTTGTAACACTCATATTAATATCATAATTTTTGCTTCTCCAAAATATATGTGAAAAATTACACATTTTAGCATAACATCATAAATAATAAAACCTAAAAATAACCTGCATGGGACGTTCTGGGAGGAGGGTTGCTAAAAAAAAAACCTACGCAGAAGACACAACAGATCCTTACAGTTAATTGAATGATTTCCAACAGGAGGTGGAGCTGATCAGAAGCATCCAGGCCCTGCTGAAAAAAACTCTGGATCAAACTCTCAACCAAATCAGGCCAGTTATCTAAATTATGAACCTCTCTTTAATATATTCTGTCATCAGAAATTTAAATATTTGTCATAATTTGCAAAAATGCTGGGTTGTTTTAACCCAATTTTGGATGAAATATGGACCAAACGTTGGGTTAAATGGCTAAGTTTGACCATATTTGACCCAAAAATTGGGTTGAAAGTTTAAACAACCCACATATTTTTGAGTGTAAAGTCATAAATCTGTTTGTGTGTGCCAGGCTGAACCGGGAGGTGACGCGGACTCTGGAGTTCGACTGGTCTGATAAACAGCAGGCCTACACCTTGGATGACCAGTGTGGACGTTATAACAACAGGAGCATGGACACACAACAGCATCCCAGCTCAGCAGTGCTGCAGGATCAGTGCGTGCCCCATCTCAGTACTTTCATTTCACACACACCTTTCGCAATACATTTCAGCATATCAAAGGTGCCGTTTAGCTCAACCACATCATTATGAACAGTTTTTGTCTGTATTGGATTCTCGATAATGCATAATGACGGGTTCATCAGCTCTCCAGTGTGTTTCTCGGTAGGGTGTGTGATGAGGAGGTGTGGCGTAAGTTTACTGTGGATAACCTGCGGCTGGCGGAGAGAGAGGAGACGGCGAGCCAGGCCCTGAGAAGGCTGTCTGAGCGGGTGTTGCAGGAGACGACCGAGGACCTGCGGGCGCAGTGTGTTACTGTGGATCAGGCATTCATCCAGCGCTGCACGGAGCTGAGCCAGTCCAAAACACAGCTGGAGCTGCACCTGGGACAGGCAATACACACTTATACAATGGAAAACTCTATACCTGTGACCACATACACTGTAAAAAAATTGGAAGTCATTTTAAGTTTTAATGGAACATATATTTCAAAGAACAACTGGCTGTAGAATTATTTTTCGGAGAAACAATTATGTGAACAGTGTGTTTCCTAAATATCAGCAAACACATTATGGTATTTTTATCCTTTAGTACAGCCAAAAAATTACATACAGCACTGTATACTCAAATAATACAATAGACATTATTATTATTATTATATTTATTTATACTGTATATTATTATTATTATTATTTATTTAACAGCATAAGATGCAACATAAAACTCTAAACTACATAACTGATAAGAAAATACATTTTTAGATAATTGTTTACAGTGTGTCATAGAACCTATATAATCTTCACATTTTATACTTTATACAAATAAACATAAAATGACTCTCTATGGTTGTTTACCGTGTGCGTGTAATAGATTTTGGATCAGATCGGGGCTCAGGAGAAGAATATATCAAACTTGCAGCAAGCTGTGTATGATAAAGAAGCTCCACTTAGAGTGGCTGAATCCAGGCTGCATAACCGGACCTTCAGACCCAACATTGAGCTGTGCCGAGACCAGCCTCAACTCAGGTAAATGCACTCACTCACTTATTTTACTCATTTACATACTCACCCATTAACTCACTCACATACTCTCACTCATTTACTCACTCACATTCTCACTCACATACTCACTCACTCACATACTCACTCACTCTCTCACTCACATACTCACTCACATACTCACTCACATACATACTCACTCACATACTCACTCACATACTCACTCACTCACTCACTCACATACTCACTCACAAACTCACTCACATACTCACTCACATACTCACTCACATACTTACTCACATACTCACTCACATACTCACTCACAAACTCACTCACTCACATACTCACTCACATACTCACTCACTCACATACTCACTCACATACTCACTCACTCACATACTCACTCACATACTCACTCACAAACTCACTCACATACTCACTCACTCACATACTCACTCACATACTCACAAACTCACTCACATACTCACTCACTCACTCACATACTCACTCACTCACAAACTCACTCACTCACATACTCACTCACTCACATACTCACTCACTCACTTACTCACATACTCACTCACTCACATACTCACTCACTTACTCACTCACAAACTCACTCACATACTCACTCACTCACAAACTCACTCACTCACATACTCACTCACAAACTCACTCACTCACATACTCACTCACAAACTCACTCACTCACATACTCACTCACTCACACACTCACTTACTCACTCACATACTCACTCACAAACTCACTTACTCACTCACTCACTCACTCACTCACATACTCACTCACTTACTCACTCACAAACTCAATCACTCACTCTCACTCACACATGAACCGATCTGATGCGTGTGTGTTTTGTAGTCTGTTAGGTGAGGTATCAGAGCTCGGCAGTACCGTATCAGCCCTACAGCAGCAGCTGTATGAGGCACGCAGATCTTTGTCTGACCTGGAGGACAGTCGACTGGCCCTGGAGAAAGACATCGCTTGCAAAACTAACTCTCTCCTCATCGACAGAGAGAAGTGTATGACGCACCGCACACGCTACCCTAGTGTCACAGTGCTGTCTGGATACTGACACACACTCATAACATTCCCCCCTCAACAGGAGGTCCGGGTCTGCTAGACTGTTACTTCCAGTGGCTTGCAGTGTGTGTGTGTGTGTGTTTATTTTTTTAATGCAATGATTATACAGTATATATATATATATATATATATATAAGATGATAATAAGTTCACCTGTGTGACCTCCTTGTTTTTGTCACATACAATAGCTAACACTAATAGAGAAAAACAAAGCACTGACAGGTCCTAGATCAGTGTTTTACCTAAAGTGGGGTTCAAGCTACCTCCCCCTGTATTCTGAGGTCTTTAAATAGGGTTAAGCTCCCCTGAAGGAGAGGTACCACTAGACATTCTGAGTCTTTGTGAATGTGCCCTTGATTTGCAGGCACTCTCAGCATGGCGTAGTGGGTATTTGTTCCCCATAACATTAATTCAAGGCGCAGTGTTGAAGTTCCGCTTCAAAAGGGAACATCTCAGGTTACGACTGTGACCATGGTTCCAAAAAAGGGGAACGAGACAGCGTCAAAATTCAACGGGACTACTTTTTTTAAAATTTTGCATTATGTGAATTACCATTTAATGATGCTAAATAACCTAAAATATAAACAATGGGAAATGTTCTGTAGTTATTTAAAAATAACATCCCTGCAATGTTCTGGTTCTAACGTTAGGGGTGTTTGCTAGGTATGAGGCTTTTAAAGAAACCTTTTGGATTATATTGATATTTATCCTGTAGAATGAACCACAAGGCTTCTGTTATCAACTACATAAATATAACTCCGAGATCTGAGTTGAGCCCGACTCCACCCCTACCATGTTTTCTACAGTAGGTTGCAGGGCCATAAACACAGCTTTAAATGAATCATAATCTATGAACCCTGTATAAAATGAAATCTGTTTCAACTTGAAAATTTGAAATCAAAAACTGTTTTTGTTGAAGCTCTAAAATTAAAAGTTCTTGATCACCAATGGTCTTGTGGGCTTCCTCAAGTTGATCTTGAAGTGAGGGAGGCAGTGCAGCATATTCATGGTCTGGGTGCGGAGGGGGTGTCTCTTCACTGGAAGTGTAAGAGAAACATATTGATTGACCCATTAGGTGTTTTACAATGATACTCATGCTCAATTCATGTAACCAATTACATCTTTTACCCACCTCAACACATTCACACCATGTCGATCATCGAGATCCGTGGAAACATTACTGGAAATCATCAACAGAGAAATGCGGTCACTACACAGCTAATAAATGCATTACAAACCAGTAACTTAAAGGGCACCTATTATGACCCCTTTTGCAATATATAATATTGGTCTCGGGTTTCTCCAGAATGTATTTGTGAAGTTTCAGCTCAAAATACCCCTCAGTTAATTTATTATAACCACTTGAATATGTCATTTTTGGGGCCTGTTTTAAAAAGAGCTGTTTTGGTGTGTACCACCTTAAATGTAAATGAGCTGCATATCCCCGCCCTGCCTTTGGATGAGGGCATCACTTGCAAACCTATGGCAGTCGGTCTAAGTAGGAGGGCTGAGAGTGAGAGACCCGCTGTTTTGAATGTCATTCAGCCGTACATGTTTGAATTGAAATATATAAATAGTCTCTGATCAGACCCAGATGACCGGCAGAATAAACACAAATGAGAATGGACCAGGACGTCTCGGAATGGTCATTTGATACATTTATGTACTTATAGAGTTGTAATCGCATCCCCTTTGTAATTATGGATGTGCAACACACACACAGACTGTGAAAACGATGCAAATTTTTGAAAATACAAACACAAATACCGCTAATAAAGTTTGCTGCCTACAGACAAAATTACGTTTATGCGAGGGACCTGTTTGGTCATAATTACATTACTTCTCGTACAATGTGAGAAGATGGCTACAGAACAAGAAAATATATGCTGCAGGGAGATAGAACATGTATTAATTTATTTACATTTGTAATTGTTGCAAAAAATAATACGTGACATAACCGTCTAACGCTATTTGTTGTATCGAAGTTTACAAGACAGATGAAACAACTTCAAGTCACTTCCATCACGTACGGTAGACCATCCCGGAATGGATCCAATTTGTTTCAATGTGTTTTAGTCACAAAACGCTTTTAACATTTACAGGGCTAACTATGGTCCCAGTGAGTGTAACTGATTTACACATTTAAGGAAAAAATATGTCCATTTCTTCTAAATATTACAAATCGTTGAATTTTTAATCTAATTATATTCAAAGGAAATTATACTGGAAACAAAACATAGTATAGCTTTAAATAATTTTGCAACAGCTTGCATATCCTTTTTTATTTTTTATTTTATTTACATTATGTATAAAGACACTGAACTATACAAAAAAAGATTAGAAATAAAATAATTGTAATAAAAGGACACTCCTAAAAATAAATTGAACCATGATTAATTACATATCAAATATTACAACTCTAGACAACAAATGATAGATATTTGAAAGAAAAAAAAAACACAGAAAAATCCTTGAACCTTGTATTGAGAATGTGCCTGTGTGTGTGAGAGTCAGACGTTACAGATTTTTAGCTTATCAGAGTTTTGTGAGCTGGTGCTGGGGTTTCCTTGGACGAAAAATTCGAGTTGTGATTCCAGCCTGTGTGGTCCTGAGGATTCAAAGAGTTTCCTGATGCCCAGGGCAGTTATGTAGGTTTTCGACCACCTATTGATTAAACCGAGATACCCTACTAGATATGGCCTCCTACTCTGCACACAATGCTGGTGGTATTGGTATCCTCAAAACATCATCCACATACGGTGCAGGATCCACAAAGACTTTATCAAATATGAGGTCCAGCAGGTCATCCACATATCCTGTGCAATATAACATTTAATTTACTTTTCAATAAAATATTGAGTTTTTAAATAGCTTGTAAGAAACAATGCAAAAAACATATGTACATTTGTTTTAAATTGGCTAACTAAACTCATTTTATACATACTGAAGGTTGACTGTGTCTTCACTTCTCTGACCCGGTTTTCTCCCACCTTTGCCTCTGGAAAGGTCCCTTTGAACACCGCTGTTGTGGCTTGAGGACGCTCGGCATTCTCATTGTAATGTAGTGCAGCCAGGTATAGTCTGTAAGCAAAAAAAAACATTTTCAACATACAATGTCAACAATATATGCATAATTAAAATTGGCAAAAAAAAAAATACCTGCACAACATTCCCAGAAATGGAAATACCACATTTTTTGGTGTAAACCGTAGTATTACACTGTGGAAAACCTTGCTAGAAGAAGTCTGGTAGTGTGGACTTAGCTTGGCAACATCCTTCAAAACTCTCTTGTTGGAGAGAACTTTCTCCAACTTGAAATATGGCAGTGTTCCTAAATTATTTTAAGTGTTATTATAGTATGATATGCATTTATTGATATATATATAAAAAAGGGAAAAATATATGATATGCAAACATTTTTTGAAAAGTAGCCTACATACCAGCAGCTAGCCACTTTTTTGTGTCTCGACTTCTGCTTGCTCCATGTAGACATGCTGGAAAATTGCTGTCTTCATGTGTGTGCTTATTTTGCATATGGTTTAGCATAGACGTCCATTTAGCCACTCTCTCAGGTCCACTGCTTGATGATGCAGCAGTCCAATAGATGTGGTTTTTTATACTATGCAACCATTTACGCATTTCCTCACAACCCTTCAACTTGCACACTTTTTCCAGCTGCTTTGAAATTTCTGGAGATCGCAATTACGTACAAACATGACAACACTCACAATAAGTAGAGCAATGCGTTTATATAATATGAATACATAGCCTATATATATATATAAATGTTCCACAAACACATAATCATCCGCTAATACAGTTTCATCGCATTTATTAGTCTGTAAAAATAAAAAAATGTTATGATGGTAATAAGGTTATTTACCTTTCTCTATGTGCCAGACATCATAGAATTGGTTGACATTGCGTTCCCTGAGGAATTTCTGTATTTGCGGATGTCGGTCAGTCACAATGCAGTCCAGAGTCACACCACGAGTATCTAAAAGGTCAAGACCTCTCTTCAAACCTTCCTTTTCCATGTGGTAACTTCCTCCCACTTCATTACTCTGACAAGTGACCAAAATACATTTTTTTGTGTGCGTGTTTAAAAATAAAATATACAAGTTTTCCAGGACGTTGCATCAAAGGTTTCTGCTCATTTACCTGGACGAGTTGTACATCAACAACGGTGTTCGTTTCCATGTCCATCATTGTGTAACAGCCATATTTGGCAGAGTGCCCTTCCAAAACAAAAATACATAATCGCTTATTACACAATGTGCCTTGGTTCCCAATCCTGGTCCTGGGGACCCACAGCTCTGCATTGTACATCTCCCTCATTTAACACACCTGATTCAGATCATCATCTCGTTAAGAAAGAGCTCTGAACTGGGTGTGTCAGATAAAGGAGAAATAAAATGTGCAGGACTAGGATTGGGAACCTTTTTTTTTTTTTAACAATGTAAATTTGTCCAACAATGTACCTGTTGAGTCAGCCCTCATATCTCCTGCAACAATGACCTTTTCCCTTTGAGCCAATAGCTGTAGCATCCCATCCTGCCAGTTTCTCCATTTGTGAACAATAGCAGGCTCAATGCACATTTGTGCATGACGACGAAAGGTGTCGTACTTGAAAAGATGTAACTTCATGGCTGCAAATATCTGACAACAGATAGAGAAAAGTTGGTAAATGAATGACATAATAGTTTTTACATTATAAATGTTTAGTCTCATGTAATTATTTCATTTACAAATACCTTTTCAATGGTCACAAATGAAGCACCACTGAGATACACAGCAGCAGAAAGGTGAAGGTTTCCAGCTGGAGTACTGCCCAAAATCGGCTGACTGCTCCATTTCCGTGTGAACTGACAATGGTGGCAGAGTTGTTCAACACGAAGAAAAGTGCCAATCCTCTGTGATCTTATTTGACAGCTCCTATGACATACCGGGCACATCTCAAACAGTTCCATGATGCATGTCTCATAGACAATATATTTACTGATTTTTTGAATAGGGCTGGATGCTTGAGATCTGAAAAAACAAAAACAAAACAACGTAAAAATTAGATATGCTATAATTGAAACAAACATTATTCTAAAATCTAATATAAACTTACGACAAGTCTTTTAGCTCTGTTGTTGATGTCACATCAACATCAGTCTCTTGTGCTGTTGGTATTGAAGAGCATTCCTGTGGGATATCTTCATCTTCCTCAAGGTCCAGACAAGGTCTCTTTGATGAAGTTTTGAGGGGAACAGCTGTATGAGAAACTAATTTTGTGGTAACATCACAATTTGACCATGTTGTCTCTGTCTGGACACCTGAAATACATAATTCAGCAAAGATTCAGTTTCTCTTTCGTGGCTATTCAATTCAATTCAAATGTAATTGTATAGTACTTTTCACAATACATTGTTTTAAAGCAACTTTACAGAAAATGAATTTCAAAATGTACATTTAAAAATACAGTTAGTTAATACAAATAAATGTACACTATATAATCTAAATATAGTTAAAAACATCAACATACTGATACTCCTGTGGTGTGTTTGAGGCGTCCTCTGTGTATCAACACTGCACAGCTGTGATGTTTCTTCTGTCTGCACGCCCATATCCCTAAAGCTTCGTGTGGATGTGCTGGCCTTTATATAAACGTAGTAATTTTGATGTCTTGTCTTTACAGAAAACATACACAATTTGTATTTAAATTGAATATCTTAAAAATAATATTTACAAACGTGTGGTTAGTTACTTAAAAGGTTATACACAGACATCCTACGACGACGACGATAACAACTTTAGACACATTTGTTGTTGAATTGGCTGACATTAACTAAAATTTGCTCAAAAATCATAAAACACACTTACTTCTTCAGGAGATGACGTTGGATCTCGAACAGTAGGCAACGATCCATACTTGAGGATCAACTTTGAAGCAAGGCCTGCTTTGAATTGACCCTCGTTCAAAAAACAGTCACTCTCAAAATGATTTGAGCAAACGTAAACGTACTTTGGAAGTGTACGAGGCGCCTTTCCTTCATAAATAAAATCCATCCACTGCTTTTTCAGTGTCTCTGATGTCGGAAGTAAGTGAAAACAACTATCTACAGTATTACAGTCCACAACAGAACACTTATGTTTCCTGTGAGGCATTTTCTAGAAGGAAGCACAAATCGTCAGAACAGCGGCTGTCGTTAAAACAATGGAGGATGGTGTGCAGATCACGGTGGGCGGGGTCTATGCACAAACCACAGTGGGCTTGCGCAATTCTACGTCACATCGCGCCATATTGAGATTGTCAAAAAACACGAGTAACCCCAGAGTGCACTCTGGACGATGGGGTGGGGCGACACTTTTGGGTGGAGCGACACGTGTCGCCCCGCCCCTATTTTCCTGTTCCCGCCTTTGCCATTTTCCTCCGACCCCCTAGGGGGCAGTTTGCGATAAAAGGCAACGGTGGCAGCATTAACGAACGAACGACACTCCACGTTGATTGCGATTCCAAATGGTGAGTAAAAATGGTTGTGTAGTTTTATATAAACATATTTAAAAATGTACCATGATGTTCGTGAATCAAATCTGGAATAGTTTCCTTCTGAAAGAATGTCATGAATAAAGAATCTTGAAGAACTTTGAGAGCTCTGTTATACAATAGCAATATGTTTAGTTTTTTTTTTTTTAAAGCTATGTTTATTTATGTTAATTATGTTTGTTTTAAATCGAGAGCAATAAATTACTTTATTGTTAAAGTTTGAATGAATTAATAATTTCTCATTTTTTTATGAATAATTGTTGATTGTGTAGTGGGTCTGAGCGTACAGCACGAGCAAGCACCTGCAGCTCGGTAGCACAGAGGTTTGGAGCTGAATCCTGCATTAGAGAGAGCCCTGCATTGAAAGTGGAGATGTTTTGTCATACAGCAAAATGACAAGATCCCACATCGACAACTTCCGCTTCTTCAAACAGAGGTTTGACTTCTTGACAAAAACAGAGTATCACATATTTGTTTGGCATAATCCTCTCCATGTAGAGTAATCTGTTCTATCTGGTAATATCTTTATTGCTTTATAAGGATCTCTTCCAAACACGAAGACCAAAAACCAAATGGATAATAGGAACAAGCCAGCAGTTACACCTGAATCTGAACTTAAGTGTGGAAATGTCAAGAGTTCTACAGGTAACCGACTTGTAAACTTGTACCTCTTAGGGTTGCAGTGGTATGAGATTTTCACAGTACAAAAGCAGTTTCAGAAATTATCGTGGTTTAATGGTATATGGTCCTGCTCAATCAAATGTGAGTCATTTTTAAATATATTATATTTTTAAAAATATTTTGCCATTGCATCATTTTTTACTCCTAGTCCAATAACAATAAATATTATTACTTAATTATTTCTATAAGTCCTTTTACTTTAGTACAGCTTTTGGATATTCTGCCCACCTCTGCTGTCACACCGCGTAGCCTTGATTTTCAAAACTGCATTTACTGTTTGAATTGTGTGATAAAAGTAACATAATTTGAGACTTTTTGCTTTATTTTTGACTAGATACAAAGCTCATCACAGTTTACATCCGTAAACTGTGGATGGAAAGGATGCAATAAATAGTGTTTAGTTGGGCAACTACTGAAAATAGCATAGGCTAAAAAATTGATCTCGGGATTTAAGATTTGATATAGAGCAATAGTACAGTACTGTAAATAATCAAATGTGTGAGATATAACTCTTTTAAGCATGAAACTGTCATACTGCTGCAACCCTAATATAATATACTGTATAAAAGTTAGTATGCATAGTGATCTTAAAACATTAGTCACATTAAAGTGCAGTAGTAAAGACTGAACTTTAAACATGTTGTTACATACTGATGGTAGGTTAAATTTTAATTGTTATTGTAGTTAATTATTGTAAGTTATACCCTGCTCATTTTCTTGCACTTTGTGAATTGTAACAGTACACTCTATACATGGCTTTGGGGCTCCGATTTGATTTTACAGAGTTATGTCATTACCTCATTACATATTTCACGTTAAATAAACAGACATGCATAATTGTTTATTATTATTATTTAAAAAAATTCAGGATGACATGCCCCTGATCAGGAGGTGGTGGTGTGCTCTCATACTGGACAACTTCACTCTGCAAATGCATGTAGCTGTTTGCATGTTCCTACATTAAACATTAGTTTATGTACTACATCTACCAATATACATGCCTACCTCTTGTCATTTGTTTTTCTTAGCACTCAACCTTACAAAAGGCAATGTCTTCGGGGAGATTCAGACAGAGAGATTCAGGTAATTTATTGTGCACATACATTCATTAAGCAATTTCTTTGAATAGTGTTCTGGTAAAACTTCCATTTGTTGGTGAAACAATGGAGTTATTTGTCATTGTTCAAGACAGGCATGTTAAGGGAGGGCTTTAGTGAAGCGCTGCAGAGCTTCTCTCCTAACGGTGGAAACACAGTGTGATTTTGTGCTCGGTGATACAGGTCCAAGGCTATTAACACCGCCCGACCCTTGAAAGCCCTGGCCCACACTGGCCTGACAGTGGGGAAAGCGGCTAATGTGTGTTGGAGCGATATTATTTTAATATTATCGTTATAAGAGAATATGTATCTCTTTATTTATTATTTTATTCAGAGCATGCAGTTTTGACAACAATATATCAGGTTTGTCTGAACCAAGGTTTATATTTTTTTCAACAACATTTATATACAAGTATAAATAACAATGTTTTTTGTTTCAACAGCTTCCCCATGAAATAATAGCAACTGGTGATTCTGCATATTTGACGCTTTCACTGGTATGCAGATGGTTTAGGGATGTGGTCACAAATGAAATTTTCCAGAAAGCAGCACACTTTGCCTGGCTAGACTGTAAGATGTTTTTTTCTGTTCAATGTACATTTCTTGGATTGAAATGTGTGGTATGTGACATTTAAACTTGAATCTCCACACTTATATCTTTTCTGTATTTTGTCTTTACATTTTAAGGTGTGGTCAACTGGAAAAAAAATTCTCCGGACTACTGTGATGAGTTTCGCCGGATCTACAGCTTCAGGGAATGCTTGGAGCTTTTTTTAAGTCCTATCCACCAGGGTACAGGGGAAGAGGAAGACTAGGGGAACTGCTGGGCTTTTACTGCGAAGATCTTTGTACAGGATTTTGCTCGCAGGACTGTTTTTTTGCTGCAGGAAATGAATTTCTGTAAAACTCAAAACTTGTAGATGGGAATTGAGAGATGAACTGGTTTTGATGTAGTAATTGATGCAACTAAAAGGTAAACTTAAAGGTCAAACTTGAAAAATTAGAATATTGTGCAAAAGTTCATGTTCAGTAATTCAAATTAAAAAGTGAAACTAATATATTTAGTATAAATAACTATATGCATATGGCATGATTATATATAATTTTCAGAGGGCTTACATTTTTGTAATATTCTGATTTTGTGAGATTTTGAATTTGATGTTCATCAAAATTATAACTTTTGCACGATATTAAAATTTTTCGAGTTTCACCTGTATAGTGTTCTATTGAAAAGCTATGGCAAAAACATAGGTTTCACTAATTGTGCATATGGTAAAGTACCTTGGTTCTTTAAGGTTTGCATAAATTACATTCTGCTGATGTATAAGTGCAGTTTGGAGTCTATAATAAAGAAAAAGTGACAAAGTCTTTGTTTTGTTGTGTTCTTAAGAGCATGTATAGAAACTCCCTTATAGGTTTATTATAGTACAACCATTATTAATTACATTTATGTAAACGCACAAATACTATAATTAATTACCATAGTTAATTTGTGATTACCATGGCTTTTTGGAGCTATGATCAGTGAAGTTTAACAGCCGTAAATGTAGTTTAAAAAAAAATGTTCGTAGGATTACGGAAACTCGTGGTTACTATCAGGTGAGACTGTTGACATGTCCGCTATAGTTTGCTCTCTCTCTCTCTCTCTCTCTCGCTATCTATCTATAGATAGAGAGCGAGATGTCATTAACTTACAAAAAAACAGTGAGTAATACAGAGGTAACGGACCATCTAACTTACTACAGCTGTTGAGGGAGTGATTGTGAATTAGACCATTATTTCTATTCTCTTTGTATTTCTACTTCAATGGAATAATGTGGAATCGTATTAATGTCCGCCAAATCAACAAGTTTATTCGTCTGTTGTGTTCTTCCGCATTCCCAGCCGGCCCGAAGCGTCACACTTCTCTGCACCAATAATCTGTAATAGCGTCACACTTCTCTGCACCAATAAGATCATCTTTATTATAAACCAATAAACGTTAAGGTGGGCGGGGCGACACGTGTCGCTCCGCCCAAAAGTGTCGCCCCGCCCCATCGTCCAGAGTGCACTCTGGGGTACTACAAAAACACTGGGTGAATTTTTTTTTATCATTCTAGGTGGTTTTGCTCACACTCTGCCAACACACATTAATGTTCAAACACCATTAAAAGTGAATTTTGCATAATAGGTGCCCTTTAATTCATCTAAATACTACCTTGCAGTTCTAACAACACTCCATGCAAACACAGTTGGCACAGCTCCCCGTTTCAGCTTGGTGATGCCAGTCTTGCTTTTCACAATGCAGTCTGGGAGGAAATGCTCCGAGCACACTTTTGTGTATGCGCTTATCTGCATCGGCAAATAAAATACAATCATATAAACATTTTTACATGCATCATCATTGATCTGAGTCATGTACAACTGATGTGATGTGTCTAGAAGCTATAAGTTAATACACTCAGTATGCTTAGTGAATCTGTGGTGGTAGATTTTAACAACATACGACTAAGCTGGATATTTCAACAACCTGTCTCTCTGCCTATCTCCTAAAAGTTAGCGATACAAGTTAGTTATGGAGATGGCTCAGCCTCACAGCACCAGACATATATAATAAACGTACCTTAAAATTACTATCTGGATCCCTTCTGATGTTTATTATCCATTGTCGACATAGCGTTACTCCATTATCTTTGGGGAAACGGTAAAACGTTCGTCCTGTTTGATTTGTTCCTGTGTGATGAAGTGCATTGGGGAGCAGTGAAGTGAAGCGTCATTGCACTGAGAGAAATCGCGTTGTGAGAACTCCCGGAAGTGGTGAGTGTACTATTCTCTAACAGATATTCTGCAACCAAAATTGATTTGGTTTGAAATCAGTGATTTGGCGTTCAAAACTCTGCTTGAATAACCTTCGAGAAGTTTGCGAATCCATGGCTTGGAGAGCTCGTCAAACTGGCCAAGTCACGTGATCGTTACGTCATATACTGGGTATTCACCGCTAGGGGGCGTTAATCTCCAGAACCGGAGCCATATTATAAGAACGGAACCCATGAACCAGTGTCTGTATTGATATGATTTTACATGATGTCGGTTTAGTTTTATAATTTAGATTCTAACCTGGATGTATGCAAAATGGAGAGTGATATTTAATTGAACCGATTAGTCATGCTCTACCAGAAAATAAACAAAAACAAAACAATAACAATGAATAACATAACACAAATAATACTCTTTGCCATTTTCTATTGGTTTGTAATGTCTTCATAGCCTTCATGTTTGGGCTGTATTCTTGTTGGTTTTATTCTTGAAGTTTTCAGCACTTAATCTGTAAAATCTGGATGAGAAAAGGATTTTAATCAGAAATTTAGCAAGTACATAATCTTGCTTTTTTTTAATGTAAGCAAAATGCAATCAGTGTAGTTTTAGGATAGAGTAAAATAGCTTTAAATGTTTTATTGGGACACTTTAATCTACTCCTTTAACTTTGATAACATTTTTTAATCAAAGTTAAAGGAGTAATTCGCTTTTAAAAAAGAAATTTGCTGATAATTTACTCACCCCCATGTCATCTAAGATTTCCATGTCAATCTTTCTTCAGGCGAAAAGAAATTAAGGTTTTTAATGAAAACATTCCAGGATTTTTCCTTCGTTTCAAGGTCCAAAAGAGAGTTTCAGCGCAAACTGTTCAAAGGGCTTTAAACGATTCCAGACTAAGGTTCTTATCAAGCGAAACGATCGCTCATTAAAAAAAAAAAAAAAAAATTTAATGGACCACTCCTACTTTTTGGGACTTTAGCTTATTCACCATATCTCCCAGAGTTAGATAAGTCCATACATACCTTTTTCATCTCCGTGCGTGCTGTAACTGTCTGACGCACCCACCGCTAGCCTAGCTTAGCACAAAGACTGGAAGTAAATGGTTTCAGCTAGCATACTAATCCCAAATAAGTGACAAAATAACACAAACATTTTCCTATTTACACAGTCACATATTGTACAAATAACAAGGTCATATGAGACACAGCCATCTTTTAACCATATAAATATTGGGAATTTTAAACAATGATTATGGGCTTTGTCGATAGAGGGATATTAGTAAAGGAATCTGTATAATGTATTCATGGAAGTGAAAATACAAATTCCACAATGCCAAAGTATAGTTTGACTTATTAAATGCCTTGAATTGTGAGTTATTTTTTGTACAGCAGTTATACAAGTTAAGGTTATAGCATCAGAAAAGCTATATTTATGTAAGGTAAAAAAAAAATAAAAAAAATGAAATGTGCAAATAGCAATGTTTAAGATTCAGGGAAGGATGAGGCGGGAACCAGCAAACATTCAACAATTTTATTAATAAAGTAAAAGAAATATAAAAACAAAAGGATCCGCCAGCAGCCCCTTCACAGATGACTGCTAGCTACACAAAACACAACATAAAATCAGGCCTGTTCCTCTCTCAATCTGCGAGAGATGCGAGACCACAGGTGACGTTCATTATCAGTCACGCCACCGGCCTCACCCCATTCTCTCACGTACCTCAGCCTCGTCCTGCTCGCCACAGATCAATCATAGGATAAATTCATAAATATACAACAACAAAAAAATAAATATAAAGGGTAAAAAATGTCATGACTGACTAAACTGCAGTGATGGCAATGCTACTCAAATAACTTAACATTTGTGTTGGATATAGGCAATTCTTTAAAGGAGTAGTTCACTTTTAAAAAAACTTTTGCTGATAATTTATTCACCCCCATGTCATCCAAGATGTCCATGTCTTTCTTTCTTTAGTCGAAAAGAAATTAAGGTTTTTAATGAAAACGTTCCAGGATTTTTCTCCATATAATGAACTTCAAACGGTTCAAGTTCCAAAAGAAACTTTCAGTACAAATTGCAAACTTGTTCAAAGGGCTTTAAACGATTCCAGACAATGAATCAAGCGAAACGATCGCTCGTTTTATAAATAAATAACAAAGTTTAACTGTACGTTCACACCGCCACCGGTGAGAGCGTCAAAGTGGCCAGAAGTCATTCATTTTCATTGAGAGCCGGCGGTGAGCTCCGGCGAGAGCGGCGCGGCGCGTTTCAGACGGCGAGCAGAGTTGAAATCAGTTAAACTTTATGGTAATAAGCAATGACGCGGTTCGGCGGCAACCGGCGGCAACCAATCGGAATGTAGAAGTGCTCCGTTTGAGGGAATCCCAGAGAACAGTCCTGTTAACTTTGGTTCCGGCCACATTAGTTCCCAAGCAAAATAGAGGCAAAATAGAGGAGGTTGATAATTTGAATTTGATAAGAGGGCGCGCAACACTATTTATAGGCAAGATTTTCGTGCTAGAACACTTTTTTTTAGCGAGAATGCAAATTATAATAGCACTTAACCATGAACACACAAGCCACACCACACACGTATGGCTTTTAATTTGTTTATTTCGTTAGCAAACATGTCACTATAATTTTAAAGTTATTTCCATCGATCAATTTTCTGCAAAAATAACGACTGACATGCTTGTTTGCTTTGTGACCCCTTTAAATACCGTTTTTTCCCCCCCACGCATTTGATCTACGTCAGAGCATCCACAAATCTTTCCACGGTGTCGTTAACAGAGCGGCAAGAGCGAATTTTGCCGCTCTCGCCGGCGGCGGGTGTGAACGTACGGTAAGTTTTATAAGCTCAAACACTCGCCTTGCTCTGTTCTGTAACGCACTCCTGTTCGAACTCGTTCAACAAAATGAACAAATCTTTTTCCGAATCAATTCGTTCGTTTCTTTCGCCGAATGAACCAAATGACTCGGAAAAAGATTTGTTCACTTTGATGAACGAGTTTGAACAGGAGTGCGTTACAGAACAGAGCAAGGCGAGCGTTTGAGCTTATAAAACTTAAACTTTGTTATTTATTGATTAAATAACAAAGATTAATCGTCTGGAATCGTTTAAAGCCCTTTGAACAAGTTTGCAGTTTGTACTTAAAATTTCTTTTGGACCTTGAACCGTTTGGTTCCCACCAGTGTTGTAGTACTCGAGACTCGGACTCGGACTCGAGACCATATTTTAATGGTCTTGGTCTTGTCATGGACTCGTGTCCATTTGGACTCGGAATTGACTCGTACTCGAACATTTTTTTTTTTAGGACTCGGAATTATTCCCGAGTCCACTCGAGTTCAATTAAAAATATTTATCATGATTATTAATGTATGTTAATAAAATATTTCTTTAAATTAATTGACACGCCCAGTGATTGATGATTTTCTAGTGCGCAACTGCGCATAACATATTGTAATAAAATTACTTTTAACACCACCTACTATGTGGCCGTTTTACCCTAAACTGATCATATTTTTTAAACTCTAAGTAAATTCAGTAAAAAAAAAAAAAAGGATTTCTCTAAGTAAATAAAAGTAAATTAGGTAATCAACCCTCACTGGCCTCGGTCTCGACTCGGACTCGACCGTCTCTGGTCTCGGACTCGACTCTCTATGGACTCGGTCTTGACTCGGACTACTCTCTCTGGTCTCGGTGTCGACTCGGACTCGAGTGAGGTGGTCTCGACTACAACATTGGTTCCCACTGAAGTCCATTATATGGAGAAAAATCCTGGAACGTTTTCATCAAAAACCTTAATTTCTTTTCGACTGAAGAAAGAAAGACATGGACGTCTTGGATGACTCGGGGGTGAGTAAATTATCAGCAAAAGTTTTTTCACAACTCCTTTAAAGAAATAATCACGATTATGACATAAGTTGCTGCATCTGTGTTGATTACGGTAGTGAAAAACCAGATTGTCCCACTGGCTTCTTTTGAGTCACGGGCCCCTAATCATTTAAACAGATTGATCTCTTTCTTCTTATAGCTGGTGGGCGTCCAGGTAAACTATGTCTGCCTTCGTATCGCTCGGTAGAGGAGATTCCACTACTTTGTGGAATGGTTGTGGATTCTCATGTGAATTTTAAGGCTTTGTTTCACCGTGAAACTCTTTCCACACTCAGAGCAGACGAAGGGCTTCTCTCCAGTGTGAACTCTCATGTGACTTTGAAGGGGTCCTCGTTGCATGAACCTCTTTCCACACTCAGCGCAGGAGAACGGCTTCTCTCCGGTGTGAATCCTCATGTGTCTATCAAGGCTTTGTTTCACTGGGAAACTCTTTCCACACTCAGAGCAGACGAAAGGCTTCTCTCCGGTGTGACTTCTCATGTGATTTTGAAGGTGTCCTTGTTGAATGAAACTCTTTCCACACTCACAGCAGGAGAACGGCTTCTCTCCGGTGTGAGTTCTCATGTGCGTCTCAAGGCTTTGTTTCACCGTGAACCTCAATACACAATAAGGACAGGTGAAAGGTTTCTCTCCGCTGTGGATTCTCATGTGTCGCTCAAGGCTGCTGTTCACTGTGAAACTCTTTCCACACTCAGAGCAGATGAAAAGCTTGTCTCCGGTGTGAGTGCTCATGTGATTCTTAAGGCTCCTTCTCGTTGTGAAACTCTTCCCACACTGAGAACAGACGAACGGCTTCTCTCCGGTGTGACTTCTCATGTGTCTCTCAAGGAAATGTTTCACCGTGAAACCCTTCATACAATAAGAGCAGACGAAAGGCTTCTGTCCGGTGTGAATGTTCATGTGAATTTGAAGTTGTCCTTGTTGCACGAAACTCCTTCCGCACAGAGAGCAGGAAAATGGCTTCTCGCCGGTGTGAATTCGTTTGTGGATCTTAAGGTTACCCTTCACTGTGAATCTCTTTCCGCATTGAGAGCAGGAGAACGGCTTCTCTCCGGTGTGAATCCTCATGTGACATCTCAGCTGTCCTTGTTGCTTGAAACGTTTTCCACATTGAGGGCAGGAGAACGGTTTCTCTCCCGTGTGAATTCTGGTGTGAATTATTAGTTGTCGTTGATCCATGAAACTCCTTCCACACTCAGAGCAGGAGAAAGGCTTCACTCCGGAGTGAATCCTCATGTGACTCTCGAGGTGTTGTTTTACCGTGTAACTCCTTGCACATTGAGTGCAGGCGAAAGGTTTCTCTCCCGTGTGAAGGCTCATGTGTCTCTTAAGGCTCCGGTTAACTCTGAAACTCTTTCCACATTGAGGGCAGGTAAAAGGTTTCTCTCCGGTGTGGATTCTCATGTGAATTTTAAGCTTTTGCACCTCTATGAAGCCCATGCCACACTCGGAGCAGGTGAACGGCTTGTCCCCAGTGTGAATTCGCACGTGTCGCTCGAGGCTTTGTTTAAAAATGAAACTCTTTCCACACTGAGAGCAGATGAAAGGTTGCTCTCCGGTGTGTATTCTCGTGTGAGTATTGAGCTGTTGTTTTTCTATGAAGCCCATCCCACACTCGGAGCAGATGAACGGCTTCTCTCCGGTGTGAATTCTAATGTGTCGCTCAAGGCTTTGTTTCAATGTGAAACTCTTTTCACACTGAGGGCACGTGAAGGGCTTCACTCCGGTGTGAATTCTCATGTGACTCTCAAGGCTTTGCTTCACTGTGAAACTCTTTCCGCATTGAGAGCAGGAGAACGGCTTCTCTCCGGTGTGAACTCTCATGTGACGTTTCCGCTGTCCGGGTTGTGTGAAACTCTTTCCACATTGATGGCATTTGAAAGGCTTCTCCCCGGTGTGAATTCTGGTGTGAATTATTAGTTGTCGTTGATCCATGAAACTCCTTCCACACTCAGAGCAGGAGAATGGCTTCACTCCGGTGTGAATTTTCATGTGACGGGTCAGCTGTCCTTGCTGAGTGAAACTCTTTCCACACTGAGAGCATGTGCAAGGCTTCTCCCCGGTGTGAATCCTCACGTGAATAACAAGCTTGTGTTTTTCTATGAAGTTCATTCCACACTCGGAGCAGGAGTAAGGCTTCTCTCCCGTGTGGATTTTCATGTGACGCGTCAGCTGACCTTGCTGTGTGAAACTCTTTCCGCACTGGGAGCAGGTGAACCGCTTTTCTCCGGTGTGAATTCTCATGTGCTTCTTTAGACTTACTTGTTCGGTGAAACACACACCACTTTGAGGGCAAGTGACAGAATCTTCTTTCAGTTCCTTCTGATCTAAAACAAACATTTAAAAAGCGATGTTAAAAGTCAATTTAAAGAGCCCCTATCATGGATTTTTGAAAATGACTGTTCATATGGTGTGGAATATAGGGAATGAAAACATCCTGCAAAGATTTATATCTGAAAGTGCACCGTATATAAAATTGTCTTTCAAAAGTGAGAGTCGACTCTGAGTCTATGAAATGAATTGTTTTTGAAACGAGTCATTAGCTGGTTCGTTGTAGGGCTGTCGCGGTAACCGCAATATTGTAGTACCCCTGTTCTGTCGATCTGTCCTACCTTGTCAGATTTTCCTACCGTAGCGCAAAATTATAGCCATATCTATCGGTTCATCCTACCTCGTCGTAAAATCCTACTGAGCGTTTCTGCTTCGCGTCTGTGACTAAGTTACATAAAATATTTCTGTGTAACTTTGCCGAATTTTCTTATTAGGCCATGTTACGGTGATTTTACAGTGCAAAGTAACGTTACCTCTTCAGATTGTCCTATGAAATAAACGATAGGATGATTTTACGTTGCAAAATACCTCATCAGATTGTGCTACCAGTATGAAATAAACGAGTAGTATGATTTTACAGTGCAAAATGCCTCATCAGATTGTCCTACCAGTATGAAATAAACGAGTAGAATGATTTTACGTTAATGTTTTCATGAAAAAAATGCTAATATGAATTTGCTTTGTATGAATGTGAGAGTAAACAGTTCTCATTACTGCTATATATCTTTGTATAGTGAAAAACTTACCTCAGATGAAGAAGATCTCGCGCAAGTAGTAAAATATTATGGGCGTGTTGTTCAGCGTGACAAAAAATGACGTATTATTGATGTGCGCATGCGCAGTAAGCCTTGGTAGGACAATCTGACGGGTAGGATGGAATGTCAGAACACCGCGCTTCTGACAAGTCAACCGCAGAGGATAGCACGTAACCGCAGCAACCGCGATATTCACGTTTTTTTTTTTTTTTATAAGGCTATACCCTTCTTGTTTTGAACTTAATGCATGTGTATTGAATGTTAAACACGTTCATAATGATAACAAGACTGTTTATCATGGTGATGCGTAGCCTACAGGCTTCACACAGACAGTGAATGTAAAGTAAAGCCTTAAAACTCTGATTTTCTCTTTTGGTGATTCTGCTTGTGTTAACATCAATAATGGTCAATTATCACTCAATTAATCACTTAATTATCTCATTAACTTTAATGTGAACACTTTTCAGTGTTCATTAAACACTTATATTTTAACGTTTGAACGTCACCTATTTAGGTTTAGGCTTAAATCATTTTGATAAACGAGGCGATTTATTAATCATTCATGATTAACAATGAACAGAATTAACAAATGATTTTATTTGTTACATTGTAAGTGACAAATAACAAACTTACTCTGTCTTTTATTCTTCCACTCTTGCATATGTGTTGTCTGACAGGTTTTCGTCTTCACATCTGGTGTGTGTGTAACGTTAGTCTGGTTGTTTTCAGGCTGCTCCATCTTTATCACTAGGAAATGTTCGATGCAGCTTATTTCATCAGTCTCCATCAGTCAGGTTTCATTCCCTCTATTCTCTAACAGATATTCTACTACCAAAATTGATTTGGTTTGAAATCAGTGATTTGGCGTTCAAAACGCTGCTTAAATAACCTTCGAGACGTTTGCGAATCCATAGCTTGGAGAGCTCGTCAAACTGGCCAAGTCACGTGATCGTTACGTCATATACTGAGTGTTCACCGCTAGGGGGCGTTAATCTCCAGAACCAGAGCCATGTTATAAGAACTAAACCCATGAACCAGTGTCTGGATTGATATGAATTTACCTGATGTCGGTTCAGTTTTATAATTTAGGTTCTAACCTGCAAATATGTATGCAGAAGGGGCTATAGTGTTGACTAACAGGAGTTAAAAAAATTAAATTGGTGTCCTCATTTTGCTAATAGACTGTTTATGGTTCACACACCTCTGTGAGTATGCTATGCTTACACATAAATGGAATTAGAACACTGTAATTTTATTTTAAGTCTATCTTTGTAAAACATGACACTAAAATAAGCTTGAAATATTTATAAGAAAAAAAACAACTTAATTTTATTGAGGTAGTGACAGGAGCACCCTCACATTGATTGGCATCAGTATAAAAGCAACTGGTATTGTTTTAGTGAGTATTTTCTTTTTCCAAAAGATCTCTCAAATCAAGGAGTTCCAGATACCAAAAAGCAAATTTTATTGTTTCAACAATGCCTGTGCCAGTTAAACATCTAACAATCTCTTTACACTTTTTGACCAATGTGCACACAGGTATACTTTCCACTTACTGTATATAGTTTATGGATATGATGAGACATGCACAGTTGAGTGACACAGTACACAATTTCCTGTGAAAACCCTTGCGCCAGGTCTAAAATATAGACCCTTTTACAGCCCACGTGACCAAAGAGTTGCGCACGCTTCATCGGGTGATCTGATGGTGTTGGTTGTTTTAACATAATCATTAATTGACCTGAATTGCTGAACTCTTCAAGAGACTCGTTGAAAGACTCGACATCAAGCTTTTTTATGTTGAAACTCTTTCCACACTTGTAGCATTTCCATTCTCTCCAGTGTGAATTCGGATGTGACATTTAAGGTTGACTTCTTTTGTTGTTGACTTCTTGACCGGCTTATTTCCGGTGTGAATCCTCATGTGTCTCTCAAGGTTTTGTTTCACTGTGAAACCCTTTTCACACTCAGAGCAGGTAAAAGGCTTCACTCCAGTGTGACTCCACATGTGTCTCTCAAGCTTTTGTTTCATGTTGAAGCTCAGTCCACACTCGTAGCAGGTGAAAGGCTTCTCTTCAGTGTGGAGAATCATGTGACATTTAAGGTGGTTTTGTTGTGTGAAACTCTTTCCACACTGAGAGCAGGTGAAGGGTTTCTCTCCGGTGTGAATCCTCATGTGAATATGAAGTTTTTTCTTCTCTGTGAAACTCTTTTCGCACTGAGGGCACGTGAAAGGCTTCTCTCCGGTGTGAATCCTCATGTGACTGTCAAGGTTTTGTTTTACAGTGAATCTCTTTCCACACTGAAGGCAGGCGAACGGCTTCTCTCCGGTGTGACTTCTCGTGTGAATCTCAAGGCTTTGCTTCATTGTGTAACTCTTTCCGCACTGAGAACAGGTGAACGGCTTCTCTCCGGTGTGAATTCTCATGTGACATTTAAGGTTTTGTTTCTCTGTGAAACTCTTTCCACACTGGGGGCAGGTGAAAGGCTTCTCTCCAGTGTGAATTTTAATGTGGCTATCAAGGTTTTGTTTCACAGTGAAACTCCTTCCACACTCAGAGCAGATGAACGGCTTCTCTCCGGTGTGATTTCTCATGTGAATATCAAGGTTTTGCTTCATGTTGAAACTTTTGCCACACTGAGAGCATGTGAACGGCTTCTCTCCGGTGTGGATTCTCATGTGAATATAAAGTTTTTTTTTCTCAGCGAAACTCTTTTCACACTGAGAGCATGTGAACGGTTTCTCTCCGGTGTGAATTCTCACATGAAAATTAAGTGTAGTTTTCGCTGCGAAACTCTTTCCACACTGAGGGCACGTGAAAGGCTTCTCTCCGGTGTGGATTCTCATGTGAACTTCAAGGCTTTGTTTCACTGTAAAACTCTTTCCACACTGGACACAGGTGAACGGCTTCTCTCCGGCGTGGATTCTCATGTGCTTTTCGAGGCTCGCTTGCTTGGTGAAACATATCCCACATTGATGGCAAGTGAAATAACCTTCTTTCAGTTCTTGCAGACCTAAAATAATCATAAACAAAAGCAAAACGTGAGCTTAGAATTATAAGGTTCTATCTCCACTTTTAGTCAAAATTGAGTTTTTGACATAATCTGATCCATTAGGTGTTTATTAATGCCTGTGTGGTGTTATTTTTGTAAAAAAAAATAAAAAATAAAAAATAAAAGATTAATAGATAAAGCTATAATAGAAGATTATACTACATAACAGTTTTGCCAGCTGGGATGTAAAAACTTTGATGCTCAATATCTCAGAACTACCCTAAACGGAGATAGAACCTTATAATTCTAAGCTCACAAAAAGTGAAAAATCAATTCAAGGACAATAAAAGTGAGATAGACAATGTTTTAGATTTGCACCAGATGTCATTGTTTTATCTTTGACATACTTAAGGTTGAATCTTTCCTTCTCAAGTTCTTGCTGTTAAATCTGGTATGGCTTATACAAGGGTATTATCTTTTATATGAACTTTGCTATAGCCTTTTCCTCTATTAATAGACACTGTTAGGCTCAAGTTTCCCCTGATACTACTGACATCCATCTTATCTGTCTAGGGCTGCAAGATATTAGAAAAAAATTATTTAGAAAATTTTTAGTTTTTCTGTAAAAAAAACTTTGGGCCCTATCTTGCACCCGGCGCAAATGTCTTTACACTGACACACATTTGAGCTTACGCATGTTACGCAGCACGTTTGAGCTTCAGCAAGAACCAATGATTTTCATTCATGTGTTGCCATTTGATATAGACCATTTCACAAGATGTAAACAACACTGGTCCAGAAGCAGTTCCTGTTTCAGTTTTTTAACACTACATAAAAGCTGGGATAAAATACAACCAACAGAACATATAAAACTGAATCAAAAAGTTAAACAAACATCTTTAAGATGTTTTCTTTACATGTGAAATAAAGAAAACAGTTACAAACTGAAACAGGAAGTGCTTCTGGACCAGTGTTGTTTACATCTTTTGAAATGGTCAATACTCGCAGATGACGATTTTTACTCGCATTTGACAATTGGCGAATGTAAACTTTAGGCCCTGGGTACATATCCACAGCTTTGTGAAAATTAACATTATGTGCGTTGTGCCTGCATTAAGCCCCTATCGTCATTCAGTAAAATTAATGAACCATCTAAATTATCAAAACATATAAACATTTAATTAATCTGAATTTTTATTTTTATTTATTTTTTTATACAGCTATTGGATTGTTTGGTTGAATAGTTAATGTAAAATAAAAAATCGTTGGTCTGAGAAATCCCTACACTCTATAAAATGCTGAGACTGGGTTAATTAAAAACAACTGTTTCTGGGTTGCTTGCGCTGGGTAATTATTTTAATCCCTGGGTTGTTTTTTGGGATAGCACTGGGTCAGTCAGGTATTTCATTTAAAATAAAATAAAAATGCTGTTAGCAGGACCAGTTTATAGGCTATAATATTTTTTTATTCAATGGCAAGTCAGTCTTTTACAATCAAACACATGATTACAATCAAAAAGCATTTTTAGTAAACGTTTTAGGAGGAGCAGCCTTCCCAAGCAGCAGCATATGGGAATCTTTGAGAAGAAAACTGGTATCAGTAGGCTGTTCCAGGTCATTAAATGACAATCTTATATATTCATGTTTGTAAAGTCACATTAAAAATAGCTTTACCTTTTGCCAAACTCAAGTGTCAAACGCACTATAGATCAATAGCGCTCCTGTTGATGCGGCAGCTTTACACATGACAGCGGTGTTTCACATTGACCCAGCGCTGGGTAGTTATGTGAGGGGGTTCATCATTTGTTTTGGCAGAATAAAAAATATTACGAATAACCCAATACAATGACCCAACAGACTAAAACCAGCATTAGTGATAAAAAAATAAAAATAAAACAAGAACAAACTTACACGGTCCTTCATTCGTCCATTGCATTGGTGATGACTGGCGTGTTTTCGTCTTTCCATCTGGTGTGGTCTGGTTGTCTTCATGCTGCTCCATCTTTATCTCCAGTTTATTTTCCAAATCGCTCCATCATCAGTCAGTTATTCTTCTTCTTCTTTGGGAATTAACGGCAGCGTTACTCTACTGCCATCTGGGTTTATTTCCCTAAACGGGCTTTTCTCTCACTGAGGCAGTTACATATGAATTCCTGTAGAGGGCGCGTCAGGTCGGTGAGTTGTAGGTGTGTATGTGTGCGTGTGGGTGACATCGCTGTCCGAGGTACTGATCAAAATAAATAAAAAAAATAAGAAAAATCAATCACCAGTGACGTGTTATAATGTTACAAAATAAAAGCGTTTGTGAGACAATTCTATAATATGCAAGATGAATGTCACTGCAACTTTGCTTTTCATCTCATTGTGTATTTGCACCATCTGTCCAACCTATAAAGGCACCAATGCTGAAATAAAAATACACCCCCGGGTAAAACTGGTCGCATTTCTTTGTGAGATTCAGGATTTACAGTAAATTATCAATTATAAAATCGTTAAATCCTCCTGCTGCGTTTATGTGAAATATCTGTGGTGATTGTGTTTGTGTTAATGATAGTTTATGACGTCAAAGAGAAGCTGTTCCTCACGAGTGCATGATGGACATTCATCTCTTACATCATCATGTGCTAGAAGAGAACAAGGAAGCAGTTTGACAGAAGTTTATTTTTTGGTGCCATGTGAATTTGACAAAAAAAAAAAAAAAAAAAAAATCAGAGAACTTGCATGCAAATAATGATTTCAGCTCCTCTGTAATGCATTAATACAGATTCAAACATGCTTGAGGGATATTTGGGACATGCTTGAGTGATATTCATCTGGGTTTGCAGAATCATATTTCCAAAGACTGGAAGAGGAGAGTTTTGCCGTCATTCAGAGGAAGTGAAGAAAGACAGGATGTGTGAAAACAGTAAACTAGCAAACAGATCATGCAGTTTTTACACTCGGACTGCAGAGTGCAGTGAGGTAGGACACACACATGTATTTCAAAATATGTTTCAGCTTTAATAGAGAGATTATTGAATATGTTATATTAAGTTTTATATGCATCTATAAACACGTGTCAGTCACTTTTGTGTAATTGTAACAATTTTTCTCATGTCTTCCAGAATGTTTGGTGTTTTCTCTCTGATTTCTCTGCTTGTGATTCCTGGTGAGTCTGAACCTAATTCTTATTTACACACACACACACACACCCCGAAGAAACCTCCATCTTTCAGGATGTTTAATCTATTTCTGTATTTAAAGACAGTTTAATGTAGTGTTCACAGTTCTGCTAAACTGACACAGAAAGCTTCGATATGCATCATTCATCAAAGACACTTCCTGGAAATACTGGCTATCGGCGCCATTTTGTGTTCATATTCATATGAAGTGAAGTGTAAACACTTCATGAAGTGTTTGTGATCCTCAGTGGCAAGGGGAACACAGACAGGAATCAGACATGAACCCACACCTTGACAGGTGGCATGTTACTGGAATATTTAGGACATAGAGAGCATGAGTGTTTTTTTATTTTATTTTTTTTAAGCAGCAAAGAAAATACTGAAATAGAAGAACTGCTTTTGTGTTGTAGAGAAAAATAAAAACACACAGATTCAGTGTTTTACTGTTTTATATCTTCCAGGAATTTGCAGTCAGGAATGGGGGGTTCAGTACTCGGGTTTGAACAGATGTGTCCTAAAGGGTTCAACAACATTTTTATCAGGCACTTTTAAACACCCAGATCATCTCACTGTGAAAGAGACATTTTGGATCGTAAACCCAGTTAAAGACCAAGAGTTCATCAATCTGTTGGATCTTCCAGATTACAGAGGCAGAGTTCAGTATTTCCCCAATAAAAACCGAACATTCATTCTCAGACTCAGTAATGTGAGACGAGAGGATGAAGGAATCTACTGCTTCAGAATCATAACAAATGAAGAAGCACAAAGATATCTGGGTTTTCCTGGGATTGAGCTCAACGTCACAGGTACAGTCTAACTAATATTGCACTGATAGATGTTACTCTGTTCTTTCATATAAATATAAAGTGTGTTGTGTGTGATTTCAGAGCTCAGAGTGGAGATTCCTGAAGAGGTCGTTGAGAAAGATTCCCCTGTTTTATTTTGTAAGAGCACCTGTTTCCTCTCAGACACAACAGGCTTTATCTGGTATAAAAACGGCGAGTCTTTCTCCGAGTCGAGCGTCGGGAATCGTCTGATTCTGCAGTCGGTCAGCAGGGATGATGCGGGAAACTACAGCTGTGCAGCGAGACATCAGGAACATCTGCCGTCTCCTGCCGTCACTCTCAGCGTCAGATGTAACACACACTTCAGCTTTCAGACAAGTTCAGTCCAGACTCGTGATGAGTAACTTTCAGTGTTTTCCAGATCCTCCTCAGAGCGTGTCAGTGTCCATCAGTCCATCTGGTGTAATAGTGGAGGGAGATTCAGTGACTCTGAAGTGCATCAGTGACTCAAACCCTCCTGCTCTGAACTTCAGCTGGTTTAAGGAGAATGAAACCTCAGCTGTTGGATCTGGACAGAGTTTCAGCATCTCCAGCTTTAACTCCAGTTTCAGTGGACGCTTCTACTGTGAGGCTCAGAATAAATATGGATCTGGGAGATCAGCGTCTGTGTCTTTGTTCGTGCCTGCAGGTATTGACATGTGCCGTTGATCTTCTGCTGGTGTGATTATCAGCCGTGTGAATGATGTTTCTCTTCGCTCAGGTGTCCAGAACACAGGTCTGTTTGCAGCCGCTGGCATCGGGGCCGCGCTCATCACCGTCTGCGCTGTTGTTGCAGTAATACGAATCCTCAGGTAAGAGCAAAGCGTGACGCAAGTGTTTTTTACTCACTAAGAGAACAGGGACAATTTTAGATCACGCCGACTATTTTTTCCGCCGTTAAACTAGAAAAAGTGGCTTCGGACACGACCTGAGTGCTTTAGACCATCGTTTCGATTGTTAAAATTGTTGTTAGATTGTTGTTTGTGTTCATGTTCATTTCTTCTTCTCTCACAGGAAACGAGCGACTCCATCAGAAGAGCGAAACCACAGAGCATCACGACACCAGAAAACAGTGAGACAATCTTCTCAAGCTTCTTCTCATGTGTGTCCTGTCAGTTATGAAGGGAGAATTGATTCTCTCATCATTGTGTCGTCAGGTCGAGTCTCCTGAGGACGCCTACATGACCCTTGACCCCAAGTCCAGATGTTCTGAGTACGACACACTAGATGTGAGTTATTCTGCTGTTGTTGTGAAGGTTTGTGAAGGAGATATTATTTGTGATGCATATGTTCACTTCTTCTCTAGAATATGAAGAGATCCTGTGACACGGACGACCCTGAAGATCAGGATTCTACATATTATAACATGGTCAAATGATTAATCTAAGTGGTCATATCGTGCCTTTTTATTATTTACTTTTTCCCTTTATAACAGTCAGATTTTCACCCTCTCTACGACGTGATGTCTCTCTTGTCCTTCGCCATTCCATCATGAACTACATTTCCCATAAACCTTTGCCTGGACTCATTACCTGTGTATCATTAGCTTGATAATCTCTGTGTATTAAAGCCCTGTAATATGGATTATGAGTTATATTTCTCTCAATAAAGCAGCATTTGGATCTTCAACCCAAGTCTCTCAATGCAGTTACGTAACAATTTACCTTCATATCAAATACGTTTTTATTTCCATCTCTGTAGACATAAGATAATGCAAAATCTTTGATTTTCTCTTAAAAGAGTCAAAACAACACAGTGTATATCTATTTTCATCTGACTGGTCACGCCGAGCTAGCCATTACACCAACTATGACCTATGATGGATAAGTCTGTTTGATTTAAATAAATTACTTTAAAAGACGATTTGACTCGTGTATCTTACGCAGTGATGATGTTTAAGAAATCTGCCACAAACCTGCACAGTTAGATTCAGAGGACTACACCACCGACCTCAACTACAGTGACACTGGAGACCGGAAGAGGGACGGCATGACAAAGTCTACATCCTAATGCTTGCTGCCCATGCATTTAAATACAGAGGCCCTACTTATCCCAATTCTACGGAGACCCCCTAGTCCCACTTTGGCAAAAAAAAAAAAAAAAAAAACTATCTTGTGGCCTCAAGATAGTAACTCGTGGCCTCAAGATAGTATCTTGAGGCCACGAGTTAGTATCTTGAGGCCACGGGTTACTATCTTGAGGCCACGGGTTACTATCTTGAGGCCACGAGTTAGTATCTTGAGGCCACGAGTTAGTATCTTGAGGCCACGAGTTAGTATCTTCAGGCCACATGTTACTATCTTGAGGCCACGAGTTAGTATCTTGAGGCCACGAGTTAGTATCTTGAGGCCACGGGTTACTATCTTGAGGCCACGGGTTAGTATCTTGAGGCCATGAGATAGTATCTTCAGGCCACATGTTACTATCTTGAGGCCACGAGTTAGTATCTTGAGGCCACGAGTTAGTATCTTGAGGCCACGAGTAACTATCTTGAGGCCACGGGTTACTATCTTGAGGCCACGAGTTACTATCTTGAAGGCCACGAGTTAGTATCTTGAGGCCACGAGTAACTATCTTGAGGCCACGGGTTACTATCTTGAAGGCCACGAGTTAGTATCTTGAGGCCACGGGTTACTATCTTGAGGCCACAGGTTACTATCTTGAGGCCACGAGTTAGTATCTTGAGGCCACGAGTAACTATCTTGAGGCCACGAGTTACTATCTTGAAGGCCACGAGTTAGTATCTTGAGGCCACGAGTAACTATCTTGAGGCCACGGGTTACTATCTTGAGGCCACGAGTTAGTATCTTGAGGCCACGAGTAACTATCTTGAGGCCACGAGTTACTATCTTGAAGGCCACGAGTTAGTATCTTGAGGCCACGAGTAACTATCTTGAGGCCACGGGTTACTATCTTGAGGCCACGAGTTGGTATCTTGAGGCCACGAGTAACTATCTTGAGGCCACGGGTTACTATCTTGAGGCCACGGGTTAGTATCTTCAGGCCACATGTTACTATCTTGAGGCCACGAGTTAGTATCTTGAGGCCATGAGATAGTATCTTCAGGCCACATGTTACTATCTTGAGGCCACGAGTTAGTATCTTCAGGCCACATGTTACTATCTTGAGGCCACGAGTTAGTATCTTGAGGCCATGAGATAGTATCTTCAGGCCACATGTTACTATCTTGAGGCCACGAGTTAGTATCTTGAGGCCACGAGTTAGTATCTTCAGGCCACATGTTACTATCTTGAGGCCACGAGTTAGTATCTTGAGGCCACGAGTTACTATCTTGAGGCCACGAGTTAGTATCTTGAGGCCATGAGATAGTATCTTGAGGCCACGAGTTACTATCTTGAGGCCACGAGTTACTATCTTGAGGCCACGGGTTACTATCTTGAGGCCACGAGTTACTATCTTGAGGCCACGAGTTACTATCTTGAGGCCACGAGTTACTATCTTGAGGCCACGGGTTACTATCTTGAGGCCACGAGTTAGTATCTTGAGGCCACGAGTTAGTATCTTGAGGCCACAAGTTAGTATCTTGAGGCCACGCGATAGTATCTTGAGGCCACGAGTTAGTATCTTCAGGCCACATGTTACTATCTTGAGGCCACGAGTTAGTATCTTGAGGCCACGAGTTAGTATCTTCAGGCCACATACTATCTTGAGGCCACGAGTTAGTATCTTGAGGCCATGAGATAGTATCTTCAGGCCACATGTTACTATCTTGAGGCCACGAGTTAGTATCTTGAGGCCACGAGTTAGTATCTTCAGGCCACATGTTACTATCTTGAGGCCACGAGTTACTATCTTGAGGCCACGGGTTACTATCTTGAGGCCACGAGTTACTATCTTGAGGCCACGGGTTACTATCTTGAGGCCACGAGTTAGTATCTTGAGGCCACGAGTTAGTATCTTGAGGCCACGAGTTAGTATCTTGAGGCCACGCGATAGTATCTTGAGGCCACGAGTTAGTATCTTCAGGCCACATGTTACTATCTTGAGGCCACGAGTTAGTATCTTGAGGCCACGAGTTAGTATCTTCAGGCCACATACTATCTTGAGGCCACGAGTTAGTATCTTGAGGCCATGAGATAGTATCTTCAGGCCACATGTTACTATCTTGAGGCCACGAGTTAGTATCTTGAGGCCACGAGTTAGTATCTTCAGGCCACATGTTACTATCTTGAGGCCACGAGTTAGTATCTTGAGGCCACGAGTTACTATCTTGAGGCCACGGGTTACTATCTTGAGGCCACGAGTTAGTATCTTGACGCCACGAGTTACTATCTTGAGGCCACGGGTTACTATCTTGAGGCCACGGGTTACTATCTTGAGGCCACGCGATAGTATCTTGAGGCCACGAGTTAGTATCTTGAGGCCACGAGTTAGTATCTTGAGGCCATGAGATAGTATCTTCAGGCCACATGTTACTATCTTGACGCCACGAGTTAGTATCTTGAGGCCATGAGTTACTATCTTGAGGCCACGAGTTACTATCTTGAGGCCACGAGTTACAATCTTTATATAATAATTCATCTCATAATTTCATAATTCAATCCTCAACCACCACCAATGTGGAGCTCCACCCGGATGAGGCGACGGCAGCCATATTGCGCCAGAACGCCCACCACACACCAGCTTTCTAATTATATAAAATATTGACTAAATCTCTCTCCTCTGATAGCTGGTAGGGTTTCTGATACACTATGACTGCAGTGACTTCATTCTGATGGATGCTGCACACAGGCGGAGGAAGAGATTCCCCCACTCTGTTTCTTTTCAGTATGAATTCTCATGTGACGTTTAAGGTGTCCATGTTGCGTGAAGCTCTTCGCACACTGGGGGCAGATGAAAAGCTTTTCACCAGTGTGAGTCCTCATGTGTCTCTCAAGGCCTCGTTTTACTGTAAAACTCATTCCACACTCTGAGCAGCTGTAAGACTTCTCTCTAATGTGACTTCTCATGTGACTCTCAAGGCTTTGCTTCACTGTGAAACGCTTTCCACAATCAGAGCAGATGAAAGGCTTCTCTCCGGTGTGAATTCTCATGTGAATCTCAAGGCCATATTTCACTGCAAAACTCTTTCCACACTCGGAGCAGGTGAAAGGCTTTGCTCCAATGTGAAGTTTCATGTGTCTCCCAAGGTTGTTTTTCATTGCGAAACTGTTCCCACATTGAGGACAGACGAAAGGCTTCTCTCCAGTGTGAATTCTAATGTGATACTCGAGGTTTCGTTTTACAGCGAAACTCTTTCCACATTGAGGGCAGGTGAACGGCTTTTCTCCAGTGTGAATGGTCATGTGATTATCAAGGCTTTGTTTCACTGTGAATCTCTTTCCACACTTGGGGCAGGAGAATGGCCTCACTCCAGTGTGAATTCTCATGTGATTTTCAAGGTTTTGTTTTACTGTAAAACTCTTTCCACATTGAGGGCAGGTGAAAGGCTTCTCTCCAGTGTGATCGCTCATGTGACTGTCAAGGCTTCGTTTCAATCTGAATCTCTTTCCACATTGAGAGCAGGTGAACGGCTTCTCTCCGGTGTGTGTTCTTATGTGGCGTTTAAGGTATTCTTGTAGCGAGAAGCTCATCTCACACTGGGGGCAGGTGAAAGGCTTCTCTCCAGTGTGAATTTTAATGTGGATTTTAAGGCTTTGTTTGGCTGTGAAACTCTTTCCACACTCTGAGCAGTTGAAAGGGTTTTCTCCGGTGTGACTTCTGATGTGAACATCAAGGCTTTGTTTCAATCTGAAACTCATTCCACACTGAGGGCAGGTGAACGGTTTCTCTCCAGTGTGGATTCTCATGTGCTGCTTAAGGCTTCCTTGTTTTGTAAAACGTTTTCCACAATGATGGCAAGTGATATTATCTTTCTTCGGTTCATTCCGATCTAAAGTAAACATTGAAAAAACTCATTTCAAGGACAATACATTTGAAAGAGCCAATAGCCAAAGTAACAGATCTGCAACACCAACATGACATCATGACTTTTGCGTAAACATACACGCCACTGTCAAGTCAAGTGGCATGTTATCTATACGCATTTTGAGCTAGATCGCAATTCTCGCGCATGCGTCGTGGAAATCTCTTGAACTCTCGCCTCAGGCCTACAAGGAAGAAAAGGCCTAGTCGAATAAAGTCGTTTTGTTTGTTTTTTCGCACAAAAAGTAGTCTCGTCACTTGATAAACTTATACTTGAGCCACTGTTGTCACATGGATATTTAAAAAATGTTTCAATGACTTTCCGGGGCCGTCAAGTTTCGATCCCTCACGGTAGAGATCCACTTGTCCGACACGACAGTCGCGTGTTGTCGCGACGCCTCCCCACATTTGTACTTTGATGGGCGTTCCTCAAGTTTACCGCTATGGCCGTGGTTTTGAGCCAGCGTCCAGTCTAGAACAGAGGACCTGCGAGAGACTTCCCCCCGTCTCCTTATGCTCTACTTCTATTGGATAGTTGCGGCGTGTTCAACGGAATTAATTTGCATAAAGATGGGCATCGGCCAGCTTTTTGACGCGCAGCAATTTTCCAAATGAAGCGCCGCCTTCCCGGGATGCTTTCTGGGCGCGTTAAAGTCGCATGACATCACCCATAGGAATAAAGCGGAGCGCGGCGCGACAGAAGTGCCGCATGGACAAGTGGATCCACCTCTCAAACTGAATCAAAAATATCTTAATTTGTGTTCCGAAGACAAACGAAGGTCTTACGGGGTTGGTACAGCATGGGGGTGAGTAATTAATGACTTAATTTTCAATTTTGGGTGAACTATCCCTTTAACTAGTCTATTTTTCAGGTTGAATAATGTTCTTTTAAAATTTCTGAAAGTTTTAATTGGGTTGATATATAATACCTTTATATGTGTGACAATATTTTGCAATTGAGCATGTTTAAAATACAGGCTGATTTCAACATGCAGCATAAAAACACAACAATGGTAACAATTAGCCTACAATTTATTTATTATTTATTAGTTACTAGAACTATTGTGTAAGTGAACTATACTAACTAAGCATTTGTCGGTACAAAACACTACTTCTATTTTACTTATTTTTTTTTTTAAGATAATTGATTTGTATGCTTTTTAAGACTAACTAATTAGAATTTACAGTGTACAGTGGATTTGTTGCACACCAAATCCACCGCCATCAGTCATCTCTCATTGATTGATAAGTCAAATCTGACTTCTGCTGGACTGTGCACACCCATTGTCCAACTGAACTAAATATTAATAGTTTTTAATTCTATAAAAAAATCAAAACAACAGTTCGCCACGGAGGCCAGATAATGTAATTGTGTACAGCTGAACACTCTGTAGCAAAAACTACCGCAGCAAGCCTAATGTGACCGTCTTTGACAAACAAATGGTTAAATCTGTCATTCTAATGTTCTTGCAATTAAATCTGACAAGACTTATACAAGGTTATTATCTTTTAGATAAACTCTGCAACAGCATTTCTCTCTATTAGATACACTGTTACCCCATTTATAGGCTACTACCAAAATCCAACTCACTTGTTTGTCAATAAACTGGATCCAAAATATATATGATTTATTTGTAGATGGTGCCCTTAAGAATAACGGTATTATCCACATAGAGTTTATGTATTGTTCTCAATTTTTTGATTGCAGTGAATTTTGAATTTTTTTTACTTCTTGTTGCTATGCAGATTTATAACTATATAAACTATATTATGTCAATAATATTGAATCAACAATGAATTTTATGTCAATATAGGGGTAAGATTATAAAATATTTTATGCTTGCAGAGTGTAGTCTAAAAAGAGCTTTTCCTGCTGCACATGCATTCATGGTTTCAGACAGCTAATTTAAGGAACGTATTTCCTCTTACTAATCATCAAAATAAGTTATTGTTGTGGTCAACTGAACATCGGAAGAAACAACACATTTCTAGCCTTTACATGCATAAATAATTGGACACACTTGAATGTATTAGTCACGAAAAAACATTAACAGAATTAACACGTTATTTTTTAACATATTTGAGTCTTTGTAACTAACAAATAACCAACTTACACAGTACTTTATCGTTCTGGTGAAGGCTAGGCGACTGGCAGGTTTTCGTCCTGACATCTGGTACCTGTGTGGTCTGGTTGTTTTCATGCTGCTCCATCTTTATCGATCAAGATAGCTCTCCATCAGTCAGTTTTGATTCACTCTTTTCTCTAATCGAGATTCTACAACCACAGCTGGCTTGCTTTAAATTAATAACAGCTGTAATATAGTCCTGGGCGCTTTAAAACCATTGTTTCGTGAAGGTCCGAAACGAAACCTGTCCTATGTTTCGAATCAGTGATTCGGAGCGCGAATCAAACTTACCATGTCACGTGATCTCAGAAACGAACGAGGCTTCGTGACGTCATGTATACTGTTTTTTTTGAGAGACCGTTGATCTGATGAAAACGCCGGTGTAAAAATTGAGGTAAATAAACTTTTATACATATATTAGTTATAAATTAGTTCTATTCAGAGATGGAGGCTGCATATGTGGAAGTGAGTGACACTGACCAGCACCGTTTGTTGATAATGCTAAGAAAAATAGCTGAATAATACTTGATATTCAGCCGAGACTGTAAGGCTGTGAAGTGAAAAATTACATCAGACGCCAACGAGAACAAATGCGGATATCCACACACACTCATTGCTAATAAACTGGATGCAATTTAAAATTCTAATAAATGAACAAGACTCCCAAAGTACTTATTAAATTTAATTCGACGTAAGTGTTTATCAATATTTTTTGCTTTAATACAGACAAGTTTTTAAATATTTTTTATCTATATTGATTACAGTGTCTGAGAATTTGGGAATTTTCACACTCCCACATTATTTATGCACATAAAAGATAGAGTTTTAAAATCAAACCTTTTAAAAGAGAACACAGCAAAAACCCCAATGTTAAATCAACACTGCTCAGTGTATGGTCCTAACCCTAAGTGTAATGATTTTCAAAAACTGTCTGCAATGTATATAAAAATTCAGAATGTCTGCTCTGTGTCAAGAAAGGTTAAAGTTATTTATTAAAAACAAATTACAACTTTTGGTCAGGGATAACATTAAAGAACCATTCTTTTTTATTTTTTATTATGAAAACTACTATACCTGAACACCTTTGTAACAAACTATTACAAAGACCAAAATTGCACTTAAAATGCTAAGAGTCAAACTGTTCAACTATAGGAAACACTGATCACAATAATGGTGACCAAACATTTAAAAATATCGATATCTAAACCTCCGTTCATAGATATCTGACAGAAATAAAGTAATTCTAGTTAGTCATAAAGCTGGTGATGCTGTTTGTGGAGTTGTTTAATCCCCATTTGCTGAGAATGAGATCTTCACAGATTTAATGTCTTCAGTCGGTGGAGAGAAACTGCAGAACCTGATGAGTTTTTTGACATACAACTACAAGTGAGCATTTATTCATCTCACTGGCACAAAAACAGATTCAGTATTCTTCAAAATGGATGAAAACAGTTTGTTTTTATTGCACTTTGTTGAACTTTCTTCTCTTCACAAACAATTATACTGCAATCTAGTACAGGTGAAAGGCTAAAACCACTTAAAAAAAACAAACAAGCAAGCCCAGCCCAGGTGAGAAAAAGTAACAGAACATTACTTTCCGTAAAAAAGTAACTAAAAGTAATTTTTAGGGAGTAAAGCAATATTGTAATGCACTGCATTACTTTTTAAAAAGATATTCTAGATATGCTTTTGTCACAGATATTCTTGAGATACCAATGAATTTTCTCTTCTAAAATGTCTTCAAACATATTGTATGTATTGATGTATTATGTGGCAAAAAATGAATGCGTCTAAACAGAAATATGCATGTTCTTCACGTTCATGTTCTTATAGCAAAAACTGTCATAGTAATTCTGCTTTACATGTCTAATCAACTGTGATTTCTCATGTGAATATTACGGTTCTATTTCACTGTGAAACCCTTTCCACATTGAGAACAGATGAAGGGCTTCACTCCAGTGTGAACTTATGTGATGTTTTAGCTGTCCTTGACCTTGTTCTGCGAAACTCTTTCCACTCTGAGAGCGAGTGAAGGGCTTCATCACTACAGCGTAAACGCTCATGACGTTGAAGGTGTCCTTTTTGTGTGAAACTCTTTCCACACTTAGCACAGTTGAAGGGCTTCTCTCCGGTGTGAATCCTCATGTGACAGTCAAGGTTTCCTTTCACTGCGAATCTCTTTCCACAATGAAAGCAGGCGAACGGCTTCTCTCCACTGTGAACTCTCATGTGAATCTCTAGGTTTTTCTTCATTTTAAAACTCTTTCCACACAGAAAACAAGAGAACGGCTTCGCTCCGGTGTGAATTTTCATGTGATTCTCAAGGTTTTGTTTCACTGTGAATCTCTTTCCACACTGAGAACAGGAGAACGGCTTCTCTCCGGTGTGAACTCTCATGTGTGTCTCAAGGTTTCCTTTCGCTGCGAATCTCTTTTCGCACTGAGTGCAGTTGAACGGCTTCTCTCCGGTGTGACTTCTCATGTGAATTTCAAGGTTTCCTTTCGTTGTGAATCTCTTTCCACACTGAGTGCAGTTGAACGGCTTCTCTCCACTGTGACTTCTCATGTGAATTTCAAGGTTTCCTTTCGCTTTGAAACTCTTTCCACACAGAGAACAGGAGAACGGCTTCTCTCCTTTGTGACTTCTCATGTGAAATTTTAGGTTTTGCTTCATTTTAAAACTCTTTCCACACAGAATACATTTGAACGGCTTCTCTCCGGTGTGATTTCTCACGTGATTCTCAAGGTTTCCTTTCGTTGTGAATCTCTTTCCACACTGAAGGCAGGCGAACGGCTTCTCTCCACTGTGACTTCTCATGTGAATTTCAAGGTTTCCTTTCGCTTTGAACCTCTTTCCACACAGAAAACAGTTGAAAGGCTTCTCTCCGGTGTGATTTCTCACGTGATTCTCAAGGTTTCCTTTCGTTGTGAAATTTTTTCCACATTGAGTGCAGTTGAATGGCTTCTCTCCGGTGTGAATTCGGATGTGATTATTCAGGTTTCCTTTCACTGTGAATCTCTTTCCACACTGATGGCAGGCGAACGGCTTCTCTCCGGTGTGACTTCTCATGTGAATTTCAAGTCCATGTCTGGTTGTGAAACACTTTCCACACTGAGGGCAGGTGAACGGCTTCTCTCCGGTGTGAATCCTAATGTGCTGTATAAAGCTTGCTTGCTCTGTGAAAAGCATCCCACATTGAAGGCAAATGACAGAATCTTCTTTCGGACCTAAAATGAAAATCAACGTCAAAATCAGTCCAAGCACAATAAAGGTGTGAGGGTTAGATACCAGATTGAATGGCAATAACATGAGAATGACATATTTCAACTTTATTATGTCAAAGACACAAAGTTAGTTTTATTTTCTGATGCACTTTTCGTATAGTTTGCTCTCTGGAGAAGTGTTCGGTCTTTCCACTATCACATTTCGCCATGTAAATAGCGAATCCGCTATGGTGTGAACGCAACTGGCTTTTAAATGGAATGGGAGATGAGATTATGGTTGGTTTATTTCACGTTACGCCCAAAACAGACCAACGACTCATTAAGGGAATATGGACAACCCCTTTAGACCATGCGGCGACTTTTTCCCATTGTTAAACTAGCATAAGTAGATTCAGACCCAAACTGAACTTGCGCTAATATATTTAAAAAGCTGTGCCATTTCACAAAGATAAGCTGATTTGGGGGAACAAATATAAAATAGAATATCGCATCGTGTCCTTGCTCGATTACTCGGGCAACCCTAATCTTCAGAACAAAAATTAAGACACTTTTGATGAAATTAGAGAGGTTTCTGAGCCAGCCATTCGCAGCAACATTATTAACACTTACAAGACCCAGAAAGATAGTAAAGACATGGTTAAAATAGTGCACAAAAATAAAAAAATGAAAATAAAGACTTTATCCACAAGTTTCCGAGGGGCGCTCCTGTAAAAAATAAAGTGGGTGAAACTTCCGGTGAGGCGGCGGAAGTAGCATTCCAATGGTATTTTGTGTGTTAGTTAGCGAAGATGCTAGCTGTTTTTCGGAGAATTATTTTACTATTTAAAGACGCAAATCTTTATGAGAGATGTCGTTACGGAGCTCAGGGACAATATGTGCTGTTCGCGGTTGTATGTATAACCGGACTAAACTAGTTCAGTGGCTTAAACGTGATTGTTTTGAACATAAGCTGAAAACGAGTGATCCTGCCAGAGCCCGTCTCTGATCTTTGCTGTTACTAACTTTACAGGATTTATTTACATTCCTACCGAAGGATACAGTAAAGCCTAGTTCACACTACGTGATTTTAAGCCCGATTTAAGCCCGATTTGCAAATCGTTGAGTCGCCGACAAGTCAGGGTGTTATCGCGTGCAAATCGCGGGCGATTAGCGGACGATTAACGCTCGCCAATCCGTTAGTGTGAAAGAGCCAACAACGCATCAAAGACAGCTCGCAGACAGCTCGCAGACAGGTCACCGAGCTCAGAAAAATATCTAGCCTGCTAGATATCTCGAGCAGTCGCGCGACTCAATCTCAGTGATGTCATGAGTACAGCCAATCATAGCAACGCATGGGTTGAGGACACCAGGTAAATCTTACTTTTTCTTTTTTGCATTTTTTTTTCTCAGAGCAGATCGTCGAGCAAACAGTGTGCAGCACTAGTTTCTGTCTGACGTCCATATTCGCGTGTTGTGTTCTTCTCTGCAGTTTCGCGTCATTTCTGGTTCGTTTTATTGCGTGGTTTTTCGTTACAAAACATGGTTTCTAGACCAGATAGAATCGTGTTGTTGTCAACTCGTTATTTGTTTGATTATTTTCAGGATTTAGACCGTACTATAGTACTGAACCAGCTCTCATTGAGTCACAAATGATATGCTCTTATCATCCTATCGTGGTTGTATCTCTATGCAGTGCGTTGTTAACTCGTGTAGTGAGTTACCTCCTGTTGTGGATCAATCACGTTGTGTTGTGTGGTGTGAACAGCTAAACAACTTGAACACTCATGATTTCACTGAGAGCAAGTCATGTAATGTGAACTGCACAGTTCAGCCCAACATTTTAAAATCATGTAGTGTGAACTAGGCTTAACTTGGTGAAATGTCCGCGGGCTTTAAGAGATGTATAGTTTATAAATTGTTCACTGGGAACGTTATATGCGCTTATACCATAAACAAGATAGTTGACAAAGCCCAAATATGAGGATGAGAAAGCAATGCAGGATCAGCACTCCAGCTTACTGTAATCAGCTGAGCTCATATATGGATCTATGTTCTGAATGGACAACTTCTCAAAAAAACGGTACCTGCCATATTTGTTGAGTTTATTGCGGTACGGCATTTTCTCAGTTTTCTTGTGCTTTTGCGAGTTATTTACTTGTCATCTCTGCTCTCGTAATCTCTTTAATGCTCAATCAGTAGCGATCCCTCAAAAATGGCGCCGCGGTGACGTCACACACAACAAACCCACGTGTCTGACAAAGACCGATTGGAGCTCTGGTTCAATTTTAGTCGGCTAATTTTAACATGGATAATTTGCAGATTTGATAATTCACTCTTTGTAACCGACTCACCCAACTCACACAGTGGTTCACTCTTGCACAGTAACTTTAGTGACGACTCGCAGGTCTCGGTCATCCCGTCGAGTCTTATTAGTGTGGTCCGGATGTTTTCATTCTGTTCAGTCTTCATCACCGGGAAAAGTTCAGTCATTTTGTTCACTCTGTATCTTCTACTACAAATTACACGACCAAAAAACTAATTGGAATAAGCTGCTGGAACTGAAAGGGCGCTTTTAAAAGCTTCGGGACGTCTTCTTCATCGAGTTTTATCACGGTTTGGCACTAACTTAGTTTAAAGGCGCATTTCCGCCCGCTGCTGGTCTGGAGTGTGAAGCGAACCCTTTTTTACAGTCAACCTCCAAGCAGTTCACTATGGAGGTGGGGTAATAGAAAATCACGACATGGCACAAAGTATGGCATTTTATTAATGCTAGCAAAACTTATGATGTTTAAAAATGAATTTAGCTTTCAAATTGATCGCATTTACAAAACGCTTTAATAACAACAAAGCTGTTAGAAAATCTAATTACATGAAAAGTATTGACCCAGCTAGACATTCTTTTTGTTCTAGTAATATTTTCAGCAACAAGTTCAATTTTGTTCCCGGAACGTTTTCCTAAAAGGTATAGGATAACATTCTCTAAAAACTTTATAAATATGTTTAGTGATGATAACACTGTACATTATTGTCCCCTAACATTCTTATAAAGTTTTTAGAGGGAAGTTTCCCAGTGGACACTGGATGTGAACAACTCCACAAACAGCATTACCAGCTTCACTTATTACTAACTAGGGGTGCATGGCACGCGTTTCCCAAAAGACAACTGTAGTCACAATTTCCGTCTTTAACAACACAATTCAACAGAACTTGTGATCGTATTTGGGGAAAGATGCTTTTGGGAAACGCACACCAGTTTGATTTTATTTCTGTCAGGCATCAACAGAAATCATTTTTAATAATTAACAGGTTAAGATATTGTTTTATTGAAAATGTTTTGTTTGGCGATCGGTGTTTGATTTAGTTGGAGCCTTGACTCTTTGAGTCGCATATTTAACGGTATCTGACTAATATAGATAACTTTTAAGAATAAGATACTCTTTCATGCAATTTGCATTTGTTTTGTAAAGTGTCCTGCACAACGCCTTGCCCAGCAGGTGTCGCCAGCGTTACGTGTTTCGAGCGCTTCAGAGGAGAATCATTCTTTACCTGATTCTTCTAAGTGTCTAAAATCTCTGTCCTCCAATCATTACTTTAATGGATAAAAAAATGTCTCTATCCAAACTCCATGATCAGTTACAATCTACAAAGGAACAGAAGGAGTTATTGTAGTATCATACTTCTTTGAAAGCAAGTTTGTGAAGAAAATAGACCTATAATTCCAGACTCAGTGCTAATATATATATATATTTATTTATCTCTGGGGATTTTGCTGCATATCCATATTCCACAACTCATTTTACTGTGTGAAAGGATGAGTGTCTGTGTGAACAACATATGAAAATCTATTATTATCTATGGTTATTGCTGAGCGTCAGCTGTGGCATGTATTCATACGGAGATGAAAATGTTTTTTGTCCTTCTTTGCCCTGATTTTTTTATTTTAATTATACTCTTGAGATGAAATGAGATCTGGAGGTTCTCGGATGCTGCAAACTCGCCGTATCTTGTTTAGTGTGCAGAGAGCAGAGGGATGATGTTATAATATATACAGGTCTTCGAGATGAGAAGAGAAATGAAAACTTCACTTTTGCTTGTGAGACCCTCAGATTGTTTCTTTGTTTTACAAACACAAACATGTATCCATCCAGGCTTCCAGTTCAATCTATTGTGAATAAGATAATAATATTGACCCTAACACCAAAATATAACATTTTGCATTATTAAATATAAACTGTAGCATCATTTTAAAGTATCCATGGGCATGTATTTATTTTTTAGGGACGTGCTCAGAATGTGGTTTAATCCTCTCAGGCCAATTTCAAAAATTGCATTCGGATAATAAAAACTTCACACACACACACACACACACAGAGAGAGACAGAGACACACAGTTAATTGTCACTGTAAGGCATTATCTTGTTCATTCAGTCATGTGTTATTCAACACTAGTGTCAAAAATGACAATTACTTGTGCAGCAGATGCAGCAAGAGCTCGAGTGAACCAACACACAGAGCCGTGATACATGTTTTCATTTCACTAATGCGTGGTTGATCATTCACTTCCGCTTCTGCATAGTGTACTCTGAAATGAACTTGATTTTTAACACTTTCTTTCAATGGAAACAGAATCAAGATAAAGATGTATTTATAATAATGGTTATAAAAGTAAAATAATAATTAGAGTATTTTTATTTTTACTTTTATAACGATTATTATTATGGAAGCGTAGCCTATTGCATTCACTTGATAAAAGAACACTCTGTTTTTTATTTAATTAATGAGTTAATTATCTCAGAATCATGAGATATATTTTTCTTGAAAAAATATTTTTTTCACTCTGTTTAACTGTTTAAATTTCTATCTATCTATCTATCTATCTATCTATCTATCTATCTATCTATCTATCTATCTATCTATCTATCTGTCTGTCTGTCTTCTAAACGTAAGATTTATATATTTAAATTGAAAATAATATAATTTTACCATTCATTTGAATTACAGTTTACCCTAAGTAATAAAAAATGCAATTAAAAATACATAAATCATAAATTTGTACTCTAACATCATTCACTTACTCCTCTTTGCTTATTACTGTATGAAGTAGTGAAGTTGCAACCAGGATTTTGGCTTTTTCTGATCGACAGGATACTAAACTTCATACAGACTTTCTCATCAAAGTCAATACTGGGACTGCGGGGTCTCAGTGACACATGAGGCCTGTGTGTGTGTGTGTGTGTGTTCTGGGGCACTCACTTCACTTCAAAACTTCTCATTCTAGCCTCTTTTTTTCTCCTCTCGTCTTCAAAGCCATCATTATGTCTATTCTTTCTGTTACTGCCATATTCAGGCTAGGTTTGAAACACACCAATGTTTCTGCTGTGTATATCTTGTATGCTGTGCACATTTCAGTATGCGTGGAATAGTGTTAGCTTTTGAAAAACAAGTGCAGTAAACAATATCAGCCATGATTTTAATACGATTTGATTGGCCTGACTAGAGTAAAGGATATTCTTTAACAAACAAGATGCAAAATATTAACTTTATTACCTTCTGAGATGAGAGCTTGATGACACAACATGCAACATATTGAGGTCCGTTGTGCATTGATTTATTCAACAAAATAGTAGACCGAATATGCTATACGATTCAGATCACGGCCTTTCTGCACGCCATTATTCCTATATATCAGATAGCATCATTCACACAATAATGCCTAATCATAAACTCCTTAGATAAGAAATCAAATTTCACATGGAAAAGATTAAACTCAATGGAACCCCCAAACACGTGTGTGTGTGTGTGTGTGTGTTTATCATGCCCACACTCATAATGTTATTAATGTTATTTTATATCACCTCTCACACACAACCCTATTGTTCATTAAGATGTTGTTTAATACATTTGCTATATTTGTCTCGAGGGAACATTTTAGTCTCACAACAATATAGGTAAAACATGACACATTATATAATTATTTTGATTTTATATGAAACTAATAATATTTGCTATGAAACCAAGCCCTTGCACAAACGTGTACATGTCAACACATTTTTTTTTTTTTTTTTGGTCACTTCTTCCACCTCAGTGTGAAGCCGACTCCTGAGAAACAGGTTTGAATCAAAAGGTGTTGGAGAAAAATCACTAAACACAAGGCTCACAAGACACACACACACACACACACACACACAGACGACATATTGAGTGAGGGCCACAAAAGCTGGTGCAGATTCACACACACACACACACACCTAAGATGGTGCACAACCTTTATAAAACATGCTTTGACAACAACATGAAATGACATTGGGGCGGGGCTTATGTGCATTTTAGGCTTAGTGATGTCACTAACCCGGGAGGAATTTCGTTGAGTCCCTACCAGCCGTTTGTTGTAGTCCTTATCTTTAAAAGCAAACAATCTTCCTTTGGTTTGAGCTTTGAGAGTTGTAACTTTGCAGATGTTATGCTCAATCAGCAACATTACACACTAACTACTTTACCAGTGTTTCCCAATACAACCCTGTTCCTGGCGGCACACCAACACTGCGCGTTCATGTGCAGTGTTGGTGTGCCGCCAAAAACAGGGTTGGGAAACACTGTACTTTACCACCCCTTTAATGAGTAATGGGTGTGTTTTGGGTGTAATATGCAATGTAAGGTAAGGTAATTTCTTTATAAAGCAAAATTAAAAACAACGGGTAGTTGACCAATGTGATGTACAAAAAAACATGCCAAGGGCAAAACGTACAAAACATTTATACAACACAATACATATATATATATATATATAACAACTCCCACAAAAACAAACAAGCAACTAACCTATCAGCATTTAGAGTTTGACAGAAAAGCCAGAGAAAAGAGATGAGTTTTAAAAAGAGACACAACGGGTAGTTGAAAAAAAATATATACATTTTTAGTTTATTTTTATTATTCAAATGTATTTAAGAAAATATATTAATATATAGGCCTACCTGATTTATTATTGACTGCGGTGTGTGTTTGATTCGTTTCCCAAATAAAATGGAATTGTCGAAGCAAGTTATAGAAAGCCTCCCTCCGGAACGTTATACATAGTTCCCACAGGCAAAAAAATTGTCACGTGACCTCCCCGGAGACGCCATCTTTGAGGGCAAAACCGCTGTGTTTACCATAGGCGTTTACAACGTTTTATCAGAGAATGTCGTTTTACAAACAAATATTTATGTCTGTTTATATTGTTATGCAAATCATGAAAAGACAAAGTGTAATAGATTATAAAGAGACTATTAAAACAAGACATAGAGAGGTACAATGCGAAAATTTCATTCATAAATGGTGTGTATCCTTATGCAACAAAAGAAGCACTGAGCACCGATTATGCAACTTTGCCTCAGATACAGTATTTTCATGTGTACAATTATCTGGTATTGGTGAGGAGTTTTTACACATGTGAGCATTTCCAAGCCTGGAAATCACTGGAAGTGTACGATCAGATTGACGTGGGGTTGGTTTGGTGACGTTTGCTCAAGTGCAATCAATGGAAAAGTAACTTAAGTCATCATAGCGAAGTAGCATGATGCTAATCTGTCTATTAAAAAGCCATAGCCTGCACAACT